TCTCTTTTTAGCATCCCTTCTTGTGAAGCTACCATTCCACTAGCCCTCTAAAGAAGCCGAGCCACACATTGATACACAATCACAAGTAACCAACCAGAATATTTAGAAGTTCTCTTTTTCTATTCTTCCTATCATCTGGCTGTCTAAATATCAAAGTGACCTTTCCGCTTGATAAGAGTCACATCCACCTCCTGCCCCGCCCGAGCTTTCCGGGCCGCTCTCCTCCCCTCTATTCCATCGCTAGCCGACGGCCAAGCTCGCTTCAATCCAATCAAAACAAACACATCACTGTTTACTGTAGCCTACCATAGGTCTAAGTACCATAAAAATATCATTGAACTGGAACGACCTTCCCTATTTTGACTTCTGGCTCCGGCGGCTCGGATTCCGTTAAGTGTCCGTATGTGTATTTGAGTTTTTGAACGTGGAGAGACTCCAATCCCACAGGTACGTCTAAGCGTGCAGTCCTGGGAACAAAAGTTAAGGCAGTGAAAGTGTGAAATGAACTTGACGAGTGACAGCAAGTATAATGACGTATGAAAGCGCTCGCTAAGTCCAAAATATCGTACGAGTTTTCGGCATTGAATTATTCCCCCATGACATGCATCCCGCTCTCCTGCATTCTACATTGCTACCTATTTTGCAACGTCCCGTATCCTGCTGTACCCATCCTCCGTCGTTGTAGAAACCAATCGGGGCCAGTCGTACTGTATGCACACACCGTCGTACAATCCAGCCAATAGTCAGTCTCATACCAGATTCCACAGTCTACCGGAGGCGCTGCATAAGGGACCTTCCTCTCACCACCCACATACAGGGCGAGGCAAGGTAAGGCAAGTAAAGTAAGGTGAATTAAGTCGACCCCAAAAAATCACATTGTATGAGAATTGAAATCAAGATTAATTCAAGCTCCAAGAAATGATCCCATTTGAAACAGACGACGGAACAATAGACACTGAGAAATTCTTCCCCCACATCCCACAAATCCGTCTGCGCCTCCCTCCCACGCCCTGTAGAGCTAGCAACCCGAAAGAAGCCTGAAAGAAATTGATGAACGAGCTCGGCTCGTGGTTTACGGGGATGCCTGCCTTGCCAGAGTGTAGGATCTGCTTCTGTAAATAGAAACAGAATAAATTAAAAATAATTCTGGTTGAACTTGTATTTGGGGTACAGTACATCAAAGATGCAATAGAACTGGTTTCAGAAAAGTAAACAGTTTTGATGAGCGAGAAACACGAATACATGTGTGAAGGTCCCGCGTATTCTTTGTGATTTCCACAGCGGCGGGGAGAGCTCCGGCCCAGCGTCTGGAAGCGAGAATTTGACAGGAGGTTCAGATGAGATCTTGACCAATTGAAGTCGAGGTCTCGTATTTGAGGCGTATTTGAAGGACCCTCCTGTCGATAGACCGAAAAGGAATATTTCATTCCAGTGTTGAATGGATTTGGGTTTTTTCTGCAGAGAACAGTCTATCTCCGTACTGTGCCCTGCAAAGACGTAAAGTCCCTTTTCGCAGGACCTTTGAGCAGGACGAAAGGAAATAGGTTTCGCCGCATCGTGAAAGTACCTCGTGAAGATGCATTCAGCGATATGAAAGTGAGATATGTAACGTTTCGTCTCGTCTCGTCTCGGTTGTAGCGCAGCAGAGGTAGGTAGGTACATTAGGTACCTTGCAGTATTACCCAAGAATCATTGCTTACGAAGACAGCCCATATCGCCTCCCGTGACCAATGTTGACTTTTTTCAAGCACAAGAATTTGACCTTTGATATTGTATGTAAGCCAAGCGAAACTTCTTGCCTGAAAATCTTCACATCGTGAGATTCATCCCAGTAAAATGTAAGCGAAACCTATGTTTCACAGTGGAAGTTTACGGAGCGTCCGTACCATACGCGCCAATTCTCTTGTTCTCTCATCATCATCATCATCTCGGCGAAATGTCACTCGTGCAGAATCGGGCGCAATTACCTTCAAGTCCCTTCTCTGTCCAGCATCACTGTACCTGAGGCTCCACATTTCACGTTGCAAGTATTCCTCAGCCAGCCTCAAAGGCCTGAGCCACAGTGCAGCCGAGCTGTCTAACTCAACGGCCCGGTTGAACGTCAACGGGTATAAACGTGATGCATCGGGGACCTCAGACCTGATCGTGAGATGTGGCTCGTGCGATTTATAATGGAGATAGGAGAGTGGATAAGTAAGCGGGGAGTGAGAGGTGGGATTTTTCTGGAGGGGTTTGGTGCTTGAGGCTGGCTGAGTGGGAGAAGTGCCGCCATGAGAGTAAGATATCAGACGAAGACCCGCTTTTTGATTTATTTGTCAGAATCGGAGGACGCCGTCGCCGAGAATGAAGGTCAAGAGATAATCTTTCGGAATTGTTGGATTGAGGTGAAAGATTGATTGTTCTGGAGATAGAATCGAGGGGAAATACAAAGTGTGTGTTTTGTTGGTAAGAGATATGGCGTGATCCACACAGGGGTGGCTGCTCGGGTCCTACACTGGCACTGGCACAGCACATTCGCTAGGTACTTCGTACAGGCATAAACTATTCCGGAATTCTAGTCCGTGCACCCCCCTGTGTTCTTTAGATACTTGGCAATGCTGCTTTATTCAATTCCTCTAATATTTTGTATGTGCCCCTTGCGCCTCAATCACTGCTTTACATCTGTCCGGCATTTCCCTAATCGTAGTACAGTATCAGGGTTCAGGCTCCAGCGATTGAGTTTAGGGGTCCAGGAAATGGATATCACAGAACAGCTAGTTGAAACCAGTCAAAGAAAAGTCGCAACTAAGAAACAGCCCGTTTGGGGCATTGGAGATGGTACTTTTGTTACTTGTCTGTACTTGAAAGTCATTACTGTACAATGAATATCCTATTATCTCATGGATGATTTATTTGCCGTTCCCTGCCAAGCATCTCTCAGGGCTTCAGACCCCCAAAGTTAGAGAACAGATCACAAAACAAGAAATATCTCCTTAGGAACATGCTTGTTATTGCACTGTACACCGCACCGCTAATTCGGGTTTGCACTTTTGCTTTTTTCCTCGAAAGAGTTTATTCTTGGCAGAGGTATTTTGTCAACAGTCGAGGCGGCGGTGCAATCTTTCCAATACCCGATCTCAGGAATGTATTTTGTGCAACTCTATGATGCAACTGTGCTGCATTTGATGACTTGCTCTGCCTACAAGTCTTACCCCTTTGTTGGTCTTACTGCGGTCCTTCAGACCGTGTAGTTCTTTTCTTGTCACGTTCTGTAACAATCTCATCGCCGGAAGAGTCATCCCAGAGGCAACCACACAAAAACGTATCTGCCGGGAGAGGTATTTTTGATAGTCATCATTGCCGACTACCAAATCTTACAGCGACGCGCATACCTCCCTAAGGAATTTAGCATTGTTAAGTCCATGAGCCGTTGAACCGACCAATTGAAAGTGAGAAAATGCGAAGTCGCTGAGCACGAGTTGAGGTTGGCTGTCGTCGCCGATTTGAAATTGTTTACCCCCACTTGACTCTTTCTTGGAGAAGATGGAGGGGTTAGCCAAGACCTTCTGACCTTCTGTCAAACTTCCATGCAGGTGCATCAACGCCCTCACATAGGACAGCATAGGGCGTGGCGTTAAGACATAGCGGGGCATATCACCTCCAGGGACACATCCACTCTCCTTCCACCTTCTGCATCTGTCTATTCTATACGTCTCTTCTTCCAATCTAATCCATTCAAGTGATCACATCCTCAGGCCAAAAGTCTATCTCCATCAGTTCAGTCAGCTTACGCCAGCCACACCCCAACAACCCAATCACACCCCGCCTAACCAACCCGGTTATTTATACGCTGTGGCTGTGATAACCCTACCAGTAACATATTCCCCTCCAAGTTCCAGCATCCACTCAAGCAATCAGTCATCTCTAATTTGGGGTCCGTTCCAAGCCTTCTATCCAGCATCAAACCCACACTTTTCTGATCTCACTCGCACCGCACCGCGCCAGGGGAAGGGGAAGAAAGAGACGCCGAGGAGCGAGCACCCTGGCCACTGCGCGCTTCACGCATCCCAGCCTATCAGCGCGCAAACCAGGCATAGGAAATCGGGAGTACCGTGCTTTCTCAGCCCTATGGCATCCGTCCATGCCCGTGTTCCATTTCCAGAAGGCCGATCTGATCTGACCTTACCGGGCCGTTGACTGCCTGCCTGCCTGCCTGCGTGGGTGTGGGTGCGCAGTGTGTAGCGTATCACGAGTGGGAGTGTTTGGGGACCGAATCATTTTGCAAAAGGGGTTACTGGAGGTGTGTTTACTGGCCGCCAGGAGTCCAGGACAGGGTGTCAAGACCGCGTGGGAAAGATCGATTGTGTTCCTGCAGGTACGAGGGAAAAACTAATCCGGACCCACGCCTTTTGTCACCGGTGTGGGAGGGGGTTACGCATTGCCTTGCAGTGTGCAGATGTATCCCATTCCAGCCTGGACACAATCGCTAGCCACCCCCAATTGCAACCGAAAAAATATGCAGTAAATTAGGTTTTTGGCAACTTAGACAATAGCAAAAGTGTTTTGGGCAATCAAGATACGGGGTCTTTTGATTAGGTACATTTAGTATTTTGGGGTCCATGTGCCGCGCTGAGCATTTCCTGTGCCTTCCAATGTCGATAGATTCTGCCACTAACAGATCGCAACACGCAGAAAATCCCATCTTGGGAAATCGCAACGACGGGCGGGCATGCACCCAGTTGGCCGGATAGGCTAAGACAGGGCTTACGGTAGACAGACAGGGGACGAATGGAACTCCTAGTAGCTGGGACTTGTACGGACTTGTACTGCAGAAACACATCCCTGCCGGGTCCTGATTACATGACGCTGATGACTGTAACGCTCTGAGTTTGTGTCGGGGGCTTGGGGCTCAGTCCGGGCTCGGTTGACGCTTGACGGCCGGACAGTTAGTGTTGACCTGAGTGGTTTGATAGACTTTTCTTACTTGCACCACCTTGGGGTTTACGTGTGGGATGGAATAGATGCGCAGTAAGTGGTTTTGAGGAGGGAGGAAGGGAGTGAGGTGAGGTGAGGTGAGAAGTATATAGAGGGGCTTGGGCCTCGTCGTTTCATTCCTTTCTATTCTCATCATCATCAACTCACAGTCTCAACAGTCTACAGTCTACAGTCTTCACTTCGAACAACCAATCACTTACTTCAGATCCTGACCTCGCTTCAACTTCACAACACTACTATCAACATCCTCACACTTTCACATCCACAGCACCTCCATCCAAATATCTAAACCACACAACCAAACCAAATATCAAAATGGCATTCACAACCTCCACCACCTCCACCCCAACATTCACCAACTCCGGCCGCGGCGGCTACAACGGCCCCGCCTCGTCCTCCGATTCCGACGACGAATCCCGCACCCTCAACAACACCCCCTCATTCGCCAACTTCGGACGAGGAGGTTACAACAAGGGTCCCGATGACGATGAGGAGGAGGATGGACGCGGAGGTTACAACTAAGCGCACCACCTCGCTTGGCTTTTGAGTTGGAAGAGTTGAGGAGGGGATCTCGCTTCGCCAAACCACTGGGCACGGACAGACTCGCCTACCATCCAAACAACCAATCAGCTACCTTTTATTGGTTGCGAGGAGGAGATCGCTCCCTTTTCCTCTCTCTCCCCTGTTCTCGCTTCGACAATTTCAACATCGCCAATTCGCTTCACCTTCACTTTCAGCATTGCATCGCATCGGATACATCGCATCATAGAATTAAACGCATCGTCTCACGACAAAAAACATTCCGGAGTTCTTCATTTTTTTCCCCTTGGGCAGGCAGGCAGGCAGCATATAGAATATTCTCGGCATTTACACTGCATCGCATCGCATTATCGCCAGCATTTTCAACACACAGCATACTGCATCGGCATCATCATAGACCGGCGTTTCTGCTCTTTCTTTTCTGTCTTTTGACTTCTAGATTAGATGGATTGGGAATAGACGCATAGACATGGCGCATCTTGGGGGTTTGTTACATCTATCTCCTTGGGTATACGACTCGCATCAGCATATTTTGGGAAGTTTTGTTGTTTTGTGGGCATAGATAGCGGTTCGCTTCATTTCTTGGGGATGATTTTGGAGGGAGGGTGGTTTGGTGATGCATTTTCTGGGAGTCCTTCTTGCGCTTGGATATTAGGGGAAGGATATGGGGATTGGATTGGGACTGGGAAGGGAAGAAATTGAACTGGATGATGGATTGATGAAATGGGTGGGATGGAAAGGTGGGATCGGACAGGGCTGGATTTCCTTCTTTTCCTTGACACATTCATTCTTCACTCTTCTGGGGTTATCTCTTCTCTTTGGGCATATTTCTACAGATCTTAATGAAGCAGTTCTTCAAAACTTTGTGGCTCTGCCGCTCTGGTGCTGCTTGATCCCCATGGCACTGGTGACATGTCATCGCTTATATTTCTTGAGAGTGCCGCTGTTAACTTGCCTTTTGGACAGGAAGACACAAATCCTAAAGTCGCATGATAGAAGATTGCTAAGAGGTAGGAAAGCAAATAAAGCGAGGCAACACACCCCTTTTTGGTCAGCTGACTTTTAAGTAACGTGACATCTATCATTCCATCAGAAACGAGAATTTACTATACCTACCTTAGAGGAAAGATGCGATCGAAACTCAAATATAATACAAAGCTAAGCTAACGTTAACCGCGACCCCTGGCTTAATAAGAAGTAGACTCTCGTTAGACTCTTCATTGATAACCCCTTAAAGACTTGACAAACGCTAGATAGCTACCCGACTATCTATTTAGAGAAGCGCTTTACTATCCGTGGGCGTTGGGCTCATTTCGCCTCTAATTAGGTATGGAAATGATGGACCGAAGAAGCTCGCCTGACTGGAGTACATGCTAAAAGTACGGTGCAAAATTGAATCATGCAATTGTATGCAGGCTCCGAGAAAGGTTCAAAGATGTGATGATTTAGTGGTATCGGATGAAGCTCCGTGATCTTGGCAGGCTATCTGTGCTGTGAGGAAGCATATCACTGGCAGGGTCGTTGCTAGATAGTAACTTTGACAAGAATATAACCCATTTGGAGCGTCAAGGGCAGAAGACTACTTTTGCTAGCTGTAATTTAATCTTGATGTATTGTCTTCTTCCTCTTCTTCGTCGCGCACAATACTTGTTTTTTTCTTGGCGTATCTTCTGCGGACTGCTGAGATGCATGTGGTTACTCTCATGATGGTATACCAAAGGAGGAGTAATTGTCTGGTGAAGTAGGAAGGAGGCGGAGGTAGCTCATATTTGATGCGTACGGTATCGGGCCCAGAGAGTCAAGTCTCCATTGCTAATTATTTTCCTGCCCCTACAAGGTCAAATTAATTGATCTAGAGTTGTCACTAAAATCTGTGTCGCAGTATCCGTACTGCGTTCTTGGAATCAACCGGCTCCGAGGGCGTGAAGATGCATATCTACCTGCAGTGTGATGAGACTCTCTTCAAATGGACAACACGTACCAATATCTGAACCCCTGACGGGGGAACTTACGTCAAAGCTTTCCCAATGTCAGATCCACGAATCAGATACCTAGTTTCGTATTTCCTGGCGAGTAAGATCCGATATGATCTGATTAGATGCTACCCTTGTCTACACAGTGGCTGGTCAAAAGTGGGAAATATCCGACTTCTTTCCTTGATATGCGTCCCACTATTCATGTCATCAAGACCTGCCAAAGCCAATTAACTGGTGAGGTGTTAGACGCGCTTGGCTTGGCAAAGGCTCGACTCTAAGATACTTTGTCTCGTTCTGCGAGTGAGAAGTGCTGTGCCTTGCTTCTACTATGTTGGTTTCTTAAGCGAGTCAAATAGGGGCTAGTTCGCTAAAGCCCCCACCCCCTTCAGGGACGGGATGAGACGGAAACAACTCTAAAATAAGCTTGTTCTACTGTACACCTCGCCCTGAGAAGATCTGTATTATGGGAGAAGCACTCCGCCGCACTGCAATATCTTTCTATCCCAAACGGATCGTATTTCCAACTTCAGGATTGGCGGGTGACTCAAGCATTTGTCAGAACTAAGTCCTGCTGCTGTAAGCGCAAACTCTTGGCTTTGACGATACTTGGGTATCCATTTTGGAGATGGAGCAGCTAAAGGAGCTAGCAAGGAAAACAAGCGCACTGCGCGTTCGGGATCCGGCTCCACTGATTTTCCGGTCCAGGTGAACCCCTCCGAGTGGCTCAGCACCCCCGCTGCTTAAGCGTCATCTCACAGTCTGGCTTTCACTCAAAGACTTTCGAGGCGCCACCAGCCTTGGGTTTATAAATGTAATGGGGAGTGTCATTGTTACGTCTTGGAGACTCAGATGAACCTTTACTACTGACTAAGTCATGAATATGGAGTCCTCGAACTCGAGTTCGCCTGCCAGAACTTCTCCTCCAAACTCAAATTCGAATTCAAATCCGAACTCGAAAGATGGTGGGGAGCGGAATGGGGTTGTTGAGACTGCGAGGTGGGCTTGTACCATTTGCAGGGCTAGAAAGGTATGTTTGGAAAAATGTGGAAAATTCAAAACTTGAATGAAAGATGAATCAAGGATGCAAGAAACTTCATATTAACTTTCTGTAAGGTCAAATGTGACCGCATTCTGCCCCATTGTACGAATTGTACCAACAAACCTTCTGGATGCCGATATGAGACAGCTAGGAAAAGAGTGGTTCGGCGCTCGTAAGATCCATTCTCGTTAGATACAGTATGCGAAATTAATGAAGGAAATAGGGCATACAAGGACATGGTCGATCGCTTGGCCAAGATGGAAGGTGTGGTGAAGGATTTTTCCAGAACCAAATCGTCAACTTCACCAAGTAACAGCCTGGACAACGAAATTCATCAGGATCCAGTCAATTCAATAGAAGTTGCATCTCCAGAACGTCGAGCTTCCGGTTTGGTCTTTGAGGATAATGAGATGGTCAGTATGTGGGATCCGCCAATATCGATTAATGGCTCATTGGGCTCGACGGAGGCTGAGCCGTTGAATTATGCTGATGAGACGGAGATGGAAGTTGAATACACGGGTGAGCTTTCATTTCTGAGGGTCTGGGCAAGAAAAAGCTAATCTTTTAGGGTCATTTTGTGTTTTCTCTCCCACAGGAATTCGGTGGGTGAACAATTTGGTTGGTGACAACTTGTTTGGACGAGAAGTTTCCACTTTGGCTCTATCATCACGGCCTCGAGATCACTGCGACAAGCGTATAACATCTACACATCCGCTTCCCAGCAGAGACGTAGCGATCGTTTGTGTTAATGGTGCGTTTCCCCTGCTCAACCAAATTATACCTGCGCTCACATGAAGTAGACTATTTCTCGGCGTTGAATCGGGATATGCCCATATTTGACAAGCAGGAAGTAATTGATGGAGTCGAAAGATTCTACACAACCGGAATAGCACCATCTCGAGGCTGGTACGCTGCCATAAATGTAATCTTGGCACAGGTTTTCCGCATAAATAGTGAGAGGAAAGATTCTCCTGATGCCAAAAAATACATGGGAAATGCGATGAGTATGGTTCCATCGATCTTAATGTCAAAACCAAATCCATTAAGTGCTGGCGCGTTGCTTTCAATGGTAAGTTTGCCCTGCGTTTTTATGTTCGAGTACAAACTAATTATATCGCCAGGCTCTGTTCTTCTTCTTGGTCGCTGAGAATCACTCTGCAGTCATGTTGCTATCGACAGCTGTTCAACTGATGGTACTTGGCGGTTACCACACCCCTTGCAAACGATCGAGGCAAACAGAGCAATCAAAACTCCGCGAAAGACGACTCTTCTGGCAAGCTTTTATTTTCGACCAAGATCTCGCGCTTCGTATCGGGAAACCACCTATGATAGGTCCAGATTTCACAATAGATCTCCCAGAAGAAAGGCCTGCGGATGGAGTTGGAACTCTGACATTCGAGGAAAGCGGGGTCACGTTGAATTGCATTCGCGAGCAAGTCATCCTGGCAAAGATGCAAAGTAAAGTCTACTCGACGCTATATTCGAAAGAAGCAAGGCAGAAGTATGTTCATGAAGAGATCCAATTAATTTCAGAGCTGGACTCCGAGCTTTGTGCATGGAAGTCGCGAATTCCGGAGATCACCAAATCTACGAAGGCCCAATTCTTTGACAAAGATCCTGGTCTGATCAATTTGACCATCTTGCATTACGCATACTACCAGTTGGTCATTGTGATCCATTCGTTCATCTTCCAGAGTTCCAACTTGGAACAGTTGAGAGACGATTTTGACCGTATACATTCAAGTGTAGCGCTCTGCGTAGGGGCAGCAAGAGCGAGGATTTCGCTTCTGAACTTCCACGAGGATAGCCATATGTTTTCATTGTACGCTCTCCCTCACACTCCCCACTCTTTATCCACCTTATCCTAACAGTTTTCCTTCTCAGACACCTCCTCAACAACGTCTCCTGGAGTCTCGACGTAGTATTCATCAACATCCTCCAAAACAAAGGCACTCCCTCCGCACGTGAAGACCTCAACCTCCTCGGCCGCGTCATCTCCCGCTTCAAGAAATTCGACCCCGATTACCGCGACGCAGTCGCATTCCGCACAGCCAGTCTTTTCCACCAAGTTGCGTACCGCGCTCTGCAGAATTACGCGAAATCGCAAAACCCTGCGCCGAATCATATCAATAGGCCAGACTCGTGGCATAGATATGACGAGCAGAAGACTATTCCGCCATATCCCGAAACGCCAAATGAACCCGATATGCCTGTACCGACGTATCCCGTGAGACCGGTCATCGATCCGGCTCTGCTACCTAGCATTACCAACAATGGTTTAAACATGAATGGGGATTTAGATCCCATGCAAGACTTCACGCCTGATTTACCACTGGGAAGTGATTTCTCGCTTCCTACAGATGAACAGTTCCTGAATCTCATACTGGACAATCCGATACCGATGAGTGTGAATGGGAGTTTAGGCGATAATAGTAGTTTGGCGTGGACGGGACAGCAGCAGATGGGGCCGGATGGGCAGTGGAGACTTCCGTTGGGTTTGGATCCGCAGTATTGGCAAGGACTTTGGACAGATTTGCCAGCGGAAGATGAATGGATGCAGTGATTGGAAAATGGAATTGAGGGCTTGGATGCTTTGGCGTTTACTGAGGGTGGGAGTCGAATGGAAAATTTACTTTTGGAAATTGGGTGTTTTGAGCGGATGGAGTCTTGGACGTCCTCTCAACTCTGGCGTCTGGGTATTTGGCTCAAAAAACCTTAACAGTGACTGTATTTTCATTAAATTCAGAGTTCAAAACACAGGACAAAATACCATGAACCACTGCGATAATTCTCCCTGGCTCAAGGATCAAGATTCTCCCTTGTTTACATTCCGCCCACGGCAGGCAGCACCTCCTCACTCAAACATAACAGCGTGAAAGCTCCTCTCATGAACGACAATATTGCACTATGATATCACGTACATCTGATACATGAGTCCCAACCAATAAAAGCAACCACATCGTAACATGTCAATGTTTACCCGTTTCGTTCTCTGCGTCCTGCCCCCACCACAAGCGAGAAGGCGTGCCGAGCCACTAAAAATTTAGGTTTCCAGTAGCGTAGCCGAGCCCCTAATTATCTCGCGTTCGCGTTGAGTGAGGCTAAGCCACCGTACCTATGCATGTGCATCTCATCCACCTTTTCTCAATGGTCACAATCCTTCAGAAAACTCCCGTAAGCTTGATTGATTATCGTATAGTATTGTGATCCGTCTGGGTAACGTCTGCGGAATAGGTGATTGGTTTGGGAGGAGTGTGGATCCTTGGCTGGTGATAGGGGTCAAGCTGAGGGGTGAGAAGGGCCGGAGGGTAGAGAGATACCATGGTGTTCATGGGGAGGATGAGTAGAGGGTGTGAGAATTGCAGGTGTGTTGTTGCCCAAGCATTCGCTGAGACGGAGAATAGGTTCTAACGATTCGAGCAGGAAGTTACATACGAAGGTCAGCTTGGGTCTACACAGGAACGAACTCCAGGAGGTACCTGGTGCTGACTAGAAGCTACAAAGTGTGATGAAAAGCGACCCTCTTGTTCGCGCTGCGTAAGAACAAACAGACAATGTACCGGCTACAGAGATATCAACGATCTCATGTTCCGGCACACATCTCCCAAATCCAGCAGAAAGAAAGTCCGCCCAGCAGCGAACAGCGGAACTGTACTTCTTCTCGGCAGGTCACATGACGCCTTCGCGAAGGAAGGAGATATGTTCTCTCGCAGTCCGGGAAGGACACTCCTTCCTTCAAAAGAAGACCAGAGATTATGTTTCTTCTATCAAACGATTATCGAGAACTTGGTAGATTCAGATCACACGCGGTACCTTCACAGTCAACTTCCAGCTCTGTTCTCGCGCTCAAGGTCAGGATCCGCGCTTCAGTTGGCAACAAAGGCAATATCGCATGCTGCCTGGATGAAGTCTCTCTCGCGTGGCTATGATGAAGAAATGACTGCTGGTAGACATTATGCCCAGGCACTTGCAAGTTGGCGAAGACTATTCAGGATCCGATTGAGGCGAAGAGTGATGAGACGTTGTATACGGTGCTGCTTGTCTCTGGATACGAGGTGAGTTTATCGCTGACAAATATGTTGAAAGCGTTTTATTGATAAAGAACTGACTGACATCACACTTTCCAGACAATAACATTCAATTCTGAAGCATTGCCCGCTTGGGGAACTCATATTGATGGTGCCACAGCCTTGGTGAAGAATCGTGGCAGCGAGAATTTCCGTACCCCTTTGGCATGTATGATGTTCCTGTTCATCCGAAGAAATGCTGTATGTGTTGCCCTCTTCTCTTATCATCTGAATGTACTCTTATGATATTTCAGGCACAAAGTCACGTCCAGACTTGCACGCCTGTCGATCCAATCTTTGAAACTTGTAGCGAGTTACTGGCGCCGTACGAGAACATCGAAGACAGATTGCTTTCAAACACTATGCATATACCTAATTTGCAGGCTTGGGCCAACGGACTTCTCTTCAAATATAGTGCGAAAGTCGAAGAGGATGAGATAACGGAGCTGCTTCAAAGCGCTGAAGACCTGGACTACGAGCTCGCGAACTGGGCTCTGGGGGTTCCCTCCGAGTGGTCATACTTCACCATCACGCGCATGGAAACTCCAAAGACTTCATCTATACGTACTGGGCTATTTATTCCAGATCAGCTCCATCGATATCCAAACCTCTACGTGGCACGAACGTGGAATCTGTACCGAGTCTCACGATTAATCATTCAATCCATAATATCCCGAGTCTCTGCCTTGAGTAGCAGAGCAATAAACACCAGCAAGGTCCAAATCGACGCCATTAGCCAGTCCATGGTCTCGCAGATCTGCGCTAGCATCCCCTTCCTCCTCGGCTACGACTGCTCAGAACTGAAGTACACCAGCACTTCCTCCTCACCAACATCCCTTTGGCCACAATGCCTGCCAACTAAACCTAGATCATCAAATAATCCCGGCAAATTCTCTCTCATCTGGCCTCTGTATGTTGCAAGTAGTGTAGAATCAACTCCTGAAGCTCAGCGGAATTGGATGCGAAAGCAGTTGGATTGGATTGCCGGGACAGGCGAGGCTCATGCGCAGGTTTTGAGAGATTGTAGGAGTCAAACCTTACTTGGAAAGCCGGAGGCTTTCAGATTTGACTGTGTGTGAACAGGCTTTCGCTAGCACAGGATTCGGCACCGAGCCAACGAATGGCTTGAAACATTGCTTTTCAGTCTATAAATCGAATCTGGAAACACGCGTCTGGATCGGTTCCTAGTTCACAATCTCCACCGCTCCCAACGAGCTCGTGCATAGGCTTGTCTGGGCTCATGTGGATGTATCTCAGCCCCTGATCTACCAAATCCACCAATCCGAAAGAGGAAATCGACGAGATGGCCAATCATTCGCCTTGACCACACGTGACAAAAGACCAATTGCTTTCTTCGACGTCTTGTTCAGTGGACCGTCTCTGATCATCTACGGTACATGATAAGAATTCATGGTGTCCTCTGGGTCGCAGCCAATTGCGTGCTGTTGTGCCTGGACCCAGGGGAATTCTCGGGCTGGGCCGCAGCCCTAGAGTTCCTTCACTGTCGAAGGTTTATAAGCTCGACCTGTCCCAGTATCTGGCATGAATGCGCAAACAAATTTTTTGATATAGATCGACTTGCCGTCATTCTTCTGCTGACACGCGTCCATTCTAATAAGTGTAACATCAAGATGCCATCCACTAAAGAACTTGGTTCAACTAGAACACTCGAAAAGTCCCACCTCGTCACACCTGAAGAGTATGGCATCAAGCTACAGGCCCCTATCGAGATGAAGCTGTCGCCTATAGATCAAAACATGCCCCGTCTGTATGGTGGTCGCTGGATTCTCTGCTTCCCTCTGCCGGCTGGGGTGGATATGTCTGTCGTGTGAGTGGCCGACCCAAGAAAGCTGACATCTTTCATGTTTCTGACTTTTATATCAAGCTTTGAAAATTTGAAAAGAGGACTAGCTCAGACGATTGCTTCTATACCGTGGCTTGCAGGCGATGTGGTACGTTACTTCCAGGTTTTGCCAGTCTGGATAGTCTTTCTTGGTGGATCAAAAGCTAACACAGTCAAGGGACCGGAAAAGGGGAGCGACCCCAAAGATGCGAGACTCCAAGTAGTTGAAGGCAAGGGAGGTGTAAATTTTGTGTACGTATCCACTCTCCCAACTTTTCATACCCAAAAGTGCTTACACTCAGTAGTTACAAAGACCTTACGTCCATCCTCCCTTCCTTCGCGGATCTCAGGAAAGATAATTTCACATTCTCGAAGCTTACCACTCCGTTGGTATCACCACTTCAAGTCATCCAAGAGGCACAACCTGTCTTCGCAGCGCAAGCCAACTTCATAGAAGGTGGACTTCTCCTCACTGTCGGGAACCATCATGCTGTTTGTGATGGAGCGGCACGAGATCACATTCTCGAGATTTGGGCACGAAATACCAGTGCCATTTCTGGGACAAGACCCTTCACAAAGCACGATCCTAGTTCGAACGATCGCTCGCCATTGAGCGCCGGTATTCCAACAGACAATATTGCCGCCTTTCCTGAATATATGCTAGCTCCAACACCACCTGCGGATCAGACAAACTTGGCGCCACCAACTGCATTCCAAATGCCGCCAATGGCAGCAAAAATATTCACATTTTCGCCCTCGATGTTGGCTGCTCTAAAAGCAGAAGTAAAAGCATATTCCACCAACGACGCTGTTGTCGCATTCTTCTGGCACCACATGTCCACCGCCCGCAATCTATCGCCTATCGACGAAACAGCCACCTCAGCAGCCCTCTTCGCAAGCAACATCCGCAGCCGCACCTCCCCTCCCCTTCCGCGCACCTATCTCGGGAACGCTGTCCTCGGCTGCCTCACTCCCCGACTCTCCATCACATCTCTCACGGACCCCTCTACCGGTCTCCAACTCGCCGCTTCATCTCTCAGAACCGCCTTGAACGACATAAACAAACCGAATCGCATCCCTCTCACCATTGGTCTTCTCTCCTCGCGTCCCAACGCTCAAGATTTCAAGTTCGCAGCTAGAGGCTTCCTGGGCCCTGATATCACTGTTTCGTCTTGGGCGGATATGAGAGTGCGGGAGAGGGAGTGGGGTGGTCTGGGGAAGCCCGAGGGGTTTAGGGTTCCGTATGAGGCGGCGGATGGGGTTGTTACTGTGTTTCCGAGGCTGGAAGGGGATGGGATTGAGGTTATGTGTGGATTGGAGTCTGGGGCCATGGAGAGGATGGTGGGGAATGAGGAGTTTAGAAAGTTTGTTACGGATGTGGTGGAGTGAGGAACCTAACAAGCGGGAAGTTCGACCTAGATCCAAGCGAGGTTATGACCAGGAGCATTACCTCTTACAAAATACACCTTGCAATCTAAGTCAAACACTGAGTGTGCATCTCAAGAATTATACAATAACATAAAGTGGGATTTATCGTCGTTGCTATTCAAGAGCTCGCTAAAATCCAGGGGCAGATCGCTAAAAGTGTTGAAAACGGAAACAACACAACAGTTCTTCAGGCTGATCATGCAACATTCTGTTTCGCCTAAATTTCCAACCTCCCGAGCTTGAGGTTGGATACCATTCCAAGCTTACACGAAGAAGCAACAACTGCTCCACTTCCCGCTCGAATGACCCATTTCGAGAGGCACAGCAGTGAGATGAGATTGTTCGGTCTTTGGCGGGCATTGATGTGGAGCACATTCACACCCAATGCGGCGTCCCAATCTTATCAATGGGACCCCTATTTTTCTTCTTGGAAGAGCAAAATATATATCTTCAGAACGCCACTTCGAAATCTCGTTTGACGATCTCTGCCGCTGCCGCTGCTGAACTCACTCGTTCAATTATCCAAGCAGTAGGAAATATGCTTATCACAATCATTCTTGGCGGAGTTCTGGGAGCGGGGGTTGCTGTAGCGCAATCTTCAGCATCGTCCAAAACGGCTATTCAGAGTTGGATTCCCGAGCCTTTGCCGTCGGTTACGCCTGATGGGGTCGTCAATCTGTTCATTCAGGAGATGGATGGGTATGCTGGTCTGTTTGAAGCATCCGTTATCAAAGTAGTGAGTTTCTAATCACATTGGTATCTTGGTGGGGGAAAACGCTCATTTATGAAACCAGGAGGCATCTTCGACTACGTACTGGGTCGCTTGCGCTTCATCTATTTCAGAGGATGCTTGTCCGTTTGATCCTATTCCGCCGTATACCGGCATGACTGTCACGCAAGGTGCGAAAGGTATGCAGATGACGAACAGCGAGGAGGGCTGGTAAGCAATTCCAATTTCTCCTTTTCCCTGCGATGAGGATGTCCAGAAGTGATTTCAATTTTCGGCCATATAATTAACAAAGTGTAGGTCGGTCCCCCAATCCTGTACCTTCGCTACTACAGCCGCCTCTGTCGCTACGTGTACGAACTATTGGTCCGTGGGACACACTGCAGACGAAATCAATTACTCACTGTCGACATCGTACACAGATCAATATACACGCACGTACGTCGCCAAACTTCCATATAAGTCTTGGAGGCTTGAACATTGGGGACAGCCGCCATTCATTCCTGTGTCAATCACGGCTGGTGCGGAGAAACTGGTCGCTGCAGCCTCAGCAAGGACGACTTCCTCTGGACCGATATCTACGAGTAGTCAGAATACTGGGACAGGCATCATTTCGCCTGCTCCTGCAGCAGCTCAATTAGCTGTGGTGTCACAGACATCAACTTCAGCTGTGTCCACTGAGACTGCAAATTCAGGGGCTTGGAGGGGTAGGAAGTCGGATGGGGGGTTCGTGCTTAGAGTGTTTGTCATTCTAAATGCCGGGATCTATATTCTATGATGCAAATGGTATGCTTGAAAAAATGCGGCCATGAGTAAGCTATTGGTAGAAATTTCAAATTAAACCCGCCGTCTATATATCCCTATTCCATTTATCCCCGTCACTTAGTAGGTCTGAAAACCTGCTGCTCCTCGAGCTGAACCTCACTTCCGGAACCTCCACTAGCCCTCTTCTCCAGCTCCAAGTACTTTCTAATCTCTCCCGGATGTAACCAACAAAATAGCACCAAAACACCAAACATAAGAATGGCATCAAAAACATACATAAACACCTCATGCGAGAACAGGTACCCCGCATTACCCTGCAAGAATTCAATCACACGGAAAATGCTTCGGATCAAAATCAGAGCACTGGAGATATACAGCGCCCAGAGATGCTTCTTCCACGGTACCGAGAGGGATGTTGAAGTTGGCGATTTTTGTAGCCGGGTGTGGAAAATGAACGCCACGACAACGAATAGTCCGAAGAAGAGGATTTGGAAAATCAGACCTCCAACCACAACGTACTCGCCGGTCTTCGCTTTGCTGGATGAGGACATGAGACCTGCGCCTGTGTTGTTTAAACTGTATTAGCCATTGTCCAAATATCGAGAATATATACCCCGGCAAAAAGGAATCGAAACTAACCTCCAGATTGCAGCAAAAACGCAAAGATATCGCCACACACAAAGATCTTGGTCAGCCACTTCTGGCGAACCATCGAATACCTCTCTCCATCCGTCATCAAGATGACCCGACCAAGTATCATGTAGATACTACCCGCGAACAGAGCTGGCGCGACAAGTGTGAGGACCGACTGGATGATATAGGGGCCGAGACTCCAGTTTGGGGCTTCCTGAGAAGCGGAGTATGCGCGGGCTGCGAAACCGATGACTTCAACTAGGAAATTGTTAGAACAATGTTCTCGATTTTACTCCCCCGATGGAGTATTTGGTAGCTTGACTTACAAAGTCCTCCAAGTACCAGTGGAATTAAGAACCATGCTCGACTCTTGCACATCTGGAAAATGTGCACCCCTGTCACAATCGCGAATAATCCGGATGCGACTCCTGCGATGGGGACGGACGGATTGTACTGGTACAAGAGGTAGACATCTGTATTGTCCGCCATGGTGAAATTATTCTAGAAAATGGGTTTGCCGTCGATTGCGACCTTTATTAAGGGGTCCTCGAACAAGGTGGAGTAGAAAACAACTGAATTCGGCTCCGGAATCGCAAGCAAGATCCTGGCTTTCGTCGTGAATTGGGACGACTCGAAATTGGCGACGTTTAAGGAGAAGGATCAGTCAAACTTATTATTATTTTCGTCCTGAACAAAGATAGAAAGAGTAGAAACAAAATCAAAAAGTCCCAAGTGCAGCTCGCGCCTATCTATACCCAAGTCGCGATTCGTTCCCCATTCTCGACGCCCCTGGATACGTCGTATTGCCGTGTTCGTGTGTTTTCACAGGCTCGCTTAACTAGTGTACGAGCAATACGGCGTATTTTTTGCACAGCCGCTCGCCGCCCACTGGCATACCCTACCCCCACTTGTCAAATTCAATGTCTTTATGGGCTTGGCACTTCCGCGGCGGGTTAACATCGCCCCGGATTCGAGATTACGTGTTAAGGTTGAGCCTCATTCGTAATTGATACGGTACTACTATACCTTGAAAAGTGGAACGGGAAGATCATCTGAAGACGTAAGGTTAAGGTTAGCCCTGATGTGCAAGCATCTGGAATTCTCGATACGACGAACCTTATTGACGCACGGAGATTTATTAGACCTTTTCATACCTCGATTCTTCCAATTGAGGTTCTCAGTCGATTACTTAATCGTGCATATCAACGTCTCAACGTGGGGTTGTTGACAGTATTCGGCTATATCACGTGGCTGGCTCTCACGAATTAATACCTGGACATTGGGTGACAAGCTGCGGCTACTTCGCTACCGGCATTCACAACAATGATTCCGTACTTCGTATGTATGAATTATGTCATTGGATAGAACAATATTCCTCTTTACCCTTCTCTTCTGGCGTTTTTCGACCTGGGATTCGGTAACCACCCCCAACGATCATTCGATAGAGATCAATTCTCTGCTTGTTCCGGACTTCATCCTCCTCATGTGAAATATCGGAAATCTTGATGAGCATCTCCCAGAGCAGTCACATCGATCTGTGGCCCACCCTCAACGGCATGGACTGTCGCTGCCGCAGCATCTCTTCTTTTATTTTCTGCTTTCAACTTGAAATGCAGAAATAGGGAAACTGGCACGATCAAGCCTGTGAGTCCACAGCCGACAGCAGTACCTTTCACGTAATATGGCCTATTCAGGAGAACTTAACTCTCGCCCTTTCAAAGAACTGAACTTCACAACGAGAGAGATACGTACTTGTCTTCATTTGGAAAGATTGTAGCAGCAACGAAGGATGAGCATTGACCGAAGATAGCCAGCATCGACATCACGACCCCCTTCTTCGTGTCACCGGCCTGGTTGTTGAGCATCCAGGTCATGTTTAACGCAAGTGCTGGGAAGACACCACAAGATGCAAACCAAATTGCTGCATAACGAACATGGGTGTTGGTTTGAGAGGCTAAAAGCCCATATCCGATTGCACCAAGGGTAGCAAACCCAGCAGTGAAGGGTCCTCGGTTTCCAAATCTCGCAGTAGCAAAAGCCGCACCGATACAGCAGATGAACGCGCCGAGATATGGTGGTGCAGTCAGGCCCTGGGCCCGAATGCTTGTGTATCCTAGGCCCTGAACGATGGTTGGAAGAAAGTTGGACAAGCATGCGAAAGAGTAGTTGCAGCAGAAGTGGTTCAAAGCATGGCAGTAGCTCTTATAGTCAGCTATGCCGGCCCAAATTTGTGCCTTGGACAATTTGCTCTTCGCTGTTGTGTCAATGGTTTGCAGTCTTTCAACAGCAAAAGTCTTCTCGTCTTCTGTCAAGAACTTGGCACTTTTGACATCATCCATCAGGTAGAAGTAGACAACAGGCGCCATGAGGACCGTAGGGATACCCTCTACTCAAGAATTAGTTGTGTCGCTGACGATATGTGAAGGACTTGCCGATGATCAAAATCCATCTCCAAGATGCGATATGAGACTCGATATGGGAAATTCCGTATGCCATGGTGCCAGCAACACAGTTTGCAATAGGACTCGTTCCCAGTAGAAGAGCAACCCGTGCTCCAAGCTCCGATCTCTTGTAGGCCAGCGACATGAAGTATGGTACGCCGGCTCCAAAGCCAGCTTCGAAAAGGCCCACAAAGACTCGTGTTGCGATCATACCGCCGAGGTTGTTGACAGCCCCGCTACACATAGCAGCACCGCCCCATCTTCCAAGTATCAGTTGTGCTGCCATGTTGACATTGAAGAGGAACATACCCGATACATAGTACTGTGACGTAGATATGGGCAGGGAAGATCTTCCAGCAGAGCACGAGCCATTCGCAGGAAGTGTAGGTGATGTAAAAGGAGAGAAGTACCCAGGACCACTATTGCCAATCAGCGGACTCTGTATTTTAGGGGAAAGTTGGACAGACCTGAACACTGCTTAGTCCCAGATCTGTCTGAGCTCCTGCGGTCTTTGCGTTGCCGATGTTGCCTCGATCGAGGTAAGAAAGGACAAATAAGACACAAAGAAGTGGCATGAGATGTTTATCGAGCTGTTGGGTTTCAAAGTCAGCACTGTTCAAATTCCCAGTTTGGTCATGTATTGGAAGCCCGGTGCTTTACCTTGCGACTGATGACCTGACTGAGAGCTTGTCGTCTCTCACGTTCGTCGATGATGGAGGTGGTCTCCTCGATATCGCTGGCCTTCTCTCGACTCATATCCTCGATGAAGGTTTGGTCCTGTTTTGTCGTGGATTGCATTGTGTAGGTCTTCGATCCGAAGATCGAATGATAAGTAAAATCTTTGGAGGATGTCGTCGATGATCTAAGAGCAGTTGCTACTGGGGACTGAAGGATGTCCCTTCTTTATAGACTAGGCATTGCTTCTCCTGAGCGACGATGTTGAGCTGGATCCCGGCTACCAAACTCTGGGGGACACGCCACAGTGGACGAATGTTGGGGCCCCGCGTTTTGACCGTGCCGGCCTGACTCGCTCCATGCCACTTTTGATTCCACTTATTTGCGTGTAATAGTCTTGGAGGCTTGTTGTTAGTTGTTGCGGGGTTGAGAGACACGAGGACGGCAGGGCCACCGCTACTATCCGCGTTACGCTACAGTAGCGTGTCCAACTGCCCGGGATCAAGTTCACCATCGTGAATCCTGATTGTTCATTCAGCTCGAACGAGTTTCACATTCCCTGAAAAATGAGCTACGGAGTAGATCATACTCCGCGAAAGGCGGCAGGCACATGGAGAACATAGAGCTTTTTGTTGTCTCATCCGCGCTCGGAAGCAGTCCACTGCCAAAGCCCCAAAGCCTCTATTTACAGGCAAGACATGTGTTTTTTCCCTCTGTAATATGCACCCATGAAACACCAGGCCAAGGTCACTGGTTAAGGTAAGCCATTACAACTTCGAATTTGATGAAAATATCGAGGAGACACCTGAATAGATTCGTTATAAGGCAAAGAGAAAGATTGTTCAAGAGAGGCAGGTGATGAATATAATGATGCATATTGTTTGTTAAAACTATAAATGTCCAAAGTTCCCAACGTTGAAAATTAATCCCACTGATGCCCATTGCTACCGTTTTTCGATCCCTCATATTGGTACTTTTCTTCTAGCTTGTAGTACTTGTTGAAACCAACACCTTCGCACACTTCATCGTAACTCAGAACGACGGGAGGCTTACCAACCGTGAATGATGCTTTGATGTTTTCGAGGGTCTCTCTGATACTCTTGAGCTTGGCTGCTACAAGAGTCCATGGATAAGCCACCGCCGAATATCCCAGTCCAGCGAGCTCACTTGCAGAGATATTCTCAGTCTTGCCGCCTTCGATGATGTTCGCAAGGCAAGGAAAGTCAAGATCCTTCCGCATGCTCTCCATTGTTGCACGATCTGGCAATGCCTCGACAAACACACAATCAACACCAATCTCAATAAATTTGCGAGCTCGGGTGAGAGCCTCATCATAGCCAAGAATCAAACTGTCGGTCCGCGCCAAGATCCAGATATCCAGACCTTCGTTTCTTGCATCTACTGCAGCTTGGATTCTGGCGTATGCTTCGCTTCTTGATACCACAGATTTTCCTTTTGTGTGTCCACACCCTGAGGGAGGAGTCAATATCATTGAGACATGAATGCGGGGTCCGGGTTCAAGACTCACGCTTCGGCCATGTTTGGTCCTCAATCATAATGCCCGCTGCTCCAGCTGCTGCAAATCTAAACTGGATTTCAGTACTGAAATTCGAGATTCTTAAAATATTGGGAAAAACTCACCCTTCGACGGTTCGCCGAACGTTCATGGGACTTCCGTATCCCGTGTCACCATCGGCAATGACTGGAATGCTGACCTGCCTAACAGTTTCCTGGATCTTCCCCGCCATCTCCTGAAACGCAATGTACCCAGTGTCGGGCAAGCCAAAAGCAGACGCAACAGCATATCCTGCAAGGAAAACAACCGGAAATCCAGCTTCCTCGACAAGTCGCGAGCTCAGAGCGTCGTAACTGCACACATGAGCAACAATCTTGGCAGGATCATTGTGCGCTTCTTTGATCAGAGTTCGCAGACGGGCGGCCTGAATAGATGGAATTCGCCCTCGGACGTTGGAGATTTTGAGATTTAAATCTTGGGCTTGATCCCCACCAAAGCCAGTCTTTGTTCCTATAGTGTCAAACTTGTAAGGATACGCCACTGTGTTGACAATTGACTTTGACATTTTGTGAAGCTGAAATCTGGGAAATGGTGGATTATTTTTCGGCGACGGGTGGTTGGAGAGAGGAGGAAAGTTGATGACCAGATATCTCGAGTTGCTTTTGCTACTGAAGAAGGATATCTAACATATATAAGGGCCATGATCATCTTGCTCTTAGCTTTTACCGTAGCCGATGTCGGTGCTTGGGATATGTTCTCTTAGCCCAATACTACTCGTATATGCGGCAAAGGCCGGTGCTCATGTGTGATTTTATGGCTTCATTGATTGCTGCATGCCGCGTCCGCCGAATGCTTCCCAACACGCGTACCTAAAGGCACCCCAGGTTCAAGTTCTCGGGAGAGGCTTGCCAAGTACCCCGCTCGAGAATAGAGTAAGCGAGCACCTCGAGCCCCTAAAACAATCCCCGACTAGACACTCCCACCTTTAAGTCTGCATGGTATGGCTCTCCGCACCATATATCTCTAGGATCCGCCGTGTAGCAGAATATAATCCTGGTGAGATTCTCGGTAATGCTCGGCGCTCCGCCTGACTGAACATAACATCACATATCAACCGACAATGGCAGATAATGGATTGACGACAACGCCGCCAGCATCCGCGAATTCTTGCTCGGATGACCGAGCGGCCGAGGAGACCACAAAATCTGCTCCAGAGAAAGCGTATATGCGGACTTATGTTGCCTGCGCAAATTGCCGTGCGAGAAAAGTCAAGTGTATTATTGGAGCGCGGCCGCCATGTGCAAAATGCCAACGGGAGCACCGAGAATGTGTCTTCGATGACCAGAAAAGGTCACAGAAACGATCACAGAAACGGCGGAAGCCGCCAGTGTGGTCAGATGTCGAAGCAACATCAGGCCAGAGTCCAGATGGGCTGCCGGAAGACGCTGGACCTCAATCCAGAGGCGACGCGGCTAGCACAAATCAAGAATATAATCTTCCATCAAAGGATCCCAAAACAGTGGGAATAGCACCAGTAGCGGCGCAATATGACGTTCCAATCGGTAGACAGGCTACACAGCCTCTCACTGATAAAGTCATACGTGCTGTGGTAGCGAAGCCTGGTGATGCTTTGAACCTACTCTTCGATGCGAGTCAGCCTATGGAGCAACATTCAAACTTCAATCGCAGAGAACATGGTTTACAGAATCCAGAAAGTATCAACGATGATATCAGCATCCAACGTTTGGCAGATCCAACAGGCTCGAGGAACAATGTATACCAGAACTTTGAACTCCCAGCATCTACACCTGGGCTGACCCCCGCCGTGTCAACTCTGTCTTATCCTACAGATGATGTTATGGATGTTTGGGACAAGTGTCGATTTGTGCGACAAGGTTGGTTCACGTCTCAAGAGGCTGTGACGTATATTGATCTGTAAGTACATCAAAAGGATTTAAATTCAGGCGTAAACTGCTGACGTTTCAAGATTTTACCAGAACATGGCACATTGGTCACCAATCCTGCCAGATTTGTATCAATACCATCACAATCACCACCGGCTAATTGTCGAAGAGCCTGTGCTCTGCACTACTATCCTTATGATCTCTTCAAGATACCATGTACTTCCTGGCGTGGGTGGAAACTCGAGAGGTTACCACATTCACCATAGGTTATGGCATCACTGTGAGCATTTGATAAACCGCATTGTTCTGGGCCAAGAAAAATATTCAACTGCAAAGACTAGAACGCTTGGATCAATCGAGGCTCTGCTCCTGATCTCGGAGTGGCATCCACGTGCAATACTGTTTCCACCAGAAACCGATGGATGGGATGCACAATTGCTATCTACAGAGATCGATGCTCGTCATCGCTCAATAGCCCAAGATGATTCCCCGCCTGTCCGATGGCGAGAAGATGTTTTTCTGCCTACATCTAGGTCTGAATCTATGTCATGGATGTTGGCCAGTGCAGCCTTGAGCCTTGCATACCAACTGGGGGTCTTTACAGAGGATGGAACCTCGATATCTCAGTCGAAAAATACCAACACAACCACTTCACAGCATGCTCGGATTCGAAAACTGCTTTACGTCTATGTCAACCAAATATCAGCACGTCTCGGGTGCCCATCGATGCTACCTCAAAACATAACCTACCTAGCATCAGAAACAATTGGACCTTTATCATCAACTGGCCCCGAGTATCATTGGGCTACATTCATGGAGTATTGGATGGACATCACCAGGTTAATGAAGACTGCCTTTGATATGTTTTTCCCATCCGCGACTTTTACGAAACAGCTACTGTTGAGTGGACGCTATGTTCCACTACTTCAGCATTTTTCGCCATCCCTCGACAAGTGGTGCGAGAAATTCACTAAATTTCCCAGTAAGTTGAGCAAATGTTTCGATTGAGTGCTGTAAAGCATCCAGTAGACTCCTCAAAATTATGTTTTCTAGCAATTAAACAGCATATCATCGATTGAAAGATGTTGGAAGCTGACGACAAATAATACAGATTTCTCTCAACCTTTTGAAGACATTCTTTTCATCGAATATCACTACACGAAAGCGTATACAAACTCACTAGCAATCCAGGCAGTTGTAGAACGGGCCATATCGCGGGGAGCCGACAGATTCGGAGGCGATGATGACGACATTCTTTCCCGCTCAATGGATCCTCAAGACTACCGATTTATCAACGAAGTAGTGACCAGCAGTCGCGAGATTCTCCAGAAAGGCATCGCACTGGTCCGATCCGAAAGTCTCAAATTCATGCCCATGCGAATCCTGCTCCGCATCACATCTGCATCACTCTTCCTGCTCAAAGCAATCAGCATTGGCGGCCCAAGTGTAGATCTCCAGGTCTCCTTGAAGATACTGGATGAGAGTAATGCCGCACTCAAAGCTACGCCTGTTGACGACATGGACCTTGCATCACGATATGCCACATTGATTGAGCGGCATGTAACACGTTTTCGTCACAACTTTACCAGTTCGCGACAGCCGGATCTTCCACAGGGGTTCTCTTCTGGAGTACAGGCTTTCGGAATGAATGCTTCTTCGTCGTTCACCGAGGGACAGAATATGCGTCGCAATGATGTGAGCGGGATCGCGGAATCTTCTACTCAATTCGATGATCCGCTGTCAATGGATACGCAGATGTTTGGAGGATTCGAAGACTGGAGCTCTCAGCCTTTCGATCCATCACTGGCTCCATTTTCAACGAATGGAAATCAGATATTTGTGGGCTTTGATGCGGGCTCATTGGACTTTTTGTGGAATATCCCAGATTGGGAAGTTTAAGGAATTCTTCCTCGCTAGGCACAAAATCCAACATTCATTTCTCCCCTGTCATTCAGACCGTTGGCACTATAGAAGTGTTCATAATTGTACTGATTCCTGTTACATCCAAACAATGTACAAGATGTTGATTGTACCATTACGCATTGTAAGCCATGGCTTTTAAACGACATGCCTTTCTAGGATCTGTGACTTCACAGCCACATTCCTATCTTTGAACCTATCAAACTGAGTGCCAGCCAAAGTTCCCCAATAAAAGATCGACCTCATAGCCAGCACTCCAGCAGGATGAAGTAGATGCCTGTTTTAAACGTGAGGTTTGAGATATTCCAGAGAGCCATTGTATCTGCTCCCTAGATCGACCCACACGGCACACTGAGAGCCACTCGCCAAGCCATCTGCAACCACGGATAATCGCGGGGCATCATGCTCCTCGTGCCCATTAGCCAAGCTCCCAGCCATCGTTGCACTGCCTCCTTTTCCCGAACCTTCACTCCGCGTCTCGGAGGGCGGATTGCTGCCGCGATGTCAGTAAATCACATACCTTGCAGGTTGCGAAATGCGGGGGCGGGGGAAGCTGAGGTGTGCTGTGTAAGGAGCTTCGCTTGGTCTGCGCTGGGACGCTAAACGATGTTGACTTGGTAGCTTAGCTAGGGACCCGAGTTCAGAAAACCTGCCTTCTCACATATAGACAAAAAATATTGATTTAAAAACGAAGAAAATTGCGGGCAACTCTCATCATTACAGCGATTAGCCCTCATCTACAATCAGAAGCCTGTACAAAACTCGCCAGAAAAACATTTCGCCAGTAGCAAGCAACGATGGGTGCCGAACAAAGCTGGGGCGGAATCATGAGCACTTTCGAAGACTGTGTTCTCCTTCTTGACAGCAGTGAGTTCAGCAATCAACACATATACTTATATCTCCCAGCAAACAACACTCTGTGTTCAATTCCGGTACTGATATTTTGGATTCTAGACACCCTGACTGCAGCAAGCCACTTCGACGATACGGTTATTTGCCCCAGCCAATTGAAGCAGGAGCAGGGTTCCGGCGGGAAGAAAGATGAGAATGAAGTTGGAAGAGCGCGTTTTACACAGAGTCAAAGTCCGTCAGACTCGGATTGGGAGACGGTGACTGGGTCGGAGATTGACGGTATGTTCGGAGCTCTACTTCCAACCCGTAACAAAGTGCTGACAAGGTTTATAGAAACAGACAAGCTGTCTGTAGTGATCTATGAAGAGGAGGAAATGACAGAATCTGGGATGGAATATGAGAGTTGGGAGGACTTCTTGACTGTGTATGGCTCGGAGGATATGACGAATCATGAGAGCATCAAGGGAGAGAAAATGTGCTCGACTGCTTGTGGGAGCAAGTCGGGAGATGGGAATTTGGTGCAGTCGATAGAACTGGAAGACTTGCAGGTGGAGCATGCTTGAGGATAATACTTGTTGTTTGGAAATGATAATGTATCACGCATACTAGAGTTGACACTCACAACATCTGGCACTTTGCTGTGTAATTTCTTCAAAACTTGGTATTAGAAGGATTTGCTAGTTAGACTTGGAAAGATCGCGATGCTGTCTGTCAGATATCCAAGATAGCACACTGATTCCCACCAAATCTGTCACAAAAAGTCCGTTTCCTTCCTTTCCAATGTCTTCACAACCGCAATAGCCTGCTCAGCAATAGTCAACGTGAGGACAGTATGCGGCAGTATCCTCGCAAGATGTGGCAGAAATCCTTTGTAACAAGCTAACAAACCCTCCGTCATGACCGTCTTTGTCAAACAGTCGAAAATACCACGATACAACGTCCCGTTCTGATTATACATCCGAGCCATGATAGTGTCTTGCGTTGAGTCAGCGCTGTCATATCAAACCAAATTCGCTACAGCCAGCGGATAGAATTGTATCACTCACCAACAGGATGCATCAAGCAGCACACAGCACACCCACTGATCGAACTACCAACCAAATGCAAACCCGTTCCTTCCTTCATATTCATCCTCTCGACCAACACCCTTTTAGCAGCATAATAACAAGGCAACTGCGCCGAACTTCCAACCCCCGTTCTCAAAATCGCCGCATCACAACCACGATACAAACCCCTCAATCCCTCCACCCTATAAACCCTTCTCAAAGCATCCCAAGTACTCTTATAAACATACTGCGTACCCATCGGCGCCACTCTAGAGTACGTCTGCATTCTCGTTTTCACCAGGAAGAACGGACTGCCGAGCACAGCACCGATGATTCCAGACAGAGCACCAGAGAAGACATTTATGCCAAAACTCTGCTTCTTCGCATCTGCGTAGAGAAGAGAAGTGAGAGTTGATCGGATGGGCTCGTAGAATCCGATTCGGCTGCCGTTGAGGAGGAGTTGGTAGGCTGAGCCGGCGCCGAAGCCGCTGTAGATTCCGCGGATGCCTTCGTTGCGTAGGATGACTTTGAGGCCGTGGAGGGGGCCGTTGTATATTCGTGTTTGAGATGAGGTCTTTCGGAGCTCACCTTGGAGTTGCATGCTGGATGGTGTTAGTATATTGGATCAGCTTTGGGAAGGATGGAAGTGTTTTTTTGATCTTACCGAATTTTGACCGTTTCGAAGGGGTGGCTTGCGATGACTGCTCCGCATCCTGCAACGCCGCCTGCAGCAAAGACACTTTCACAATTTAGCATATACTTCTCTTGTTCAAAAAATTACGATGTAAAGCACTCACCCTGGAATTGACGACATGAGGATGGGATAGTATAAAGAAGCACGGCGAAGAATATGCACCAACTTTTGAATACCGACTGATCTTTTGGTATTTATGAAATCTAAAGGCAAGCAAGAACGAAATATTTGGCTCGTACTTCAAGAGATTATAAAAAAAAACATTAACTCGCAGTGCAGTCTCCATGAGCTTTACTCTCCAAGTGTGTCTCCGGCATGTTGATGTTGTGCCGCGCTTAGCCGAATCTGAGGGTTGTCTCGCCTCAAGCCTCAAGCGAGGAAGCTGAGAGGAGGACAAACCTGGCAGGATCTTTTCTCTGAAGCCGAAAGTCTTGTTCTTGAGACTAAAGTCACTTTATCATAAAGAGGCATATACTACAATAATTATCTAGCTGCCACATCCATGGAGCTGTGCCCTTGATGATTCCCACGCAGCAGACACGCTCAGGGCAGCGGTGCTCTATCGGTTTAAAGGCAAAACGCTGCACTTCTATTCCCCACTACATGAGATAAGTACGGCAATGTGTGAAATACTCATCACGATGTCGACAATGCACAACATTCAGATAAAGACAGTTTGTTTTCTGAAGCCAAGGGGTTTCTGTGCTCTATTCTCTCAGCTAATGCAATTGACGAACGTCCGATTTAGACGCCGTGTGAACCAAACTACTTGGGTGACAAGTCCTTTCTCGCCTGCAACGTGAGGTTCACAATCTCAACCACCATATGCTCCGCTTCATCCTGCAAGAATCTCCCAAACTCCTCTCTATCCTTCCTACTCGCACCCTCCCACGCCGGATACCAAACCGCAGAGTAGATCTCAATGCCCGCCTTACCCGCCTCCGCTACCTCCGCAGCACTCAAGTCCCGAACCGCAATGTGCAGGACACCGAATGTCGTTCCGTCCATCAATTGCTTCAATCCAGCTCTCTGGAGAGGAAGCAAGAATTGTGGACCTTGGTCCCAGGATGCGGGGTACTGGATGTTGTTGAAGCTTGGGATAGCATAAGAAGGGACATTGAAATGAGTTCTCTGCATGCCAATCTTGGATGTCACGCCACCCCAGCCCTCCAAGATCTCAGAATGCGTATCCGTAGCATTGCTAGGTGTGGATTTGTAGTAATGCTCTGGATTACCATGGAGGTTCGCGGCATCAGCGAAAGGTGACAATGTCCAGCCGGCGAACTGAATAGCCGTGAGCGTCGAGCCGTAGTAGGCCTTGACATTGGCACGGGCTGCGATCCAGGAAGCCAGGTTCTTGTCTGACTCTTTGACGACTTTGGACCAGAACTTGTCGGCATTCTTGATGTCCTTGGAGAGGAGGTCGAAGAAGATGCGTTCGTCGTCGGACTTCTCGATGATGCAGTCCTTGAGAGCGTAGACTGCGTTGCGCTTGTCGGCAAGGTTCTTGTCGGAGGGGACGGCGCATTGCTTGCCCAGATCTGTGGACTTGATGCGGTCGTAGGCGATGCAGGCGGCATCAATCTCGTAGGAGTCCTTGATTGGGGTGGTCAATGGCTCGCTGGAACCGAGGAGGCGGACTTTAGAAATGTCAGCACTGTGAACTGCAATTTCTTTGGATCTGGGACTTGAGATCCTGAGACAGACATCGAGGTCCAAATCATGATCTTTCAGAATGATGGGCGAAGTTTGTACATACCTTCGAAGTCAACAGGAGGAGAACCGTGAGTCTCAATTCCTGCCGCAATGGCCACAAGACCAAAGGTCATGGCGAGAGATTGGAGACGCATCTTGAGTATGATAGTCAAGAATGGGATGGAGGAAGTTTTTCTTGATGAATTGTAGAACACGAAGCTGGTCTGAATTTTCGAGGTAGATACCGATTTGATGTAAGTTCACCACAGGCAGAGGAAGCTTATAAATGTTGAAAAGTCCTCCATGAGCACCGGGACCAATCCTACCTAGTCTCCCCTGGAATTCACTTACTGTTGGCACGTTCATTCTGGAAAACCAACAGCGCCTTTTAGAGTCACACACCGCTGATCGGAGACTAGCAAGGTACCTAAGGAAAGTAGGCTAGAAATCTGCAAGAATGAGTTGCAGTGGGCGACTGTTTAGGTAAGCCGTTCAATGAATTAAATTGGTACTTTTATCCAATTGTGGCCGGTAAATGTGGAATTGATTTCTTGGCTTCCTATTTGGGACGGACGCTCCGGTGGTTGATCGACTAACGTCATACTTATTTCCTGGTGTGCGATTGGCCATTGTACGAAGGATGCATGTTGAATATTCATTTCCCCAGAGCATTATGAGGCGCCATTCCTTAAATATCGCAAGGAATGTGACTTGACCCACAAGTGGCGGCTCATCGTTAGTTACACAGGAATTCAATGAACTCAAGTAAAAATTCATAGTTTTAGAGAAGTGAAGCACAAGTAATGATTCATCGAATTCGTAAATTGTATCAGAAGCTTATGGGATGCTGCCCTCCAGATTGAATATGGTACTGCTCGAATTATACTATGATAAAAAGTGTTACCGGTCTCGGAACCACCAACCGCCAACGGAACGGACCGTAGCTTCTCTCTTATTCGAGCCGACCTCGCCGACCACGGACAATCACTTACCTTTCTCCAATAACTGAAAACGGAATGCTGTCTCCAGTAGTACTTTCCAACGATAACTTGTACTCAGTCTGCGAGATTCAAATTGCGGTCTCCGGCTCACCCTATTTGTCAGCATCCTAAGGTTAAGCACATATCAGTGGAAAGCAAGGGCCCGAAGAACAGCTCGAACTATGACAAATAAAAGTAAAGTATCACTTCAAAGTGCATATTGAAGTGTAGGCTTGTGTCCTCAAAGCTGCCCACGTTGTCCACCTCAGCTGAGGCAAATACCTTTCCGGGTTTCCCAAATCCAAATCGTCATCCAAATTCCGGAAATCCCATAAGTGTCTATACACATTAAGACAATCCCAAAGTTGTTGTTCAAACTGCTCTGAATCGGTGTCCCCTGTATTTGGATTGAAGATTAAATTCGAACGCTAGGTGAACCCCTATGCAGATAAAATATAATGAGCTTTTCTCAATCACCGCTATTCTGATCCCAATCAACGATGATTTGTAGATCACACTTACTACACATAATACTAGTACTCAGATCGAATCGCAGTCGGGAAGCGATCCCCCTCAACAGGATTCGACTTCAGCACCTCCTCAATCTCCTCCATTTCCTCCGGCGTCAACACCACATCCGCAAAATTCTCCTTAACCCTCTCCACACTTCTCGCACCCACAGCAAGCACAATGAAAGGCTTCCCCTCCTTCCCTTTACTCTTCACCCACGCAAGCGCCAGCTGCGCCGCAGTCACACCTTTCTTCTCCGCCAACTTCTGCAACTCCTGCACCAGCAAAACATTCTTCGCGAAAGCCTCTTCTTGGAAACGCGGGAAGTTCTTCTTGAAACTATCCTGCGGGATGTCGCTTGGTGATTTGATGGCGCCGGTCAACATCCCAGCGCCAAGCGGAGTATGGGCCGTGACTACAATGCCGAGCTCAGCACAGGTGTCGGCGACGCCATTGCTAAAGATATCAGTTGCCCAAAGCGAGACCTCTGCTTCCACCATATCGATCTTAGTAACTTTTGCAGCTCGACGGATAGTCGATGCTGCTGCTTCAGAGAGCTGAATGCCGTTGATCTTGCCTTCTTTCTTGAGCTCTGCGAGAGCGGAGACGGTGTCCTCGATAGGGACGTTGGGATCGACTCTGCAGGGCCCGAAGACGTCGATGGTTTTCTTGCCGGCGAGGATCTTGTTGGCATTGTCGACTGCTTCACGCATGTAAGTTGGCGAGCAGTCTAGGACCATGGGTTGGAAGGATCGGACGCCGGTTTTGACGCAGATGGTGACTTTGCTGGCGTCTTCGGGGTATGCGGTAAAGTAGCGGGCGAGTAGGTGGAGAGACTAGATTCTGTTAAGTATGGGATGTATGTTTGGGAAAGTTTTAGGGTCTTACGTTGGCATGAGGCGGTCCGTAGAAATCTGCTACGTTCCAAACTGTTGCTCCTGCTGCAAGTGCTGCGCGCATTGCTGCAAAGGCGGTGTCATCTGAAGTCGGAGCGGCTGGATTGGCCGTGAAGTCTAGTCGGGAGATGTCAGGAGAATCCGATTGAAAAGTTGGAATTAAACAGAGTCTAACTTACTCATAAGACCCAGGCCATTGGCACTGATGGGCCTTCCTACAAGTGTTGCCATGATTGGGTTCAAAGTTTGCAATTGGGGTTGGACTTCGGTTTTTGACCTGGAAAATTCAAGTTGAAAAATGCGAAGACTCAATGCGATGGATTATTCGATATTCTCTGAGGGAATCGAGAATCTTTATAGTCACAGCTTCAAACTTCTGCATCTATGCAGCTTACCATTTCGGTCGACACTCACTTGCGCATTCCGTGGAATCCACTGGGTTTTAGTTCCCTGTAAGTCCACAAAAGTTCCTCCGGGTTATGATATGACAAGATATTTTGAGCTTATCATCCAGTTCGTGCCGCATCTAGCTTCTGTAGACTGGAAACTAGTGGTGTTCGACCAGTTACAAACTGGATTGGGATATCCTAGCGAGCGGACGGAGTTAACCTTGGGACTTTCTCCTACCAACGAGCGTTTAGAGGTATATTTGACATAAGTTGATGTATTGTAGATGAAGATCGCACAAGGCAAGGATTGGCCGGAGATACCGGCTTTTGAGCTGGGACAAAGTCAAAACAGGTCCAGGACTCGCTTAGTCACAGCTGACTACTGTAACCATGCTTCTATTTCAACTTCAACTCCACTCAGCCACTACTCCAGTCGAACTTGACATACAACAAACAGGCAAAGTGAAAGTCCCAAGAACCACACGAATTACCACCACAAGTTCCTTGAAAAAAATATTCCTAAAATGGCAACGTTCAACCATCTGGCAGATGATGTTCTCCTCAACATCATCGATCGGATTCATATCCCCCAATCATTTCCTTAGCATGGCACATGTATTGAAGAGCTTAAACCGCTGCGTCACGCCGCATCTGTATCGATATGTGTATCTATGGCCGAAGTCTCCCTGGGCGTCAGATCCGCCTGTCTTCATTAAATGGCCGAATAGTCTCACCCAGATGTATTGTGCCGCCGACCAACGTACACGTATCTTCCACCTCGACCTTTTCAAGCAAACGATTGTTCAACGCCCAGATCTACGACGATGTGTAGTTGCGGCAAGCTTTGAGTGTCGAGTCAACGACTTTGAGAACCATCTTGTTTCCGTTGTGGTTGAAATCCTGGCGGGGTCCGCCGAATGTTTGCATGCTGCTCCAGAAATGTGTATTCCGCCAGCCCACTACTTCAAATATTTGACATCTCTGGAAATCGATGGAGAGGAACTGAGGGGCAGTTACGAGGGTGCTCTCTGCGATATTTTCTGTCTGCCGATGCTTCAGTCGATTTCTGTGGCTCGTGTAAAGAATTGGACGTGTTTTGACACCAGCACCATTCGAGCTGACCGAGCCAGGACATCCACCGTGAAAAATCTTTTACTCCGAGAGAGTGTCATCCCGGGTCCCGATCTGAAAGAAATCCTTACTTGGGCGAAAGCTCTCAAGTCTTTTAGACTCGCGCTCCATTTTCGTGGCCCGCAAGAAGGCCACGAAGTTGTTCATCGGGCTTCGGATTTTAGTGACGCCCTGCTGCCTCAAGCGTCGAGTCTGGAAGAGCTTCACGTTTACTGTGAATCGGAATTAGTTTTAAAGGCTGATCCATCCACCCTTTTTGACCAGCCTAACACAGTGGACCTTCGCGACTTCACCAAGTTGAGACGTGTTGGTCTTTGTCTCTCATTTCTGATGGTTTCCATATCAGATGCAGATTTCCACAATATTGATGTCGGGTCTTTCCCTCAGACATACCAAATATTGCCCCCAGCATTGGAAGACCTGCAAATTGAAATGCCAGACGACTTTCCACCTGCAGTCTTCTTCGCAACAGATCAAAATTGGGAAGTTGAGCTTCGGGCCGGTGAGTTGAGCTCCATCATGAGCGCCATATTTGAGAACAAACAGACACATCTTCCGCGCTTGAAAAGGGTTTTGTTTTTCCAGTGCCGGAGTGTCGCAGAAGCGGAGGACCTGCGAGCGATTCCAGGATGTTCCCAGATGCTGGAACATTCTGAATCCGCTGGGGTAGATGTCTCTTGGACCAGTTGTAGTATCCCGCCACTCTTCAACCATTGAAATGTTTTCGCACAGCGTTTTGGCGGCGTCAACAAAGTATGAGTTTTGTGCGCTTTACTTTCCATGTTCCAGTTCAATGCCTGTTTCTATTTTGACACACTTTATGTTTTTCTACATCACTGTCAAGTTTGCGAGCAAGTCACGTCATGTTTTTCGCTTCCTTGTAAGCGACGGCAATGCCATGTTGTGCTCTAGCATGGCAGGATCTGGATTACTCAACATTCATTGGCACTCAACTGTCTCTCAATCATCAATACTGTTGAGCATGTCTTCTGTCGAGATCTAGCAGGCGACGTGAGGTTGAAACCATGTGCTTGATATACCAGCATCGCTTCGTTCTTTCCTCGACCGTCGGAACCTCAGGCAGTGTACAACTTGTATTAACGTAGCAAGGCACTGAGCTGCACCAAATACCAGCATCACTAACATTATTAAGCACCAACAACATCGGTAGTAATTAAAAAGGACTCCTCGCTGCACCGTCTCGCACACAATGCCACCACTTCCCAAATCTCAAGCCGAGTCCGATCATGTTCAAGACATTCCACCACAAATCTTATCTTCGTCAGCATCAAGGAAATCAGACCGCGAGCCATTTCATGCGACCTACTTACCAGGTGCTAGAATGGGAAGTAGTCAGCAGCACCCGAGCCAAGACAGTGTTTTCGGAGCTGGTGACACGCTGCCAATCCCGTTGATCAGGATACATCCTCCTCCCATGACAAGAGACAGCCAATACTCCGTCGGATATTCCAAATCGAAATTGAATGACATGGGAGGCAAAATGTCGATCAGCATGTCCACGGCCACTCAGATTCCAGGATCAATTGGAGCCGCAAGGAGTGATCGGGTTTATGTGACACCATATCCAAAGCTGGAAAAGGGAGATAGGCTGCGGGTCCCTGTCGCAAGGCGCTTAAGATTGCCAAAGGCATCGAAAAACAAGGCGCCTTGTAAACCATCGGGGAAAAGAGGAAAACCTTCAGAGCACTGTACGGAGCCCCGCCAGATCATCAAGCGGCATAAACACTGGTCGTCGCCAACGTCACAGTTCGGCCTGGCAAAAATAAGGAAACTAGAGGCTGCGATGGAAAAGGACCAACGTCTGTTGGAGAAGACGGGGGACGACGCATCCAAGGCCGGGTGCTCTGAATGGGATTCCGGATTCGATTACGGATTCGAAGACGCCCTCGGGAACAGTTGTCAAGCTGCTCAGTCCAGCTTCACTTCCCCTTCGCTTGCCCCCGAATTGGAGAAAGGCCCTCCAATATTTACCTTCAAGGTCCCTCATGAGTGCTCACATTCATTGGCTGCCAAAACAAGTAAGGGTCCTTCCAAAGCCACTTTTGAGGTCTTCAAGAAGCAATGTATCAGGTCGAACACTGGGTGAGATTTCTCTCTTACGCCGCGGGGAGTGCATGGGCGGCGTGCACATAGATAAGACTAGGGAGTAAAAGTGTTAGAGAGGGCATCCACAAAGCTGCTATCAGAACCACGGAAGAGGATTTGCCACGGCTCACTTCTATGTCGTATCGGCGACCATGAGAGATTTTCTCGCAGTTCTGTAAATAGCACTGGACCACGGATGATATGAATTATACCAACTTAACATTGGCGACGCTCACGACTCACCACTCTTCCCAAATTCTACCACTCTTCTTCGAGCTCCCAGATTAGAGCTACATCTCCATCACCTCCATTGTACTTTTTGGGTCGAACCTTCCTGCATCTCAGCCATTTGCCAATACTCTTCCTTCTGTGCTTGGGAGGTGCCTTCCTCGAGTGTTGCACTGTTGTGGAATGCAGCGTTCCTGCCGTCATCTGGAAAATCGCTTGTCCTCTCCCTTTTGCCCGTGGATTTTCTCTCAACAATCTTCCTTCACCATCATCAATCTCGTCAACAATACCTACCATTCATCATCCTTATACACCTCCATGACCAGTCGTCCACTTGACTGCATCAATACCAGCCACACTCACTTCTACCACAGACAATCTTTGGCCCCTCTCCAAACAGACCTAGACGCGCAGCAGCGACACCAAGCTCAACAAGGCGCCCACCTCAGACGCAGCTCCCAGTCTCCCAGACTATCATCTAGCATGGCTTTTATCAACATCTGGACCAACGACTGCCCCAACTCCAAAGACGACAAGAAAAAGAACAAAGACGACAAACCCAAGCCTCCTCCCTTCCCACGCTCAAAGTCCTCCAAGTCAACCAAGGATAAAGATACCCACACTCCCGCCCATAAGCCACACAAAGAGCACAAGCCTAAGGCCCACAAACCTCCCAAAGAACACAAGAAGCATCCAGAACCCAAGAAGTGCAAAGACTCGAAGCCGGAAGAGTCCAAGAAACGCAGCTGGTTCTCATGGCCACGGCAGTACGAGCCAGCCAAGCCTCCAGTCAACCTCACCAAAGCCCCGAACCACGATACTGGCAAGAAGGGTGACGATTCCAAGAAGAAGGTTGATGAGCTGAAGAAGAAAGATGCGGAGTTGAAAAAAGAGGGTGCCGAACTGAAGAAGAAGGACAAGGAGCTGAAGAAGGACGGCGCTGAGTTAAGAAAGATTGGCGATGACTTGAAGAAGAAGGGTGATGAGTTGAAGAAAAAGGCTGAGGATATGAAGTCTGCTGCGGAAGGCTCGAAGTCTTCCAAAGCTGCAGACAAGAAGACGAAGAGTCAGGAGCAGAGATCCGATGGTGATGATGGCTGTGACTGTCCATATGATTAGATGCCAGACATCAGGATACAGGGCTCGTTGGGGATGAACCTTCACATTTGAGTACTGGAATGGATGGGTTCGGAAGGTGGAGTTTAATGGTCTCCAGAAGTGGTAGATTGGACTTTATTATTATCTTCTTGTGCTTGCTTGTCAACAGGTCTGGCTGGTAATGAGAAGCAGACTGGGATTTCATATGTGATGTTGGGATGCCGGGGCTAGATTGACGATAATGAAATTCAAATTGAGTCTTCAAGTCTGCATGATCTTCATTTCTCCAACGAATAACAATTCTCTATAGAATATCGTAAGTCTTAGCTCTGCATCTCTAATTGATGATGTAGTCCTCATGATATCCCTGCTATCTGGCTCTTCACACCCAAGCACTAACTGAAACCTCGCACAGAATCACAGCACTTGAATCCGAAGGGGAGCGTGTCATGACTGGTTGTTTTGTCGAACAAAATCTATTCCAAGCTGACGAGTTAGGGGAGCAGCTACTGTCGTTGCATTTGCACGTACACGTACCCGCCTCTGAAGGTGTGGATACTGGAGTTCTTCTTGGACTGGTCCTCGGTGAAGCCACAGGACATGCGAGGGTTGCCTCCCGAACATCGAGCGCAGAGCCAGACCAGCTTAAGTTCAGCAGCGACACAAGGTCTTTGCTCCAGAATTCATCATCGAACCACTGCGCCAGGTCGTCAAAAGCATGACCTTCATCGGTTTTGGAGTGGACCGGTTTCTCGGTGCAGAAGGACGGCGGCAATTGCAGATGTAATGCTCGCCACATCCCGTACAGTTCTGGATTGTTGTTCCTGAAGATAGCTGATAAAGTATACTTTATATTGATCAGCTCAACCAGTGGAAGCCCATTTTTACGATTCTGGAGGGTTGCAAGCAATCAAGTGAGCGATACCCATGCATGACCCTCGCTTACCTATATGTGCCAACAACACTGGCGGCAAGAAGTGGGCAGTGCTACAAGGGTCGGACGTCACCAACGCAAACGACTCGATAATCCAACGAAATCCTCCTTCGAATCATTGAAACAACTCTCCAGAGGAGAAGAGGACAAATCGCCCGTCCGGACGCAATCGTGAACCAGCTAGTACACATGATCATAGTATGGCGACTTTCCAGAGTTTATCCGACGAGATCCTCCTCCTTGAAGTTCAGCGTTTCATTCCCCACGCAGCCCTTCTGAAGATAGCCACAGTGTGTATGAGTCTGAATCGCTGCAGCACTCCGGAAATTTACCGGTACGTCCATTACCATGAGCCCTGGAATCTCATATCTTCCAACAGGATGGGGAGATATGCTCAAGTGTACGGCTGGTACGCCGACAAGTCTCGACCCAACACCAAGATCCACTCCCTCCAGCTATTCCTGAGAACTATCTCCAGTTCAGAAGAATTACGGAGACATGTGTTTGGTGCCAGCTTTTACTGTAACGCAGTGGATGAAGATGAAATCACCGCGAAGGTAGTTAGGGTGTTGAGCGGTTCTGCTCACTTCCCACCCATCCATCTTGCCCCATATGGGCCTCTTGATGCTAGCACGATAATGCCGGTTCTGAATACTGTGACCTCGCTAGAAATCCGATTCGATCACTTACAACCAGCTCTGGAGAGTGAATCCATACCGATGGATACTTGTTACGACGTTTTCTGTCTGCCGAACCTTCGATCGTTAGCGATTATCCACGTTCGGTCATGGACTCCCCAGTCTTCAAAGGAGACCTCGTCGAATACAGAAAAGTCTATGTCGAGAGTCAAAACCTCAAAGGTCACTTGCCTATCCTTCTTTGCAACAATCCCGCCAGGTCCGGATTTTGACCAGATACTGTCGTGGCCAAACGCGCTAAAGTCTCTTCACTACGAGCTAAGCACAGATGATCATCACAGCTTCGGACTCGACTCGCCCACTCTATCACCTGTGGATTTCAGCACAGCACTCTTGTCTCAAATGACGAGTCTCGAAGAACCTGTCATCTATGGCGACTGTCAAGGAGATAACAAGGGGTATATGCCGGCAGAAGTCTTTGATCTACGACTTTTCCCCAATATCCGCGTCGCCGGTCTGGGCCTAGGATTCTTGATGGTGTCGAAGCTAGATGCAGAGTGTGCGGACGGCGTTGTCGGCGATTTGAAATGATTGCACTAGACAATAAACTCTTATTCAATCGAGTCACAGGGTTTTTCTTCGATGGTAATGTTGATCAGTGCTTCTCTAGCTTGGAAGTTGGAGATTCAAATATCAATCCTTCCACAGTGCTCAAAACGTCAAAGTTGAAAAGTGCCGTTGAGATTGGGACATGATAATTAAAAGGCAACAAAACAATGTGGCCAGATCATGCTCACTGGAAGATTCATGAAGTAGTCCAAAATAATTCGTCGTATTTATTTGCCTCAGAGCTTCAAACTTGCCCTTACAAGTCTTCTCTCTTACATTTTCCTTCCACCCACTTTGCGAATGCCACAGAGTTGTCGTCTATGAAGACACAGAACAGATCAGCAACCCATATCAAAACTGGCGTAATAAATGCTAACGTCAGCAGAAATACAAGCGTGACACCCCAGCCGCCAATGTTACCGCCTGAAAGGCCAGTGGCCCATCTCAAAACAGGAGGGAACAATCTAGGAGCCATAGACTCCAACACCGACCAATGTATCAGATACATTGAGTAGCTGATTTTCCCGAGATACCTCACAGCTGGTGTGGTGAAAATGGCTTGCAGGAACTTCAGTTGCTGACAAGCAAATATTATGAAGAAGGCAACTAGACCAAACCATGGGAGCCATATTCTATTGGCCTGCATGTTGTATGCTGATCCAGTGTGCCGTATAATCCAGTTAAATCCGGGATCCTGCTCAGCGTAGTCCTGTGGCCATCCAGCCAACCAAATGGTCGGTATCAAACTCAGAGTGCATACGACTTTTAGCGTGATATTGACTATCCTCCTCAACTGCTTCAACTGTCTGAATCGAGTCTGCTGTCGAGGCGAGTATCCTGGCTGAAGAACTCCTTCTTTATCTTCGGCCCCCTCTTCCCGCAACAAGACTTCGTCCTCCCCGTCTGTATTGACCTGGTGAGTCTCAGACCAAGAGGATTGCGTTTCCCACCCCTGTTGGATCAACCCTAGCTCTGCGAGCCACATGCCCATCAGGAATTCGGAGACAACCCACTGTCCTGCTCGCATGGCGACCAGAATGATAGCCGCAACTAGTGCCATTCTCACTTGAACTTTACACCTAGACAAGGCGATTACTGGGTGAATTAAACGTCAGCTACTTCGCAACCGAGAAACTTGTAGCTTGCAATCAGGATGTGAGTAGACCAAGAAGACCTCATGCCCACATTGAAACAGCGAGTGAAGAGGATATTAGACTATCACTGGGTACTTACGAACTGCAAAGAGAATCACCGAGTTCGCCATCTCTATTGGAATGGTCCACAGGTGTGGATCGGGGTGAATGAGCACTCTTTGATCCGGCCACCAAAAGTCAAGAATCTGTTTCAGTTCCGTCCACCATACCCCCATCTGCGCAGCGAAAGTCGTACTTCCGCCTGGTCGCAAGTCTATCCACAGCAGTATCTGCCCAATGAAAGTCGACCCCAAAACTGGTAGGAACAACCTCATGGCTCGACGGAACAGCGCCGAGGATACGGTGCTTAGGACGGCAGCATGTTCGTTGGCTCGTAATTGCTTCAGCGACTTGAGGGAGAGTGCGTATCCGGAGATGACGAAAAATATGTGTACCATGGGGTGCCCGCTGAATATTAGGCGGATACCAGGAAGCTGGAGTGGGGAGGATGGGTATGGAGTTTGGTCCTGCGACAGTGGGAGGCCGTAGGCTGGCAAGATGGTTGGAAGGTATTTTCCCTCGACGTGATAGATGTAGACGAAGAGGGCGGCGATACCGCGGAGTCCATCGAGATAGCTGGTTGGAGAGATCTTCCCCAGACAGGATTGCTGGGAGGGATCGAGGAGCGGCTGTATGAAAGTCGGGAGCAGGGAGATACCCACTCGCTTAAGCGGTTGGAGTAAGAGAGGTTTTGAGAATCCCATGTTTGATTGACGATTCATTTGTGAGTTTGATGGACTGCGTACGATGAAAGATGTCAGGTACTTATATTATACTACTATCGATTCGCGTCGCGCCTTGACGCGAGGAATGTCATGTCGGAATGGCGTCTCTAATATGACTTGCAGTTGGGCCAAGGGAGAACGCCACCAAGCGAGAACGCGCCATGCCATCCAAGCGATCAACTCAGGTATGTCATGACCAGAAACCTGCAACCTGGCTGGGTTGTGGAAGGTTGTTAATTGTGTACACGTCTTATTTGATTAAAGAAGCATAGCTCGAAAATCAGGATTGACACTAAATAGTGTAACATTATTTAGATGCCTACGAGTTCGAAGTTCTACAGGAACCGCACACTGGTCAAGTCAACTATTTCAATTTATCTATTACACACCTTTCAGTCCTCGAAGCTCACATTCATGGCTGGTTTTGTGTTGGCATTCAGTGTACTGTTTGAAACAATCAGCATATGTATCTAACTATATCTTGGAACAACTCACAATATGTCCGGCCTGGAATAGCTTCCCACAGCATCAAAGTCCATCTACTCAAATCATCAGTAGAGATCCTTTGAAAGTCTTTCGGCTTGTGCTTATCTGGCTTCTGTTAATTCAGCAAGATTCAGTGTCGCGTAGACGATCTCCTGCTTGTCTCTGACAGGTTCGGTGAGGAAGTTTCCCATCGGTCCGACAATACAGGAACCACCATGGTTCAAGATGTCGTCCTGAGCCCATTGGTTTCCTTCGGGGTTGCGATCGGGGTGCTCCAGTGTGAAGGACGGATAGTCAGATGGAAAATCCGAGACCTGGGAATGTCAATTCTTTCTCGGCTGGCCCCTGTGGTATAGATCCTCACTTTGCAGAACTGGTTGATCGAAATCACAAAGCACCTGCCCTCTTTGGCTATGTGCTGTATTGTTGCGGCCCATGTCGCTGGGTCATCAGCAGTTGGTGCAATGTAGATTCTGTCAAGTGTCAGTTGTGCTTCCATCACAATGTACTGAGGATCAGTTCGCACTCAATCCCGCGCTGATAGAGCGCGAGTCTGGCGGCTGGCATGTAGTTCTCCCAGCATATCAGACCTCCGATCCTTGGCCCAGATCCAGTGGAGAGTTCAGAAAGATCCTAACTTGCCAGGATCCACGCCATGATATCACTCGAAGAAGGCATTGCACTGTAGGTGACTTATTATAAAAGCGAGGTCTGTGGTAGCCCCCCACTTTTACGTTCGCTAAATATTCCGGTTGTTTACTTGTTGCATGAGCCCAAATGCTGACAGGAATAGATCACTATAGCCCAGACACCATATGCATTCACGGCATTATGATTGATGGGAGACACTGTGCGAGTCATCTAGCGAGAAAGTCTATAAGGCCACGATACCTCTATCGCCGCACAGTTTAGGCTTTGCGATCATCCCGAAACCTGAAAGAAAGAATGGACTCAATAATAATGCGAAAATGACTGAGCAAAACAATATGTACAACTCTCCCACCCAATGTTCATCTTTCAGCTCGCTAGATATAACATCCGCAGTTCAATATTGTGGGTCTGGAAGGCTACAGCAACCCGCTTTACCGAGCTTATGCACCCGTGATGATATAGATCTCACCCGTCGAATCGCTAGTCATGAACAACCTATCCTTCGAATCAAACGCGAGCGTCGTTGGACGGAAACATCTCGATGGACAATTGGCATTGTTAGAATTGTACAGGATGTTGACAGCGGCCGTTGTGCTAGTGGTTGGCTCGACGGGCTGTCCATTTCTGAATGCTATGCGCGAGAGTCTGTATCCGTCGGGTGGTGAACGGTTCCTGGATTGCCGTTAGAGCTGTCTTTTTATAGGACTCAAGTCTCGACTGAGATGAGAGGTTAAAAGTAAGTGAGATGAGAGAGGTAACGTACCAACTTCCATGGAACGCAATGTACGCCGCGGTACCGTTCCGGTTGAACTTCACATCTAGCGGCGCTGTGTGAGCAGGGAATGTCAAACGAGGAGCTTGACGCTCTAAACACATCGCATCTGTGTTGGATCCCGAGGGGTCGCCAATCAAGAATTGCGTGCCGACTTTGATGTTTGCGTTGTTGGGGAGAACGCTTGGATCCCACGCTGCGAAGCATTGCGGATAGCCGTAATTGGCGCCGCGCTGAGGTGATGCTGTGGTAGAGTTGAGCAAACCGTGGTAGTTCAGTTCTTCACCTGGGTTGGTGTTGTGTACATCCACGCCTTGGCGACGCATGTCGTCGACGGAGTTCTCGACGGACCACTGGGACCTTTTAGCATGTGATGAATTCATGAAACGGTAGAAGATTATACTTACGAATCCACCGCTGCTAATATCCTCGCTCATACCGACGCTGTTCCGCAAGCCCCATGCTATGACTTCTCCAGCTGTGTAATCAACTGGAGCGCTACTCGTTCCGGAGATGCTGAATGCTCTGATTTGGCTGCGGCCTGAAGTGATTTGCGCTGTTGGTGCATCAATGTTGCCGTCTGACCCTCGACTTACGAGAAGCATATTAGGGTTGAATTTGGATACCCACAATGTTCGGGTAGAGTGTCCACCATTGCGCATGTTCTGAATGATGGTCTTTCTCGTGCCGACTGTACCTGCGACGGCATCGTATGGGTAAGAATAAACATTTGTCAAACTTGAGGCGAAGAGGGTTTTGCCATCAGCAGAGAGATCGATGCCGTGGTTAAGCTATAGAAATTAGTAAATAATTGCTATACTGCAATGCTGATGACTTACAGTGTTGTCTGCGATCAATGTCTTGCTCGAGGCAACACAGACGTTGATCCCACCATTATCGGTGAGTTTGATATATCTGATTCCTCCACCACCTTGTTCTACGACGAGCAAGTTTCCGGCAGTGTCAAATACCATTCCTCTCGGAGATTTTAATCCATTTATGACCACTCGAGTTTGCACACCTGAAGCGGTGACTGGCGCCCCCTGCGCAGGATTGATAGTTGAGCATGTTTGGCCATTGCTCGAAGTTGCGAGGACCGCGAGCAAAATTGTGAGAGTGGAAAGGGACCGAGTCCAAATCGATGAGAAAGCCATGGCTGTTTCTCTATCACAGATAGGTGATGTGCTGAGACGTGAAACTTGTGATACTGGGGCCTGATTTCAGAATGTTTCCCACCTCGGGCTTCCCCCCATACAAATACTTACACATCCACGCCTCCTGACCCCATTTTTAAAGCCTGATATGGTTCTTAATTGAAGAGGGGAAGCCAAGACGACACATACCCCTCAATTGCCTCATGATTTTCACATAAAACCCAGCAAGCGTCCTGGTGAAGAACACGATGGCACCTCAATCCTGAGAACGCGATATATAAGATCCGGGAGATGTGATCTCGGCGCTCGGCAGACCAGTCAGAAGGAAACAAAAGCTCCGGATAAGTATACGATGAAGATATGCCGAGCCAGCAGCATGTAAGCGATAGATTCGGGGTAGATGTCCGCCCTTGATTTCCCACACCTCGGCGATATTTGGCTATTTTATAATTCTTGGCGATGGGGATGTCGTAGCGAGGTCAGGTTGTTGTGTGGTGGAAAATCCGATGGGAGATCTGGAGTAGCATTTTGAGCAGCATGAGATGCCATTTCAAGTAGATAATTGTAGATCTCAGGGGGGAGAAAGCAAGGGAGATCTCGGTAGTGTTGATTAGGAAGGTAGTATTTCAGAACGCGAACTTGACAAGCGAAGGACAAATATACTTTTTGCAAGCAGAATAGAACGACACAGACCATGAAATGTGACTTCAAAAAGACTCAACAAGTGAACAACGAAGTCAGACGAAGTAAAAAAAATCCGCCAAAGTACGATTAGCGGATATCTAATAAAAGTGATCAGAAACAGGTTGAAGGAATGGCACTTGCAAATTGCTCGCAGGCCACCGACAGGGTTAGGGGCGGTGGATAACGTCGATCCCCGTCATAGCACTCACTCCGGAGCCAAAGCTGTATTGACCTGCTGCTTATGGCTCATGTTATGATGATGGAACGCTGCTGAAGGGAGTCAAGAAAGGTGCAAGGAGAGGGGAGAATATGGAAGGGGGAATCATGACTCAGCCATGACTAAGCGATGCGTATTGACACCTCAAATGTCCTCATGCAGGGTCGATGTTCAACATGTCAAAATCGTACAAGGTAATACTACTTGAAGAAGGGCTTCTTTTATCATTTGATACCGAGTATGTTCCGCACCCTTGGATCAGATCAGGTACATGTCTGTCACTATCATCTCCTTTGAACCTCAAACCGATGACCCAAATCCTTTCTTTGGGCGCAAAGCACTATCAGGAGCTTCCAGGAGTGCATAGCGAACTATGTCCTGAAGTGTTCCACTACGCTATGTATAATTCCAAAAGTGACCTCTGAAAAGAAGTTACACAATTTCATTTTCAATTTCCATTCAACTTTCAAATAAATCCCTTTCATCGATTGTCCTCTGTTTAAGGTTTTGAGGCTGCCTGAAATCTTGTCCCGCAGCAGCTGCCCCGCCACGCAAGTCCCAACGCGTCATGGGACATCCAATCCGCCACACTCGACACCACAGCATACTTGATCACAGTAACACCACCAGGAACAAGAGAGACACAAAATGACCTGAACTTCCAACTTTCTGCTCTTCATCCAGAGCTTCAACATACCGATCAACAATCCGCCAACTTTAAGAGTACGCAGCTGGGATAACGACAATGACGTCGTCAAAGAACCCCGCGCGATCAGCATCTCCATCGAACAGCTTCTATGCTATGAGCGACGACGAGGAAGGCGACTAGTGAGTACAGTTTTCTAGCGTTGAGGGAGAGATACCGGTATCTTGGAGACTATTTTGCCTTTTGGATGTCCTGAACCTGACGGGGGGGCACTTTGCATTGTCTCTTATCAAGGCAGTCGGCGATGGGAATACTGACATGCTCGTAGTAATACCATTACCCATACGACCTCTGGCAGGGGGGTGAAGCTTCTCTATTCAAAGAGCAAGGTATGTTGTGTTCTATACGTCCTCCACTACCTATCGACCTCAGCCAAAGTCCTCAGAACATTACCTGACATTCAAATTGCAGGTTTATATCCACCCCACCCCCTCCGCAAAGGACAATATACCAGGGTATATTGCACTCCTTCAGCAGAAGCCAGCACCCGACTCTCGACCCACTTCATCCTCCTCCCCATCTTCGAGAGCGAAAGCGGCCTCTTCCCTCCTCCTTGCCTGGGTTCCCGAACATTCCCTGGGCGATGCTAGAGATACATACGTGAAGGTGGATCTGGCAGAAGGCGACTCTCCTCCGAAACAATCATACCTCGTTCCACCTCCCCCGACCACGACTACACACTCGAGCTCGATAGGACACTATGCCTTCGCCATTCCCGTCTCTGCAATATACAGTTTACTGGTTCGACCTCCGAGTCTTGGGTGGTGGTTCGGCAGCGTTATCATTAATAGCAGGGCGGGGGATTCTTTCCCGGCCCTCTTTTTCCACGATTCAGAATGTCAATCTACAATTCTACAAAAAAAGAAGCATGCGAGGGAGAACTTCGATCCCTTTGGTGCGAATGGGGAGATGTTCTGGGGCGGAGACGAGGTGCTGAGATGGCTGAGGAGATATGTCGAGATTGAGCGCAGTGGTGCGGAACCTAATATCTATTTGATCGAGCCCAGTCTGGAGGATAAGGAGGCCTTCGGTGGAAAGCCAGTTACAGCTGCGTTGGTGAGGCCGACGAGCAGTGGAGCCAATGTGACGGGAGCAGCCGGTTCGGGAGCTGCATCGAGCTCGAGAGGTCCCAGAGATGCAGCTATGGATCCAGTCACAAAGTTTGTCAAGGAGGCCGGATGGAACCTGATGGAGAAATTCAGCAAGGTCACAACTTTTACAAGACGGACGGCAGATTCGGTTATCGACAACCCCAAGATGCCACCACAGATGAGGAGGCTGTTGAAGAACCCTGAGGTACAGACATTACAGGAGGAATTCGACAGTGCAAGGATATATTTGGCAAGATGGGCTATGGGTATTGCTGAGCAGAGTGAACGAGATCGAAACCAGAGAATATGGACAGCCAGGGATGTCCTGGAAATGGAGGAGACTGATGTCGGAGAATTCGAGCTTCTGGATACTGAAATGGGATCATTGAGTATGAAGGAGCAGCGGAAAACAGTCACTTTGAAGGAATGGAATAGCTACTTCGACCAGCGAACAGGAAGATTACAAGTCACTGTTGACGAGGTCAAGGAGCGGATATTCCATGGTGGGCTTGATCCCGAGGATGGTGTAAGAAAAGAGGCATGGCTTTTCCTTCTCGAAGTCTACGATTGGCATTCCTCAGCCGAGGAACGCAAGAACGAGGCAGCTAAACTCCGGGACGAATATGTGAAGTTGAAGGGTGCATGGTGGGATAGATTAATTGATCTTGGTGGAGAAGGAGAGGAGGGCGAATGGTGGCGTGAGCAGAGAGGCCGAATAGGTTTGTCACCATGATAGCCCACCCCAAGCCGCAGTATAGACTGATATATCCCATCTCTTGGGGTTCTTGCAATAGAGAAGGATGTGCACCGAACAGATCGTACAATTCCGCTTTTCGCAGGAGAAGACACACCACATCCGGATCCGTCCTCGCCATTTGCAGATGTCGGAACCAACGTCCACCTGGAACAGATGAAAGACATGCTCTTGACCTATAACGAGTACAATCGCGACTTGGGTTATGTCCAAGGAATGTCTGATCTTCTCGCCCCTATCTATGCCGTAATGCAGGACGATGCTATCGCATTCTGGGGATTCCAACATTTCATGGACCGCATGGAAAGAAACTTCCTCCGCGATCAGAGTGGCATGAGAAAGCAGCTTCTTACTCTGGATAATCTAGTCCAACTTATGGATCCCAAGTTGTACCTGCATCTTCAAAGCGCCGACTCCACGAACTTTTTCTTCTTCTTCCGCATGTTACTTGTCTGGTACAAGCGCGAGTTCCCATGGCTAGATATCCTGCATCTGTGGGAAGTGTTGTGGACGGACTACTTGAGCAGCGGATTCCACCTCTTCATTGCTCTTGCAATCTTGGAAAAGCACAGAGATGTGATTATGGAACACTTGCAACATTTCGATGAGGTGTTGAAATATGGTACGGTCGAATCCTCCCTCCTGGTTCAGACAATGAAGCTAATTTGAAACAGTCAACGAGCTCTCCACCACAATTGACCTAGAATCAACACTTGTCCGCGCAGAAGCTCTCTATCGCCGCTTTCAGCGCACTGTCGAAGCCATTGATAAGAAATCCAACTTCCCAGCCCCGAAACTGCGACAGCGAAATACAGCTTCGACACAGAATGTATCGCTCGGAGGCACGCAATCATTACGGCCAAGCTCACCTACCTCACCCTCGGCGAATACCTCGGGTGTCGATACTGTAAGTGCTGGCGGCACGAACAGTGACCCTCCAACAGGTGGTGAGATTTCTGCAGGTACAGCGAATCCATCAACAGCAACTGCTGCGAAGGGTAATTCGAAGGGTAAAGGAAAGGGAAGGGGCGATGAGCGGAAGAGTGCCGAGCTGGAAGATCAAAGACCTAAAGTCATTAGTCCTGAGCTGAGAGGTTTACTCAGCCGGAAAGTAGAGGTCCTTCCACGAAAGGTAGTTAGGAACGAGGGAGAGGGGTTGTCCAGTATTAAAAAGTAGATATTCCGGGGCGGGTTTATGACTATGGATGGGTGGAGAGCATGATACATGAATCGGCGTTTGGGATGGGCTGGGGACCTACTTTTGGGCATAGGTTCATGGTTTGACCGTTTGTCTGCTTTTAATGTCACTGGAACTTCCGAGAACTTTGATTTTACCTCAATTGTGCGCCGCACGGTGTTCTTGGACGGGTATATACACTCCTCGCCCAACCTTTCCCCTCCCCTTCAGCATCACTTCACCATCCCGATCCACCATCTGGTGTCCTGGCTAAAACCACACTATTTCCTCCTCTGTTATCCCTACGCACCCATCTCCAACTTGACGACCTCACCCCTCCATCCTTCCTCCACCCTTTCACCCATTCTCCTCCTCTTCCATCCCCAATCCACGCCTCCCATTCCTTCATCCCCAGATCCCCCTCTACCCCAAAATCTCAAATCCCAAATGATATCTACCCACTAACCATCAAATACACCAACACAAGCGGCCACGCACTACTCATCACCACGGCGGCAATCACACTCGCGGCGCTGAGCCTCCTATCCCCGCGTGGTCCCCTCCACCGATCGGCAAGCATGCACGTCGACATGATCATGAACATGACGTAGACGGCGCCGCCCCAGAGGATGGGTAGGCGGATGGCGAGAGTGTCGAAGTCGCCGGGGCTGAGGACCACCTTGGAGGTGTCGACTGGTTTGAGGTCGGAGAGGTTGGCGCCCATTTTTTCTTCTTTTGGAGGGGGTGAATTGAAGAAGGGAGGGATTAGATTATTTTTGTTGGGTTTGGGAGGTGCGAGGGTTGTTGTGAAGGCGTGAGGGTGTGGTTGTGGAGGTTGAGGTTGAAAGAGTTGACCAGCAACGAATGATGAAGTTGTGATTGAGATTGAGATAGCGGAAGTGAAGAATCGGTCAATCAATCCAAATAGAAAAAGCGACCCCCCGAAAAGAAAAAAAGAAGAAGAAGAAGAATAATCGTATCGTAAAAGGGATCTGCAAGCAGTATTGGTAGAATAGAATCGAAGAAAGGGATAGAGAGAGAAAGACCGGCTGACTGATTAGCAGAAGAGAGGAGAGAGAAGAGGTGAGGTTGAGATTGAGGTGAGGCAGAGAAGGAAAGGAAGCGAAGAATCCTCAAACGGGACGGGGGTATAATCAAGCTTTGTATTCCTATCCATAGTAGCCGTTCTACACAGACAATAATGGCAAGGGCAACGACAAGCCTCCTGTGACGACCGACCAACCCCACGGCCTTCAATACCATACCTGGCTAGCTCACAAGAAGAGCCGAAACATACTCCTCCCACGGCCTGACACCGGATGGCACCTGGCACCTGGCACCTGGCAGGTAGGACCAGAAGAGTCAAGACGAGAACAATGGGCGGGCGGGGCTAAACTACCTATGGTATGGTACAGAGGTAGGGGAGAGAGGGTTGGAACTCGGCAGGATGAGGTGGCGGTCGCAGCGCAGCGCATTGCTGTACTACTGGTACGGAAATACTGTATTGGAACGAGCAGATCGGACCTGGGACGTCGCATGCGGAACTGAACGATCATCCAGTCGTCTGACAAAGCTTGTCTGAACTTTAACGGGTAGGTAGGTAGGTGAGGGGAGGGGAGGGAGGGTGTGGCGTTTGGGCAACGGGTAGTAGTGGGCAGGGCAGTACTGTAGTAGACTAGTAGTAGTGGGCACGAGAAGGTGGTTGATACTTGATAGATGGTGAAGGAATATGGAGGCTGAGACGAGGTCTACGGTCAGGGGTGGTCTCGGAAGTTGGGTCTTCCATGTTTGGGCAGGAGATGGAGATAAGCGAGATCTGGTTGTGTGTTTGGGGTGTGGATATTTACTGGGCGGCGGGCGCGCGGGCGGGCAGCCTGAGCGAGCGCTGCAGATAATTCCTTATGGGTACCACCATCCTGTGAATAAATTGTAATCAGACTTCTAAAAACTCTCAAACCCAAAAGAACCCCCTTTCAATTTCCATCCCCGCGATAAAGTTGCTCCTCCTCACCGATAGAGTTATAGATATCATGGGAGTTTCGATCGGCGGCACTCACTTCACTCAACTCAACTCAACTCAGCTCAATCAAGGGGCTTCGGCTCGCTAACTTAGCTCAACCCCTAAGCGAGTATCAGACTCAACAGACAGGGGTCCCTGAGACGGGAAACACCCTGTATTGGGACGAGCTGAGTTTTGGATGACAGGTGCTGTGACGCTGGGGAATTCTTGGGACGGCAGGTTTGATGTCTGATGTCTGAGCCTCTTGGCTCTACTTCTCAGACGAAGGTTAGAGCAGCGGGATGGGAGTCAGTTTGAGCCGAGGTTGTGGCATTGATGATGCCATCTATCGACTCAGTTGTGAGCTGGGAAATCGGATGTGCTTTCTTGGGGAACCGATGTGTTTATTAGTGTCACTATAGTATGGTCATGAATACAGTTTATGCACACTGCTGGCTGGTTATGAGATGATGGCTATGAAACCTGGGCTCGCCCTGGGCGGCTACTGAAGCTGGTTGCGTCACGTGACTCATCACCACAGAGTTCGCAATCAATTACCGTGAGCAGCATAATTCAGAGACATGCAACGATGCTGATCGACGCGATTGGAGTCGGCGAGCGAGCCTAAAACCAGAAAGGATCGATAACATTGATGGGGGGCAGTTGGGCGAGATCAGGATCAGACTTTCCCGCAACAGCTCGGCTGAAACACTTCTTGGAGCCTCCTTTCTCCTTATATCATCACCGTTCTACAAAAACCCCCAGCCGCTGAAGATCGCAGCCATTGAATTAGAGCCTCGAAATACGATATCAAGGCGAACCAAGAGTTTGGAATGGGAAGGAATGTAGGCTTGGCTGAGGCTGGCAGGTTCTTTCCACCGGCAAAGGTGTGATGGTGGATGTCAATGGATGATAACTGAAAGGTTGCTGAAAATTGAAGCTCAGAATGCCACGAATGCGGGAATACATTGATTGAATTCAGATCATGAATGGAAAGTCAAATCCAATGGAATAAGTGCTATCAAATGAAGTTGATGCAGGACGATGGATTAGAGTTTGGGCAGAGGTTAGATCCTTCGCCTAAGCCCAATTTCGGCCAAGCGAACCTAGGAGTCTGAGGAAACGACCTCAGAACCTCGATAAGCAGCTTTCAGTCACGATCACAAGACCCAATCACTCTAAGCAGTCGATTGAACCACCTAGCAATCCTAAAGTCTAGGCATGGCCTCGTCTCAACACCTCGCCTCAATCAGAGCCACACAGCGAGCACCCAGAAGCTGCGTCACATGCGCCAGAAGAAGGGTGAAATGCGAGAAGAAAATCCCATGTCGAGAGTGCATCAGTCGGGGCATCGAGGCATCGTGCAAGAGAGAGACCGTCAAAGTCAAAGGCAAGATCCTAGTCAACGTGTAAGTCTATTTCATGAAATCCCACCAACATCCTTTGGCCCGTCTGTGGATCGGATACAAACAACCCTGCCGGAGAATAGCCTACAAAAGCACTAAACAGCCAACAGCGAAAAGTCTACGAGTCAAGAGACCCAACCAACATATCAACAACTGCTTGAAGAAAATGAACGTCTCAGAGCTCAACTTGCACGCCCGGCTATCTCGCTCCCTAACAATGAGAGGTGTTCTGGAGCTGTGAGGAATATCACGGAGAATTTTGAGCGAGATCTTTTCCAGACGGTTAAACTCCTGAAGAGGAAATCGACGGTGTCGACGGAGAGTGATGTAATATGGCCTACTCCAGAATGCGCTGCTAGTGTTATTTCGTTTGGCAAGTTATGGACTTCGTGGATCCATTGTGCTATTCACCATCCCACTTTTGAGAAGGAATGCGATGGGTACTGGCGACTTGGATATCACGCGCAAGGAGACGAAGTTGAGAATAGTCTTTGGCTGTCCGTGTATTTTGCAATTCTTAGCGTGAGTAGAAGTTCGAACTGAAAAAGCCCGTACTAATGGTGGGAGTCTGCATTGCTATTTATGGACGAAGCTGAAGCTGTGGAATCTGGAATCGCTGCAGGTGAGTGAAACAGTTCCTGACAATCGCAAGTCATTTACCAAAATCATAGGCGACGTGAGGTTGAAAGTTCTCCACTGGTACGATGCGTCACTGTTCTACTTATACAAAGGAGACTTCCTCCGCAATCACAACGTGTGCACCGTACAGACTGTCGCAATCCTCGGCATTGTGTTCAACAATGTCGGAGATTCAGACCTACACTACTCCCTCTGGGGAGCCGCCATACGCATTGCCCAAGTCTTAAAGATGGGAAATGACACAGACAACGCCAATGATGATCCCGTCCAGCAACAGGTCCGTCGAAGACTATGGTGGACCTTGGTACTCTGCGAATGGCTTCCAGTGCCCTACAGAACACCGTGCATCCTAGAAGCAGACTTCAAGATCGAATTACCAGCTTCGCTACACGAAGACGAATACCTGACCGGAAGACGCGACGGACTCCCCCAACCAGACCTAATCGACTACCACATCGCCATGAGCCAAATCGCCATCCACTACCACCGCTTCCGCTTCGCCCTCCGCCACAGCAAAGGCACTCTAGACGACATTTTCCCGTTGGTAATCAGCGCCGACGAAGCCCTCGCGACCTTCATAGCACAACTCCCAGCACATCTACAGCCCGAAGACCCCGATCAGATCGTCTGCACGTCCACTGATAAAGACCCCTGGATGTGCTGGCAGCGAGGGAATCTCTGCGTTGTGCTTCTGTATTATAGGATCGTTATCAATAGAGTCTTGCAGGACCAGTGGATACACGACCCTGCTACTTTCGCGCGCACGAGATCGATATGTCTGAGCTCGGCGAGGGGGATTATCAAAATGACGAAGGCGTATACACAACCTATTGCACGACATCGGCCTTGGTAAGCATACTCTAACTCATATTCCAAGACTTCTTACTTCTTCATTCAAAATGAAAACTGATCCAACAACCCCAGGCCAACCTCCTTCCACCTCTTCTCAGCCGCGATCGTCCTTCTCGTCGAAGTTCGATTCCATCCCGGCGACGCACATGACCACTACATGAGCGATATCAAATCCTGCGTGGCTTTCCTGGATGAGATTAAAGACCAGAGTACGGTGGCTTCTCGAGCGGCTGAGATTCTGAGAGAGCAGATACGGGATTATGAGCTTGAGGTTTCTTGAACTGGGGTGCTTCTCGTTGGTTCTCGGACTGGTTGTTTGTGTGTTGTTGTTTAACGTACTTCAATAGTACTGCTCGGCTGCAGAAGGGAATCAGACGGTCCTCAGGAAAAGGTGATTTGGGGTCGAGCTTTGGATGCGGCGGATGAGAGGCAGCTTGTTTGCGAGCTTATATTGTTGAAAGACTTCTCCCCATATGGAGAGGGTCATGAAATTGAGGCTTCCTATGATATTTAAAAAGGCTCGGGTTTATGATGGCTTGCAAGGTGGATGACAGGTATATCTTTAGACGAAAAACGAGTGCGTTCATTACGGCGTCGTCGGCGTTTGGCTTGAATGAGGGGGGGGGGTGGGGGGGGGGTTCGACCAACTTGATCACAATCATCAAGCAAATTCCCTGCTGCTTCGAGTTAACGCACCGCGGTTCTTGAAGTATCATCAAATTAACAAATGACTTAGGCACACAATACTTGCCAGGCATCAAACCCACCTCATCTCAACTTACTCAACTCAACCATCTAGTCTCTGCAATCAACACATCTACATCAATATATTATATATACTTGACCGATTTTCTACTACCCAAGAGTATCAACTAAATAGAGTTCCATAAACCCCAAATCCCATCATCATCTCATTGGATTTGCATAACATCGTCGCCTATGACGAGGAAGAGATTCCGACTCAACAGCCCTGGCTACTGGCCCTTGGGAATGGTTGGATGTGAAGGTGTTGTTGAGGGATGAGGAGTGGTTTGATAGGGTCAAAGATGAGAAGTGAGGAAGTATGTGGTTTAGGAAGGTGGATGGGATGGCTCGGGGTAATTGGAAGGGGGGGGGGGGGGGGGGGGGGTTAGAAAAAAAATGACGATGAAGTGTATCAGCGGAAGGTGTGAGTTCGAGGAGGATGCATGCAGGTAGGTAAGTGTGGCTTGTATTATTTAAGCATGGGGCTGAAGGGATACTTTCTGTGAGTATGGATATCTTTCCTGATTTGGTGATCGAAAATATGAAGTTTCTTCCACGCAGGGTTTGGAGAAGGTGTGTTTGTTCAATGACATGACATATCAAAATGCCGCATCTCTCGCGTTGGGAGATGCCTTCTTCAACGTCTTCTTGTGGGGTTTGAAAAGATTGGATAGACACCTTGTTGACGCCGTGATTGATATTCTAGATGCATGAGTGCTTTGTTGTTTATCTTAGACTTGAGGAAGATATTTCTTTTCTCGGGATTGCTGCATCGCTTGGGAAAACAAGAATGTGAAGAACATAGATTCGCACCTGATTTGATACTAATCTGTCTTTTCATTTGCAGGCAATCTACTGCCTTTATCCTGAACTTGGGAGACTACTAGGTGGCTATTGTTGGCCGTTATGTTGGTAACTCGAAATCCACGTACGTGAAACGTCAACATTTAGGCTTCCACTTTCCTTACCCCGCCAGCCACACCTCCAACATCCTCCCACTACAATACATCCCTCATCTCAATCTCAAAAACGCTATACTCAACTTCATCCGCCGAAAGTAATATTTATCATGGGCGTACCAAGCAGCGTCCGATGGTACCACCTCCTCGGCTTCTTCATCCTAGTCGGCTCACGAGATCTCTACCTTTGGACACTCATCAAAATCCGCGACTTTTACGATCACTCATGTAACATCTTGAACTCAACTATCTACAATCTCCAAATCACAAGTCGTAACTGCTTACGTCTACTCCAGCTCGCACCTCCCCCAGAATTCACCCGATTCGGAACCCTCCCACTGGAAATCAGACGACTGATCTGGTCATTCGCAGCAAGTCAGCCGCGCGTTATTGAACTTGGACATTCAAAAGATCGCAAGACGCGGAAACATGTTCTTCCTACTCACGAGATAGAGAATGGAGGGGGGATTCGAAGCATCGCAGAAATCCCGCCCGTCTTGCATACATGTCGAGAATCCAGGGCTGAAGGCCTGAAACGCTATATATTAGCATTCGGAACCCCAGAGCATGAAGCGAGGGTATACGTCAATTTCGCAAACGATGTTGTTTTCCTCGGGAGGAGATGTCCTATATATTCTGCTGTGGGATCGATACCTGCTACTTGGAGTCGCAGGCAGGAGCACTGCGTGCGGATGAATGATCTGGAGAAAATTACTCGTCTGGCGATTCGGTGTGAGTCTAGTTGGGGACTGGTGGTGAATGCGTGGGATAGGGAGAGGTTTGGGGGGGTGAGGGAGGTGGTGGTTGTGGGGCAGAGGTGGGGGGAGAGGAGGTTTGATTTAGGGAGGAGGCCGGATTTGAGGGTGAGTGGTGAGGAGGGGGTTAGGTGGGAGGATGTTGGGAGTGTAGGGAGTGAGATTAGGAAGTTTGTGGGGATTAGGGTGTTGGAGGATAGGGTTGGGATTCGTGGAGAGAGATTGGGGGAGAGTGAGAGGCTGATGAGACGGGATGTGGTTGTGAGGGATGGGTCGTTTGTGAAGGGGTTGGGGGATAAGTGGTTTAGTCCTAGGAGATCGTGGGTTTTCTGAGGTACTGAACCTCTGCAATATATTTTCAATCGTCACTCGTGCAACAAATTGCTTGAACTTCTGGGATATATCACAGCCCATCACTTACGGGGGTTTCCAGGCTATATATCAGGTTGGAGAACATGGTCAACAGAGGGTGTATACTGCTGCGGTGGAATATTGAGAGAAGAGAGGGGACGAACCAGAGTGCGTTCCCTTTGTCCCTTGGACAGGTTAACGGTCTGGACTTGCAAACGAAACGGAGACAAAAGAATCGATCAAAGTCACCACTTTCAGTAACGACATGATATCAAGGACAAACAGATTGGGCAAGACATAGCATTGCCATCTAGCTCCACGCCCCGCTCTAAGGCCTTCGCTTAGCAAAAGTGAAGCCAAAACGAGGATCTCGAGCTGAGTCTCCATGCTATCTATCCACCAATAAAACAGAAACAAAAATAAAAGAACACAATTGTCCTCAGCGAGAGTCGAACTCGCGACCTTCGGATATCAGGTGACTTTCCTTGTTTGATCAAGGAAATCATACAGAAAGGTTGTATGAGACCGACGCTTTAACCAACTAAGCCATGAAGACATCTTTGAATTGTGATTCGATGACGGCATTTCCTTATCTGTGTATCTACGAGAAACAAAAGTCTCTGCGAAGGAAAAGCTTATGGAGAACCCCGCTGCGGGGCAAGGTGCCAGCAATGGTGCGTGGGGCCTTCAGCCACGAGCCGAATAATGCAATACACCGACTTGAGGGACTACAACGACCAATTGCTTAGGACTTTTGATTGCAGCTATGCATTCCACGGTATCTATACTATGCAATAAATCAAAGGCATTCAGCCAGTGATTTGGACCATGAAATTCGAGCTGTCTGGTTTCTAATTCGGTCTCGCTAATAAAATAGGGGGTGCATGAACGACTTCGGGGCCCGTCAACATAACTGATTCGACTAAACTTTAAACATATCTTGTCTTATCAATTGACCGGTGTGCCTACACTAAATTGGACTTTGAAGTTGAATCTGCTCAATTGTCTTCAAGCCCTCACAACACATTCAAAGAACAGTAAGTATATTGTTATTCACCTTACTTGCACAGTCCTACAGTCGTCAACATCCCCTATCTATTCCCATTCCTCCAATCTACAGATCACTGTAGATTTTGAGGCAAAGGACGGGAGCCGAAGAAATACACAGCTTCTGTTCTTGGCTTTTCAACCGACACCAATCAGCTGCTCACCAGCCTCTTTTGCCATCTTGAAAAAGTGGCAACTTCCGTACTCCAATCATCCACTCCCCATGGCAGTTCTTCGGAGTCGTCCGCATGCCGATTCAATTGGACTGGAGAAGGTAAGCTTAATACCCCACCTGAAGCCTGTGCAATCTTGTTCACCTTCCCTTACTGGGTAGTCCGCCAAGTTATCATATCGACATTGCGCCAAACAACTGCAGGAACCCATCGCCAAGTGATCGGCCTCCCCTCAGCCGTTCAGCTTCCAGAGACATGTCCGAAGTGGCCAAAAAAACGTGGTCGGAGACTGTTTCCTTACTCGGTCGTGAAAGATAACGACAAAATCAAGGGATGGGCTGCATGATGAGGTTATAAAAGAGTTTTGGTTCCCTTACTTTTTGAAGGGTTACATTCTGCCCATCAATCCCTGAATCTAGCGATCATGAGGTTCTCTCTCGCTACCCTGGCCTTGGCGCTCAATGCCGTCGCGAATGCCGTCACTATCAACCAAATCAACGGCATCAAATACCTCTCCCCATATGCTGGTCAAACTTTGACTGGCATCAAGGGATTGGTGACTGCTAAGGGACCATCTGGGTTTTTCCTCCGAGACACGACACTCAACCTCGACATCAGATCATCAAATTCCATCTATGTCTACGGAAGTCTTGCTCTCAAGAATGTCACAGTCGGAGACATCATCACGGTTGATGCGACAGTCGCAGAATACCGATCGACTTCCACTTACCTGTACTTGACCGAATTAACATTCCCAAATAATGTCAAAGTTCTGTCAAGCGGAAACGCTGTCAAGCCGGTCGTCATTGGCGAGGATCTTCTCGTTTATCCCCCAACGGAGCAATTTTCTTCCCTTGACAATTGGGACGTCTACTCCCTTCCAAACAACCAGAGTCTCGTTTCTACAGCAAACCCAACTCTGCAACCACTCCTGTTTGGAATGGACTTTTGGGAAAGCTTGAGTGGAGAACTCGTGACCGTGAAACTCCCAGTTGCAATCACCAAATCCAACAGATACGCCAATGTGTGGATTGCTGGATCATGGAGAAAGTCAGGAACCAACAAGCGTGGTGGACTGACCATGAGAGACAGAGGTATGTTTTTCCCTGGAAAATTAAAGGTATTCCTAACAGCATTTGTTAGACTCTAATCCAGAGACACTTGCGGTCATTGATCCGCTTGATGGCACCAAGAACCCCAACACTGTCAAGCTTGGTGATACCTTAGAGGAGATCACTGGTGTCCTCACGTACGCATTCGGATACTACAGTATCTATCCCCAAACAGCTATCAAGGTTGTAGCCTCGGCGTCTCCAGCAACCCCTCCACCCACCACTCTCACTTCCTCCGGGACATGCAAGCAGCTTACAGTTGGTGATTACAACGTTGAGAACCTGACCCCAAAATCAGCGTGGCTTCCGTCAATCGCTGATCACATCGCCACATACCTGAAGACTCCAGATCTCATGTTTCTCCAGGAGATCCAAGATGACAACGGAGCAACAAACAATGGAGGTACGTTATAGTTTTTCCTGTGCAATACCACGTGCTAATTTCTCCCAGTCGTCACTGCAAACTTGACCCTGACCACTCTCGTCAACGCCATCTACAACATCTCCGGCATCAAGTATGCATTCACCGAAGTCCTCCCCACCAACATCCAAGACGGCGGCGAGCCAGGCGGAAACATCCGCCAAGCCTACCTCTACAAACCCGACATCCTCCGCCTCCACAAGCCCAACCTCGGTGGACCCCTCGACGCAAACGAGGTCCTCCCCGGCCCAGAACTCAAATTCAATCCTGGACGTATCGAGCCATCTAACCCAGCGTTTACAGCGAGTCGTAAGCCCTTGGCTGCTGCGTGGGAGACGCTTGATGGGAAGAACAAGTTCTTCACTGTGAACTTGCATCAGGGCAGTAAAGGCGGTGGAAGTCCTCTGGTGGGAGACGCTCGGCCTCCTGTTAATGGGGGAGTTGCCGATCGTTCGGCGCAAGGGAATGTCACGGCCGTAAGTTCCGCTTCTCTTCTCCTTCCTTTCGTTCTCCAGGTTACAAGACAAGCTGACACAATGCAGACATTCGTCTCCCAGATCCTCAAGCAAAACCCCTTCGCCAAAATCATCGTCGCAGGCGATTTCAACGAGTTCACATTCGTCGAGCCCATCGAGACTTTCAAATCCGTCTCGCACCTCCTCGATCTCGATGATGTGACTCTCACGCCTTCAACTGAGAGGTACACGTACATGTTCGATATGAACTGCCAGGAGTTGGACCACATGTTTGTCAGCCCGGCGTTGATATTAGGAGCGGCGTTTGAGCATGTTCATGTTAATACTTGGAGCTCGTTGGCGGATCAGAAGAGTGATCATGATCCGAGTGTGGCGAGGCTGAATGTTTGTGGGTGATGTGGATGATGATTTGGGATGATTTGATGATGTAATGAAATGGAATGGAAAACATATTGTAGTGTATCAAAACTTAGATTATGACGAACTGCATGGGGGGGTTCTCGTCCATGATTATTTATTCGTACCCCGCTCACTGTGCTGATGTTGAGATCTAGGCAAGCAACTGGAAAGCATCTCTCTATCCTCGGGAGCTGATACTGTAAACGCGGCATCGGCAGCGCGGCGTAGTATTCCCTGTTCTTAATTGATGTGATGTGAATCATATCCTTCAATTCCGCCGACTCTGTCAAATTTTTCTTTCAGATCTAAAACTCATCAGCATTACACATATGATATCCCAGTCCCAAATCGATCACACGGATTCTAGCTGGAGTGGATACTATCTCTATCTTGTCTGCCTCAGAATAACCGACAACATCAGTGATCAAGATAGTTTCGAATGCGGGGGAGCAGTGCTTCAGGTCCATGGTGCGCGTTTCTTGATTTGAGGGGCGTGTGGGAGTGCAGGTGGTTTTGCACGGGTTATCTATTAGTAAGGGCATCGGCATCGGTGGAAGGTAGCCTTGTAGTTGAGAATTAAAGTCTGCTGGTATGATCACCACGCTCGACAGATCTAGTACTCGAGATTCGTATCGTACAGAGGCCAGAAATGTTGTCCCCACTTCGAGTGGAAATTTCGGAAAGAGTGTGGATGTCTTGAGGTTATCGCTATTCGCTGGCATTGCATCGTTGTGGACGGGAAGTGAAGACGAGAACCCTGTTTCAGATTTGGGGTGACTGCGTCCGAGGGTGAAGGAGGATGAGCAGGGTTAACCTATTGAATTGGGAGAGGCGAAGTCCTGTCCCTCGATGAAGCCATATTCGCTGATTCCTTGCCTCTCAAGAATTTTTGTGGATCTTGATTATTACGAGCTCGATTTTGAAGGCAGTAGCGGGGTGTTGAGCTTGAATCCTGGTTATAATTTGCAGTAAACATTCCTTGTGGTGGAACTTTGCTCACTGATCGACACACCTCTCAGCAAAGCTCGGACTGGCATGACGCCGAAGATATGAGCGCGACTGGGGCTTGGATACGATTAGGCTGATTTGTGGAGTTCGAGGTTCTTGAGCTGTCTTTAAAAATGAGTCGAAATATATCCGTCTCGAGAACTGATAGGTGAGCGTATCGAGATTGAAGTAGATTCGAGTTTGGACTGTAGGAGTGTGAAAGCAAATGAGACCCAGAATTTGCGCTACAAGAAGCGATCTGCGAAATAAGAGCTGTATCGTAATGAAGTCCCAATATCTTATAGTTTTCTGAGTAGCATTGCATTGACTTGTAGCAGCGAATCTACGATGTAAACAACTTAGCCGAACCTTTTCAAGTTAGCATTTTTGGAGGCGTTGTTTGAAACATGTTCTTGGAAAAGCTTTCGTAGAAGATAGAGATCTGCATTTTCTCTTAGAATTCTTGGTAAATTATCGTTCCATACTATTATTTTGGTCCCAGTGGTTCAATTTGCTTAGGTGCGCGGTAATGTTGGGACAGTTTTCAGGCGAGCTTTGATTGGCTGAGCGAGAGCTTTGCACGTGACTTTCCTACCGCCTGATTCTGCCACTTCTCAGTCCTGTGCAAGGAAAAAAGTTCAGCAGCTTCTCTGTGCACAAACCATTCCCCTCTCCTTCACAACCACAACATATCTGCTGCAATTATCAGCTCCGAGATATTTCCTGACACGATCTCCACTACAGACAATTGAATCGCAGCGTCAGATTCCGCCATGTCTTCAGACGAAATCGTCTGGCAGGTTATTAACCAGCAATTCTGCTCGTTCAAGCTCAAGTAAGACCTCACACCCCCCTCACCCTCCATTCTAACACAGTCAGGACTACCAAAGAGAAGAACTTCTGTCGCAATGAATACAATGTCACCGGCCTCTGCAATCGACAATCCTGCCCGCTCGCCAACTCCCGATATGCTACCATCCGCGCAAACCCCGACTCCGGCACCCTCTACCTCTACATGAAGACCATCGAGCGCGCACACATGCCCAGCAAGCTATGGGAACGAATAAAGCTATCGCAGAACTATGCGAAAGCTCTCGAGCAGGTCGACGACCGATTGATCTACTGGCCGAAGTTCTTGATCCACAAGTGCAAGCAGAGACTTACGAGATTGACACAAGTTGGGATCCGGATGAGGAGATTGGCGAGAGAGGATGAGAGATTGGGTGAGAAGCTTGTGCCGAAGCTGGCACCTAAGGTGCGCAGACGTGAGGAGACGAGAGAGAGGAAGGCGGAGGCTGCTGCGAAGGTTGAGAGAGCTATTGAGAGGGAATTGATCGAGAGATTGAGAAGTGGTGCTTATGGCGACCAGCCACTCAACGTCAGCGAGGCTATCTGGAAGAAGGTCTTGAAGGGACTCGAGCGCGGTGGCGAGGGAACCAGAGACGAGGATATGGATGAAGGCATTGAGGAGGACGAGTTCGAGAACGAAGAAGAATACGAGGATGAGGAGGGTGTCGGTGAAGTGGAGTATGTCAGTGATCTGGGCGAGGACGAGGAAGACCTTGGAGATCTCGAGGACTGGCTAGGAAGTGAGGAGGAGGCCAACACGGGTGACGAGGATGAGGAAAATAGCGAAAGCGATAGCAGTGAGGATGATAAGTCGAAGAAGCTCCGAGCTCCTGGAAAGCGCAAGAGAGGTGTGGACCCGAAGGCCAAATCGAAGTCCAAGACCAAGAAGCCCAGAATGGAGATCGAGATCGAAGAGGAGTTCGAGGGTGCGCAGAGGGAACTGGCATTGGCATAGCTTTAATCTCGGTACATTTTCGCAAGACGCTGGGGTTACAATTATCTTGTGGAGTTTGGCAGGACGAAAATGGAACTTTGATCATGGCATACAATAGCTTCTATACATGTGGCACGATAGACATAAATGGTAGCTCGAATCTTCTGCGGAGCACAGCTGACTTTCACGATCCTGCATGTGTTCGCTTGATAAAATATCTCCCTAGACCGCAAATTTGCACATGTTCAGATGCAAACCCAGTCGAACTATGGCTCAATCCGAATAGTTCCTCGCCTTCAAGCCAATCACTAGTGTTTAAGGAGAAATTGTAGCTCTCACACGATATCTTCTGTTGGAGTGCGACGGCATACAATCACAAAAGATTCTCCATCAGGGTAACGGCTGTGTGAATCATGGAAGCACATCTCAACAAGTCGGCGAAACAGACGTACAATGTTGCACAACCAGCGCGAAGACGTCATAAGTCTTTCACACCGTTGTGATACTAGTTGGAAGAGGGCCGCAGCGTGGGCCTGGGGTCAGAGGTCCAAAAGTTAGTTTGGCAAGCCGAATTATGAAATGCTATCTCTTTGAATAATAATTCGCAGTCTTCAATTTATGTGATCTATTCTTTCTTCTGGCTTTCATAAGGACCTAGGTAGTAAGTGCAGATGTTTACACATCTTCACTCGCTTATTGAGACGAACCGTGTCAACATTACGGATTCTACAGATGTCGGCGATGAAATGTCATTGATGGAACGCAAAATAATTTAAAATGTTGTTTGATAATGGAAAAGATGATAGCAAATCTCCATAGCGGAATCGAGAACGAGTTTAGAGCAGTAGTAATGTACATTTCTTTAGGTTGTATACTACATCATGTGTTGGACTCTAGAGAATATTAAAGCCACCTTTTATTGTAAACCCCGATTTGTGTATCAATTTATCATTCATCCAGTGGAGATCAACCAAATCAATTATATGAGCAATCCATCTTTGATTGTATTTTCTGATCTTTCAAGCTCCCAGTGCCAACGAGAGTTTCAGCACATTGAGGGGTCCCGTTCGCTAGCCTCGCGGGGTCGTGCCCCGTGGGCCCGCAGGAAACGACATTTCAACTTCGTGGTCGCATAAAGTCGACCTTCGCCAGCACTCCTTCATAAACAACACCACGACGCCCTGCCTCCCAATACTGGGACTGAAAAACAAGACAAATACCCTTCTTCACCGACTCACCTTCAAACGGGCTATTCAGGTGGCAAGTAGCTCTCGCGACAGACAATCGACCGCCCCTCGGCGGCAAAAACCTCGACCATGGCATCATATTTCTCTTCCCTCCTCACTACCACTACATCGAGAGTTGCGTCTATTCGGCAGAACCTTTTGCCTACAGAGAACGATGGAGATACAGAGGATGACACCCATCTCTGCCGCGTCCTCAGAGCCTACTACACCGAAAAAGGACGATCATTCCCCGGCTGGCTACCTCCCGATCCAAAAGCCCCTCCCCCAGTCGTTGTCCAACCGGTGTATGCACAATCATCAGTAGGGTCGCGATATGGAGGACTACAAAATCAACCTGGCGGAGCATCTGGCGGAGGACTGGCAAGTTTGTGGGATAAGCAACCACAGCAGCAAATCCAACCACAAGAACAACAGAGTCTCAGACAAGGACGAGGACAAGGAAGGATGGCAGCGAGTGGACGAAACCCTTTTGCAAGTCAGAATGCACCCCAGCCGCAGCAAGTTGTTCAATCCCAGCCACTGCCCAGCCAGAAGGGAGGCAGCTACCAGCAGACGATGTTTGGCAGAAATGATTCTACCCCTCCTGGAAGCTCTGGAGGACCTGCACCCATGTCCTCTAGGCAGAGACTCGCCGCGCAGTTTAACAACAAGCCAGGTGCACAGCGCGCGAATTCCTACGAATCGAGCGGATCTGCGGCGCCCCTTACATCGGCGAACTCACCTTGGTCGAACAGTGGTGGCGGTTATGATGCTGGGGGATACGATGCTGGAGGCTATGATGCGGCACCGAGAAATACAGGACGTCAAGGATTGCCCAGTGGACCTGCAGCTGGCAGACGGGGACCTGGGCTTCCTAGTGGACCGAGGGGACCGCGGTAGAGGATTGTTGGTTTTGATGCATTTGCTTATGGGATTTTGTTGCATTGCATGGAGTTGGAGGAGGCTGCAAGGTCGTTCTGGTTTGGAATTTTCAATAGGCAAGGCCGGGATTTGCAGTAGCAGACGAAGAATCTCTTGGCTCCTGTTCAGTATCGCTTGCTTTTTGGTGACATGAAAACCGAGTTATGTGTGGGAAGTATTTTCCAGTACAATTTTGACGATTGGTAAGATGTGCTGTGCTTTTTTGATGCAGTATTTGCTTGTCGGGTCTAGATCATAGCCCCCAATTGTTCCCGCTGCAGTTCTTGGATCGATTTCAGACGAGTAAGAGCTTGTCGCTTGGATGCCGGACCAAATCTGTGGATTGATCTGGATTCAATATGGGCATTGCAGCTTGGGAGTCGGTTTATTTCAACTCCGCTGCAGCGAGTGCTCCCCTTGCGGACCTTCCTTACGTCCGTACTGGTTCATTTTGCCACACATGTTTTTCATCACATTTTGATATCACATCCGCACCTGCATGGCGATGGCAGCCGAACACGTCCCGTCTTGATCGTCCTGCATGTGTTTTATGCAGAACATCGAAGCCCTCCACCAGATCTTCCTCCACCTCATTCGTCCTTGGATCACATTACTCTTTACTGCAGCTATGTTCAAGGTGTGCCCCCCACATCTGTTTGGATTAAATCAGGTGCAGGACATCTCATCGCCAAGCCATCACAAAACTGCTTCAGCAGCAAGGGTTTACTTCTCTGCTCGCAAATCCTATCCTTCTTAACTCTTTAGTTCTTTCCCCTGGCCACGTGCCAGAATTTTCATGCGGGGTCTAGAAGTAGTCAGCACTCTATCTCTTTCTGCAGCCATAGAAATTGCAGATATCCTGGCTGCCGACAAGATACTTTCACCTAATGCAACTTTCAAACTACCATCCAGTCCTCCCTGTTCAAAGCATGGCTGGCCCCGAAAGTCAATCAGACCACCATCTGCAGCACCTCTACCTAGTCAAATAATTCGTCGGGTATTGGCTGCAGCGTACATGCTTGTTCCAACAAAAGTGCGTTGAGTTTGTTGGTTTTCCTTGGCCGGCATTCGCTTAGATGGTATTCCTACTTGTTGATGAGCGGCAAGAGAGAGGTTGAGAACAATCTGGTACGACAAAAGCCGCGTAATAGCCGACAAGAGCAAAGTCCTTTTGGGGCAGAGCGCCGGAATCGAAGCAGGAAACGCAGTTCAATATGACCAACAAATGAAGAAGGAATCAGAAGGATCACGGAGAACGGCAAGAGTTCTGCAAACGGCTAGAACTCGCCAAGTGTCCAATGGCCATCCTCCTGGGATCCAAATGTGCACCTTAACGATATCGATCACAATTCTGCAGCAGGAGCATGCTTGGGGTATGCGACTTTCTGTCCATCAAGTGGTGCCTTTACGAGAGGTGGTCGTAATTGATACAGTGACATCAAGTGTTGGAAATCCGTTTGTACTGGCCAGATCTGCTCACCGCGTTCAGCAGCAGGAAGTAATCAACGGAATTGGAAGTGAAATTGGAAGTGAAATTGGCTCCTCCAGCGATCTAGGCACTTTTTTTGCATCAATTCCTCGCATCAGTTGGTTCCTCGTTCCTCTTCAGTTCTTCACTCTAGCAATCCTACGAGAGGCATCGACACTAACAGCTCAACGATCGGCAGGGGATGTCCTGAAACAGCTCTTGAACCGTTGTTACCCACCTGGGTCTGGATCTGGATCTGCACTTTTGGATTCTGGAAGAAAAGGGCCACGGCCTGGAATGATTGCTCTAAGGGGACAGCTGACAACCGAGGGGCAAAGCATACATTTGCCTCTTGATGACAGCTCAGTGAACTATATTGCACGACTTGAGAGTTTGGAAACACAAACACTGGCGGGAATGATGTTGGGTTGACAGTTGTCCCTGTGTCAAGTGTTGATATCAAATTGATACGGATGTTGACGTCCGGATCGTCCGCAATACGGGAAGCCCGTTGGGCAAAGAGCACCCATCTCAAATATATTTGGATCCACCACATTTTGCAAAGTCTCGATCGGGATTTTCGAGGATCCAAGCGGTTTGAAGCCGCAGCACATGCAACATGAAAGACTTTATTCCCGTGACACCGACTTTTCACCCAATTCTCGGCTTCACACGTCAGCAACATATATCGTGACAGGACAGCTGTTCTTGGTCCCACGACGACCTTGATCGAAATTGACCAAGTCGTGGCAAAAAATCAACCTCATCTCCCGAATCTTAGATATGACACTGCCAGATACCGGATCTGATCCGCTGACACGTACTCCGTGTGACATATGATCAGGAACGAACCACTGTGAAGCCTCTGGCTCCAGCCCACGGCTACGGCTTGCAGCGGGAGGAGAAAATCAAAAATCAGAAACCAAATTGGCTTGCGAACCCGCTTGGAATCTTTTTCAGGATCGAGTATATAGTTCCAGACGAATAGCAACCTAATATCAAATATTCGAATTGTCGCAAAGACAGTCCTCCGCTCCGGCCACCGACTGAACCCCTGCCAGCACAAGAACTCTCGGCTAGGCTTGGCAAAAGCAAAACAACGCCCCTCTGAGGCTTTGTGAGCGATAGTTGACTATAGATCTGGGTTCCGATGCAATAATACGAGCAGTCATTTGACTGCTTTTCTCAAATGTGTCTCCAATCATCTTACTAGAGTTTACTATTGCCACGGCCACTGTCGGACCTAGCGGTACCTTCGGGCTGATGCTGGTCAATGCTCAAGAAACTCTGACTTTCTGACCAACGTGCACATCCCCCTCGATCCCCTCATCCCGCGGGGCGACCCTATCCAGACCCCCTCCCTATCGCAACATGGCGCTTAAAAGCACCGTGGCATCAGGCATATATTACCGAGGGCGGGTAGCACCGAAACCATGGAACAGCGAATGATCATATCCTACTAGTTCTGCATGTCTAGGGTCTAAGTATCCCGCAACCCAATGGCAAGAATTCTCCGCTTGGAAGTCTGAACTCACAGAGCAAGTCTAGCAAGGTTGGTTAGTAAATCTACTAGGTAATTATCTCTGCGACTGGCGACTTGAAAGATGCTTTCTTTTCACTCCCCCAGTATCCCACTTATGCAGGTACTCGTCCTCGAGCCTAGCTACCTCCGTCACCCAGCTGTGTCCCGCGTCGTCTACCTAAGTAGTATTAGACTTGTTTCGTTTCTATTTCTTTCGTCTGACGTCTGCACTGCGTCTGCATCCAAGTCGACTTCCCTTCCTTCGTTACACAAAAAGATTCCCGTCCCGTTGTTTGTGTGCTGCCAGCCAGCTCTGCCAGCTCTGTCCCCGGCCGGCACAGCAGCACAACAACAACACGATCACATCCTCTTTCAGACATACTGACAGACTGACGTCCATACGGAAAATTGACTGAGCAGTCAAAAAGCCATGTAAATCCCAAGCTTCAGAAAATTGTTCCTTGCTTGCGAGCAGCATTAACCCCGCGTTGCTACTGCTCCTGCGCTCCTCCGCTCCACACACACAGGCAATCCTTCAGATTCGAGATCCGATAAAATACAACAACACACTTATACACACGGCAACACCAGAAGAGTCAACCAATCCAACTTAGCTCAACACAAAAGAAAATACTTTCAGCTCTCTGCTGCGATTTCATATTCAACCAGCTATCTAGCTTACCCGCCAAAAATCCAGCTCCATGATTCTCGACTCCAGCTACCCGTCGCTGGCGTCGACATTTCCTCGTCCTCACACCCAAATTCATACCCACTCGTGTTCTCCTCATCGAGAACGAAAACGGGGAGAAATCGGAATGGAGAAGGAAATCGATGTGGACACCGCAACACTGCAACTACCCGCTGTAGATATCGATATCGGCATCCCAGCAGCCCCAGCAGCCAATCTTTTCGTACCACCTCTTCCGATTTCAAAGAATTGTGTTTGGAAGACAGTTAAGGCGGAGAGTGGTGTTGATGTTGAGATCGCGGTTGATGTGTACTTGCCGGCGCCGGCTCTGACGCCAGGCCCAACTTTGTCCGCAATTTCAAGTTCGTCAAGCAAATGCAAGCCTGGAAATGGAGATGGAAAACTCCAAGGCAAATGCAAAGGGAGTGATAGTGCAAAAGGTGACCATCAGCTCCTCCCCATCATGCTCTTCATCCACGGCGGCGCCTGGCTCGGCTCCAACCGCTCAGACTACTGCCGGCCACTGTTCCACCAGTTCCTTGAGCTCGGCTTCGTGGTTGCGTCTATGGATTACAGACTTAGACCTGAGACGAATTTGGAGGGGCAGTTGGAGGATGTTAGGGATGTGGAGGGGTGGTTGAGAGGTAGTGGTGGTGGATTGGGTGAGGTGTTGAAGGGTATGCGGATGGAGATAGGTGGCAGGGGAAGTGGGATTCGTGTTGATGTGGAGAGGGTTGTCGTTGTGGGTGCGTCGGCGGGTGCGCATTTGGCGTTGTTGACTGTTAGTATTCCTTCTTTTCTATGATTTCTTGCACCTCGTTTCCTTTATCACAGCCACTCCTTTCCAGCAGCTCCGGAACATTAACTCGAAGAATTTATATCGACTAACTTCGTGACAGCCTAAGCTATGGACCAAACCTCCCTCTGCTATTCTCTCTATGTATGGACCTACCACTATCCATTCTCTGCAGTATCAACAAAAAGGCCGATTCTCCAAACGTTGCAGTCTCCCTTGCACGGCGGAGACACTGGCTGCTGCTACGAACTATGCGCTACCACCTACGGAGAAGAAAATTAGTCAGGTTAGTACCTCCACGGATTTCATTTCTCAGTACGAGAAGAAAGTTTCTAGGATCAATAAAGTCAATTCTTGCTGTCTTCTTTCCTTTTTCAAAAGATCTAATATCAAGACTTTGAAGTTTGAGTCTTGGGTAGCGAAATCAAGTAACAGAACTGACATGCAACACAGACTGGTCAAGATAACTACAGACCTCGCAACATCATGGCACGACACCTTTTTGAAAGCGGGATGATGGCCGAATTTCTGATCAAGGGGTTAGTGAGGGGGAAAGAGGGCGAGTTATGCTTCCCTGAACGAGGAAGCGCGACTAAAGAGGAGATCGACTCAATCAGTGAGTTTTCTATAACCTTCCTCTCATATCCTCTTCATCTTCCCTTCTTACTTACTCACGTACTAACCTCACCATCACCCCTCCAGGCCCAATCCACCTCCTCACCACACGCCAACACCCCTACCCACCAGTCTACCAAGTAATGGGCACGTCCGACGACGTCTTCGACCCCTTACACGTCCACGATTTCCACGATGAGCTCAACAAACAAGGTATCCCAGCTCACAAAGTCCTTGTTCCGAATGTGTTGCATGCGTTTGATATCCTTGCGGAGATAGGTGGTGAGGTTGATAGAGAGATTGTAGGGCCGGCTGTTAGGTGGGTGGCGAGGTGGGTGGGTGTTGAAGAGGAGATGTGAGAGGGGTGGGTGAGTAGGGGAAAGGGATGTGATGCCTCGACCTGGGTGACTCCATGCTTCAATTCAGTTTGGCAGTAGACGGACGCGGACCCGAAGTGGTGAGAGGATCTGGGGACGAGGGATGGATGGCTCAGCTATTGATAAGTTCAGTCATGATCCTGTGAGAGAAACAAAAGGTAAGATATACGTTCCGCCGACTGGAAAGACGCACCGCACCGCATGTCTTGCGCTTGTTGGCGTTGGTGTGCTTGTTTCCCTGGCTATTTCCTTTCTCTGAATCTGCTTCTGTTATTTGGGGACTTCTATTCTTAGATTCTACTTTTGTGGTTGGCGTTTTCCATTCGCGTCACTCTCTCGGGGTGTGGATTTCTTCAATTGTTGTGTGGGGTTCTTCTGGTCATGGGAGGTATTCTGAGAAATGGGGGAGTTGAATAGAATTTAGATTAGAAGGAGGTGGTTTGGTGTATTGTTTGGGGAGGTGATCTTTAGATGGTTATGCGAGGGGCTTTAGTCTTTCTTTTTTTCGGCCTAACTTTGACATGCCATGCGGGGTATGAATGATGACGGATATGAAATTTATGATTTTGTTTTTTGATGCTCGATGCTTGATACTTGATTCCTGGCTTGGTTCATGCTTTTCTGGTCATTGGCGTGGCGTGGCGTTTCTTTGGGAGTGTATGGGGAGTCCTTGATGGCGAACGTGGGAGTGTGACAGGGAGTATGGAGAGGATTTTTGAAAGACTTTTTGCAGATGAGATGGTGTTTTTGGGTGTTGTGAATTTTGAAGACGATTTAGGTTTGGAATGAAACTGCGTTATTTTGCTTAGGCCTTTGAGTTCTTGTTAGTTTAATGTTTCTTTATTCCACAACCGTTCAGAATCTTGTTACAGTACGTGACGAGAGCTAAGTTCCAAAGTGAATTTAAATGTGATTCCAGAAAGAGCTAGTCCTCGGCGAGGTATTCTCTTCGAGAGTCAACCATAGTCGAAGCTCTTTCTATAAATTCTCATCAACAATATAACCACCTTTATCAGAGAGCTACGACAGATCTCCACTCTCGAAATTCTGGTATGCTCAGACGACATAAACGATACCGCTCACCTTAGTCTACACTACAAGATCTCGGATACTAGATATCAATCCCTTCGACTTTGCCTGCCATGTCATCATCATCAAACTCTGGGTCGATACCATCAGTTGGAATCTCAGCTTTCGATACCTCCCTCCAAAGTATACAAGATCCAACAACAATGTCGACTTCAGCCAGCTCAGCTCCTAATCCATCTACCTTTGACTCTGCTGTCCAGATGCCTGCCCACGAGAAGGAGCTCAGATTCACCCTCTTCCCAAAATTGCCACTCGAGCTTCGTGATATGATTTGGGGCCACAGCTGCAACGAAGAGCGCATCATCGACGTCCGAGCTGTGGTCATCAGTGGCCTTGAGAACGAAGATTTCTTCATGCGTCCAGAAGACAACCAAACACCAAAGCCTTTCCAAGTCAAGAGCTTCACTTACACTGTTCCGTCCGTCCTTCACACTTCAAAAGAAGCCCGTAAGATCGGTTTACAACATTACTCTCTCGAGTTCGGCACCAAAATCGAACGAAAGGTCGGTCCGGCGACCATCAAAATCTCAACTCCAGCTCGAATCTACGTCAACTGGAACCGCGATCTTATCTTCCAACTACCTCCTCCAGACAAGGATACCAGCGTACAGCGCGACCCAATACCATTCCAGAAGGAGATGAACGATGCAATGTGTAAGGACCTGATGGTCAACCGCCCTAAACTTCGCCGCGTCGCTTTCAGCAGCTCGCCTGCCGAGTCCTTCACAGGCGTTAACATTTGGGCTCTTAACATCTTGCAAACTGGACGAGATAATTGTGTATCCATACGTCTGGTCGGCATATGATATCCTCGAGGAACATGGATCAGCCACTCGCATTGGATTTCTAGACTTGACTGAGGAGACGGAAGAAAGATTTTATGATGAGGTCGAGGGCGGGGATGTCGATGGGGTATGCGATGTTGCGGTGGCAATCCTGGTCCGCGTTTTGGTATTGGATGTGCGTTCTCGAATAACTCCAGTGGATGGTAAGATTGTCAAAAGGAGAAATGAAAGCTGCTTTAGGAAAGTCATGACCTTTGAGACACCAGACAGGAGTGGAAGTTATCTTGGTCGGTACGGGTGGTAGTCAGGAGGTTATGATCATGGGAGATAGTGATTATCCTTGTCACATGGGACTATCTACTACTCCACATGGCTCGTCATACCAATGGGTATGATTTTATGGTTGAGATGCCCTTTTATGGTCTTCGATTAAAAACTATTATTCTCTGGCTTCTCAGGAATATCTACTGCCACCAAACCTTTCCTCCACTCATGTCAATAAGACCTGTGACTTCGAACAAGCTTCCCCGAAATGATAGTCAAATAATTTCTCGCAGTTGCCGGTGCTCACAGTTTGAGTATGCGAAAGAAAAATGGAGATGTATTATGTCTACCGTAATTTTATGTCGATTGATGACTCTTTGGCCGAAACAAACTTTTACTCCAATCCAAGAGTGAATACGCAATTTCTTGAGAACGTCATGCAGTGTCTTCTTTGTTACCATCATTTGGAGAAACTATAAAGGTACCCGTCATTCCAGTTTCGATTATAATTCAAATATTTTCGCCCCTGGGATCAGTGAATGTGAGCTTGCAAGAGCTGCACGGCGCTAGTTCACAGCCGATAACTTCTCCCACACCTCACCATCATAAATAAGCACCTCTTCTTTACGATTCTCGTAGAACCTCGACTCAACTCCACCATCACGGCATTCTCACCCTTGGTTGGTTGCCAGAGTGAAACAACACTACAGCTTCTCGTCATCAGCCATCTCTCCAATCGGGTGGTCCTCTGAGTTTCTGACTCTGAAGATCTGAAAAGTTCGTACCCCTGGTCTTCACCTTGTCATATTTCTTGACGTTAACCAATGGGCAGGGCGAACAGGTCTTCAGTATCTCCCATCACTTCTATCTCATCAGGTCATCTCTCTCCTCTCAGACGTCCTGAACTTCCAAGACTTCTTCGCGGAGAAAGTTCAAGAGGAGCTCCTTCATTCTCGACATGAGCAACATGAATTCTACCTCGATCTCACCATCCACTTCAGCTGCGTCCACCATGACTTCCAGTGCTTCCACGAACAATGCCGATATGAAGCCCGACAAGTCCACACTCTTCCCAAATATGCCTCTTGAACTGCGAGAGATGATCTGGACCCAAGCCTGCAGGGTAGAGCGAGTGGTGGATATCTGGGTTAAGGTAGTGGGTGGAAGCGCCGGTAAAAACTTCTTCGACACAATCCGGGTGCGCCGTGCCGTCAATTACAAAAGCCACGCAAAGCTCCCTTCGGTACTGCATACTTCCAAGGAAGCTCGACAAATCGGCCTCAAACACTACACCATGGTGCTTGGAAGCAAGTATACAAACTCCTACCGTGGTACCAAGATCGAGTTCTCTACACCTGCACGAATATACTTCAACTGTGAGTACGACATACTTTGCCCGATATTTGCGTCTTGGGAGGCCGAATACCAGTTCATGAAAGACGTGAGCACTCCAGAAGTCTTCCCAAAGATACGCAGAATTGCTTTTTGTGTCATGACCAGCTTTAGAAGCTATTGGGCACAGCTGGGCAATCTTCCTGATTTGGAAGTCTCTGTATATCCTAACTTCTATGTTCCGAAAATCTTTTCATTGAATGGCTTCAACCGAGTAGACGATTTTCACATGGAATTGGTTGATTTCGACGAGAAGATGGACTATCACCAATACGAGACAGCAGGCTATGCGCCAGCTTGGGAGCAAATGCTTGCTGCGAAAAGATTCATACAGCGGGAGTTCAACGAAAGCTCATGGAGATTTTGTAACTGCGGGAAAGAAGTCGAAAACTGCCATGATCCCTCTCATCGCCTGATTGATTTGCCTATCACCTTCAAGAACTTGAAGGCTACAGTCACTGATAGGGAGCAGGCTTGATGGGACGAGGCAAGTCTGACGTTGATGAAAGTTAGGGAAACATGACCCATACCGCATCATGGGGAGCTTGGGATTGGGTGGATTGTGTTCTGGTCGGAATGGCGCTGGTACTGGTTGTGGGATGGCTTGAAACCAGCACAGCGTGGAGAAACTCAGCCGATGTGGCTGCACAAGAACCTCAAAGCTATACGTACTTGACCCTTGAGATTGAAGCACATGTGCACGCGACTAGAACAAATCTGGTTTACTTTTGCATTCCCTACCAAACTATTTATGAAACCTGTCAAACATCTGAGATTTTCTTCAGCGTGTTGACTTGAACTTTGATTGACGTAATTTGAATTTCAGATCCGAATTCCAAGTAGCAGATTTCCCAGTCCATTCAAGTTATTAAATTTTCTTCAATTAGTATCAACGACGTTATTTGTTGGTAGTTTTACCTTCTTTTAAGGATTCTCATCACATGAATGTGGTAAGCGAGATATTCCAAGTCCAAATCAAAACAAAGGACTGCAACGTCCCAGGTTCCACCTTATGCTTTTAGGGCGAAGCGAAGGTGTTGGTTAAACAAATATTAAATATCTCAAGGATGTTTGTTAACATGGAATCAATTGATTGTTTAATTGTTTCTACATGTCGAAAATATTCACTGTGGTTTATTGTCGTGGTGGCAATTACTTGTTGCATCATTCAATTCTACTCTGAATCGGATGACTCAAAGACAGTGACTCAAGATTCGACTTTGCAAATGAAAGCGGCTAATCGCATCGCTAGTCGATGTCGCTCAGAACTGTGCCATCTCGTCTAAATAGCGGCGTGTCAACTCGAAGTGTCTGCTTACTCTCCTCGAAACAATAAAGCTCACCAACAACAACGAACAATCCCGATAACAACTCTTCAAAGAAATACTGGATCCTCATACCAGAAGTCTAATCCACGAATCTCTCAACAATGTCAGCCTCAGCGAAAAAGACGGTCTCGAAGTCAGGAAAGCGGTCATCAGCATCAAATAAACCAGGCAGTTCGACTTCGAGCTCTAATCGCACCATACCCGCTTCTGGAACCTCTACAAGCTCTACAGCATGCTCTCCCTCTTGATCCAACTCCCTTGCTAGCCTCGCTATCTCGACAGACCATGTCACGGCTGCTTCGTCTATTGACGGCACAAAGGGGCCCGCACTCACATTTACTTGCTTTCCGAGACTGGCTCTAGAACTCCGGAACATGATTGTAACTGATATGAACAGCTTTCTATGTACGACAAAAGCAATGCTGACAACGTCTCAGTGGGAAGAGATCTGCTTCCTCGAAAGAGTTGTTGATTTATGGTACTGAACTATTATCAGAGAGCATAGATTCTCGGCAACTATGTTTGGAGAGTACCTCAACGACGTCATGAAATACGAGTAGAAGGGTTACACTACACAACCTGCGATCTTACACAACTTCAAAGAAGCTCGAGCAATTGGTCTTATACACTACAGCCAAGATTATGGCCTTCGCGAAGCTGACTTTGAGTCCGGCAGATATGAAGCATCCCATGTCCACCACCCTGGTCGAGTATACATCAACTCTGCTAGCGACATTATATGTGTCCCTTAAGGTCATGTTTCTTGGGGGAATCATACGAAAGGGATGTATCGCGTGGAAATTATGGTCTTCGATACCTCTGTCACTGAGTTTAAGTCACGAGCTTCGACGAATCGCAGTCCCGAAACGTGAAGTCGATGGTCACGGACTCATGTGGCTCCTCGCATCCAATCAATCCATCACCGAAGTGATTCTATACTCGGAGCCCGACGAACTTAAGAAGCTGGTGGCGGAACCATGGAAGAGTGGCAAGAAGGCTTCGTTTGAGCTAGTCAAGACCTACGAACATATTGATAAATCGAAGACTAAAAAGCGAAACAAACAAAGAAAAGGGGAGAGCCTGCTTGAGGACTATCCCCTAAGCTGCCGTTAACACACTTTTGCAGGGTGTAGGGCCGAAGCGAGGCGCTAAGGTTCCAGTGAGTCCCTGAAATACAGGGCACATACGCTACGCTCAGCCCCTGGAGAAATGTGTGTTCTGAACGGCAGCTTAGGGGATATATCCAAGATCACAGCTAGGGTTGAAAACTGGCAAAAGTGCAGAGAAAAGTGGAGTGTCATTCCAGGAGAGCCGAGGAGGACTGCTCTCAAGATTACATTTCGTGCCATGAAGCTTGATATAGCAGACATGGAAAATAAATGGGAGCGTTGTGTGTCATTTGGCATGGTAGAACGATTCCCAAGCTGGGGGGAACTTCTCTTATTTGGGAACGAATTCTTGATGTCATTCTAGACGAACAAATAGGGTACATTATCATCAGCGGTGATGGTGATTGGAAAGGGGAACCACAGCTTATATTTAAATTTGACAGAGGTCCGGAAATCGCAAGGGCAGGATGAAGAGAAGATTGGCTGGCTAATTTCGGGGTCAAAGGAAGGGAACACTACAGCACTTTATCATATGAATCATTTGCAAAATACCTTGATCATGTTGTATGTTTGAGAGCTCTGCATCTCAAGATTATTCTTGAGATGAAGCTCATTTCAGGACCCGCATTCCTCAAAGGGGGACGCTCGCTTAGGTAGCTATTGATGTTGACGTTTCCTACATGTGATTGTGTTCTGTTTGCACAAATATAAAACTCATCATCAATATCACTCTTATTTTCTAGACGAAGGCAACAGCTCTATCATCTCGAAATCACACAACAGGCAAAAATACTCTCCAGAGCCTACGCCATTTCACACGTGACTAGCATCAGCACAAAAAAGCCTCCCACTTTTCAATTCCTCCAAACCTCATCCATATCAATCAACCCCACCCAAAAAATGTCCAACTCAACACCCACCCCCCTCCCAAAATACATCTACAAAATCCTCCCCTCCACCCCCGCACCACCCACTCCCCTCCCCGCCTCCCTCCCCCTCTCCGCCCTCGACTCCCGCCACAACTTCATGCACCTCAGCACCTCGTCCCAGATCCTCCGCACCCTCCAGAATTTCTTCTCCTCAGAATCCCACGTGTACATCCTCCGGATCCCGTACGAGCGAGTCGCGAGGTTTATTGTTTGGGAGGACACCAAGGGGAATGCGCCGCCTGAGAATGAGGGGGCTTGGGATGTGGATCAGAGAAGGGAGTTCTTTCCGCATGTTTATGGGAATGCGGGGCCTGGGGAGGGGGAGCAGGGATTGAAGATGGGGAGGGAGGAGGTGGAGAGTGTGGGGGTTTGGAGGAGGGGGAGTGGAGAGGGGAGTTGGAGGGTTGAAGGGTGGCCGTTTGGAGAGGATGGTCCGAGGGAGTGAGGGAGTGAATGAGTGAGTGAGAGGGATGGTGGAGGAGATTGGTTACACGTGATGTGAGCAGAGTTATCAGAATCTATGTATTCGATATCACTTTGGATGCTGAAATCTGTTGTCGATCGTTCTTTTCAAGTAACAACCAGAAACGTTCCGGACAGGAATTATGGGTTGCGAATCCTCCATACGGACATCTGTAGAACTGGAGTTATTGTTACATTTCCCCCTCAGAAGTCTCGCATTGTGACGTGCAGAGTTCTGTTTCCATTTGCGCAGAGTCCGGATTTCTATCTTTCCAGCAAGCCCCGCGTTCACCATTTGATCCTCCAATGTGGGGATAGCTTAGTAGCTCGTGTATATGCCCTCCAAGCATCAACACCCATCCAATGTTTGGGAGTCAAGTATCTGTCTTTATTTCGCCCCAAGTTTACTTATTCAACCAGTATTTCCCACATCCCTGACTCCTGGATTCCTCCCTCTGCCATGTGCCTCTCCTACTTCGCTCTCAGCACTCAATTCTCCTACCGTCCTGTCACCAGAATCCATCTCAACAACCGAATCCCCAGGCAATTCCTGTGGCGTCTGACGAACAGGACTCTTCCCTTGTAATTCCGAAGCCATCGGATGCATATGCACAAACTGGTCATTCTGGCCAGCCGCCCCAAACTCAGACTTCGCACTCTCATTATCCACATTCAATAATTGTCTACCCGCCTCCGTCTTCTTCTGTTTCCTTCTCCTCAACAGATATGCACCGACAGCAAGTCCCAGCACAACCACTCCCAGCGCAACACCAACGCCGATTCCGATTTTGGCGCCGCTGCTCAATCCTCCTCCTCCTCCTGAGCTTACTTCCGAGGAATCTGGAGATATGGTGACGGTGTTGGTTGGTGCTGCAGGGGTAGTTGTTCCATTTTGGTTGAGGCCGACGAGGATTGGGGAGGTGCGAGCGGTGGGTATGACGCTGAAGTAGTTGCTGTTGGACCCATTTCCTGCTTTGTTCGTAGGTCGGAGATCAAAGTAGCAGGAGTTTACATCAGACCAGCCGAGGAGGACAAGTGTTGACCCATTCTTTGGAGCGACGTGCTGGATGAGTTCTGTGAGGTAGATACTTAGTGATATACCCCTGATCAATGGATGCTGAGGCCATACTTGTGAATATCGATTTACTGTTGGCTTCTTGCAGAATGTGTAGAGTAGAGGTCGCGCAAAGGGCGACGTGTAGGTAACATTGACCGTGTCCATATAATTGAGAACCAGTCCTGGACCTGCGGGGTAAAGGAAAGTGACATCCGGGTTATTCTCCGCTGCCGTCGTCAACCCAGCCAGCCCCAAGAGCGCAAAAGAAACGAAAGAACAATACATGATGAAAACCTGGCTCAATGCGATGCTGAGAATGAAAAATGATGTCTCCGCAGATGGCCAGAAACACGGAAGAGACAGAAATGATGTGCCTGAGAAAGTGGCTCTGTCTTCCTTTTTCAACCGCGGACACGGCACGGAGCGACAGTAGTACAGATCCCATCATCTCACTAAATGGAAAGCGATCGACATCCAACCACTCATGTAGATAAACGCTAGCCATAGTCTAACAAGGCTTGAAAGCCAATGAGCTTGACGCGAACAAGCGTAACTTTTCATCCTAAATTAGCATCCATCGGTGGGTCCGCGGTGGATGTTATGCTGTGGTTGGTTGGAGGTTCGAGGGCTGGGTACATGCATCTTGGAGAAAGAGGCTGACAACCCTCGACCGTGGCGGTGCCAGGCGTTTTCATATGCAAAACTCACAGCTCCTAAAATGACAAGTCTCTTCAGGGATGAGTGCTTGAGATAATGAGGGAAAAACAAACTACTCGACTGATCCAGGCCCTTAAGCGAAGGGATAAGGGCCGTCAACACCATCTAGATGAGTTGGAACAGACTACGAGCACCTCAATACTGTCATCTAGCGAGAGTGTAAACACTAAGTTACATGTCAGTTTAGATGTATCGCGGTGGCCATTGATTTGGAGTTGTTGATTCTTCTTATACTGAATTCATTCCTCGAAAGGAATCCCTCAAAACCGTTCGCGAAAAGCACTCGGGAAATAGTCTAAAGTGAGAAACATATTATCTAAAGCTGAAATGGTGGTAGCTAGAGTCCCGTCACAGGTAAACTCCGTATTCTGTGCAAATGTGCTCGTTGAATGACATGTCCTCGTTGCAAAATTTCACGACCATTTCAAAGAATCTTCATCTAGAAGCATCCGCTCTCAGTATCGAACGAGAATATAACAACACAACGGTAATGGCGACACAGTCTACTCTCACTGGCTACTCTTGCATCTCCAACTGTTATATTCATCAATACTTTGCAAAAAGCCACGAGCCTCAAGCAGGTCGCCCAACATATCACTCCAAGCCTTTCGGTCTGTCCTATCGTTCTGTAAATAAAACCCAGCACTCAGCCTAGGCTTCCTCGCTATCCAAAACCTGGGTTAATAAGCCGCAGATTCCCAGTCAAGAATCCCAGTGACAGCACCCTCCAATACCATCACATTTGTCGGTCCAAGGTCAGCATGATAGAAGTAAAAGAGATCTCCGGTATCGACATCGAGACGAGATTCTGGTGCGATATTTGACAGGTGCGAAGCGAATGCTTCGGATGAGAACGGTCCTATCGGTCTCGGTATCCACGATGGATGAGAAGGGTCAGCGACGTCATTGAGAAAAGGCTCAACAACCCCTTGCCCAGTGGCAGTTTCGAATCTGGGGGACGAGATCGAGGCAAGCTTGCAGCAATATTCGCTAATCTTGGTGGCAATGCCAATCCGTTGATCTGTTGTAAGCTGGGACCATTCCTCATCTAAAGTTCGACCCTCCACACGTCTCAGAATAAGAAACGTCCTATTCCACGGGCGATCTACTCAAGCGTAGATGACTTCCGGGACAGGAATTTCTGGCGCTTCTCTTCTAACAAACTCAATCGTTTGACTCTCAAGCTCCATCTCTTCGCGTCAAGCCTTCACTTTGCAAAAGGCATTGGAGCCAACACTCCAAACTGTTGCAGACGTTCCGCCTTCATGCACTAGTCCCGTTTCTGAACCATCTTGTGGCAACAGAAGGTCTTCATCTACCTGGTCGCAGAGATAGAAGGTGTCATCACCGTCTTGCCAGCTCACGATTACGTTTGAGGGGACTGGTCTGGTGATGCGTTCACAGACTTTGGAGGAGCCCAAGATCCAGTGATTTGGAGTTAGACGGCGTACAGATGTGCCTATCGGGGGTGTCATCTCACTGCTGAGAATTAGTCTTCTGTGGTAGCGTTGGAGCAATCGTAAAATAAAAACCAAAACATGTTGGTCCATACACGGTATCAGTGGTGTTCAACAGGACAGAGCCAGCACTCTCGTAGGCTGTGCAATTGGTGGTGCCTAGAAACTTTTCATAATTCAGCCGCTCAAGAAGACATAGTAGTGCCGGGGGAAAGACTAAACGGAGAGGAAAGTAAAGATGTTCAGGGTGAAGAAAGTCAGTCCTTCGCCGAGGAGAGGGTAGAAAAGGTTGACCACATCAAGCCCTGGTCCAGTTCGGGTCCGAAGTTACTGTAAGTTTAGGGCCGGGAGCTGCCGCCACTTAGGCACTTTGCACGGCTTAGTTGAAATCTCGACTTCCTTCCTTTACTTTCCCCAAACTTGCTTTATTATGATTTTCGAGAGTTGAACGTAATTATATTATGCTATCCATGAGAACTCTGTAAAAAAAAAAAAAGAGGAGGGGGGCGGGTGGCGGGATTTATCCAGTGAGTAAGTGTATCTAGGCAATCGAAAGGTGAAAACAGCTGGTGCCTAGCGTTTGGGTTTTGACGCCATTACAGTACAGGAAAAGAACCTGGAACCGCCGAAGAGCACCTGTCGTGCCCCGTCGACAGGGAAGCGATCGCCTGACAGCCACTGGAGACAATATCATCGAGCATGGCTTCACAGATTTTCAAACCAATGGGATCATTTCAGGCATGCAGTAATCCGGGGTAGACAACACTCTCCCTGTTGCAGAGACCGAACAATAGACAAGAAAATGATAGGCTGCTGTCATGGATGATTATGTGGACCTCAGTTCTGAAATAGGTCAGTCGCTTCGCTGCCATAGTTCTTGTGCAACGTTCCCTTCGTTGGAACGGAACAAGACATTGGAACGTATTGAAAAGAGGTTCTTTCTACTGATTTCTCTCGGAAGAAACTTACTAACCGAAGAGAAACTCCAAACGTTTTCGACCACGCCAGAATCAAACGCTGAGGAGAAGCGTGATTAGAAAGGTTTTGTTGCGCATCCAGAACGTCCATACATGAGGATGCTTGAAAGAAGAGGGGTTCACAAATAACCACTTAACGGCTGTACAGTAACTCTTTGGAACCTATATCACATTGCCAGATATGATCATCAAGCCTGACGGGAACCGTGCTTTATTGAGTCCGCCCTTCGTCTGTGGATTTAAGCGAGGAATATTACCAAGTGTTGTTTACAATAAGGTGCGCAGCCACTTTGTTCGCCTCACTCTTAGGCTTCAGAGCATACAAAATGATTGGACTCCTGCCCCGTGATGATATAAAAGCATAATGTGGGAACTTTTTTAATCGTGGCAGACGTCTTGTAGAGGAGCAGAGGTCAAAGTTATCCAAGACGAGCGAGCTGGTGGAAGGGAACAGGAACCATCCAGGTCTCCATACAGCGGAGTACAGTCATTCTTTCATTTCGTCATGCTCGCGCCGTTGATTCGTGCGGTGCAGTCTGGCGGCGAATGTGCCTCAACAACCGATGCACAAATATTGCAAAAGACTTTTCCAATCCAGAAAACACACATATATCACATATATACATCTCAAAATCCCCTCCCCAGCCAGTTTGTACCATCTCCCCCACCTCTATCCCCTCACAACTCATCATGCTTATCGCTCTGCACCTCCCAAGCACCACCACTCAAATCCGGCATCCCCATAATCTTCACCACCAGACTCGTCCAGCCAGTGAAATGCTGCGTTCGCTGTCCCTTGCCCGTCTCAGGGTTATACTGTTCCCAAGCAAAGCCGGTCTCTGCCCAGGCGTCGTACACGGTCTTGATGAGGTTGAGGCGGAGAGTGCTGTATAGGTCTGTGGCGAGGGATTTGTGGGGGCCGGGGGTTTGTGCGTATTTCTGCGCCGGTATGTCAGTTCATATATTTGTATTAACAAATGGGATGTCGTAGGAAGAAGAAGAAGTTGGGAGATTGGTGACTATGAAAGAACGGATTCGGCAGGAGGAAGACTTACAAGCAATTGCACCACAGCTAGATAGTTCATGTTCATCCACACTGGACCCCTCCAGTAATTCTCATCGGTACCATAGAACTCATCCTTCTTACTTAAACTCCTCAGACCGTGTGCACTCCACAGCTCCTCTTCGTCGCCAATCAACTTCAAGATATGACCCAACTTCTCACTCTTGGGATCCAGAAGACCCGTCAAGAATGGGAAGAGTGAGATATATCCCTTGTGGCAAACCAGTGCATTCTCCTCATAATCGTCAATAGTGGCATCGCAGTAACACTTGTCTTTCTCACTCCAGTGAAGATCATCGATGTTGCGGAGAATGGCTGTCTCGATCGTGCTGAGTTCCTTGACGTCGTCGGCGTAGTCGAGGAGTGTGGCGATGTTCTTGAGAGATTTGGTCATCATACCCATCCAGGAGATGAGATCGACGTGCAGCTCTCCTGGGTGCGGTGGTTGAGGACGTGGGTAGTCATCGAGCCCGCTGGTCAGAATGTGTTGGGGAGTGCGGCCGCGCCATCTGTATGCTTCCTTAGTGCTGAATGCATCGCGGTCGTAAGACTTCAGATCTCCAGATTGGGTTTTGCGGTACCAGAAGTAGTGCGTTCTCAGTTTGGGGTAAAGTTCTCGTAGATAGTGGAGAGCGAGATCCAGATCTTGAAGGTAGACGGAATTAGGCTTCTCGCCGAGGCTTTCTCGTGCTACTTTTGCCTCCGGACTGGACCCATTCATGGCATGGATCTTGGAGATGAAGTTATCGACGATGAAGAAGAGGGTGGGAGGGTTGGCGTAATGTGGATATTGGATTTGGAACTCGGCTGGGACTTTGCTGCGTGCTTCAGCGCCAAGGATCTGTTCACGGCCGATCCATCCATCTTCGTCCATCAAATTGAACCAACTCTTCACCACTTCTAGAGCCAGGTCCAAATCCCAGTCAGCGACTGGCATCAAATGGAAACCTTCATCCCAGAGGAAACCACGTGGGAAGAAAGGTCTTGATGGCACAGTGGTGAACAATTCGGAGGGTCCTTCAAGCTTTTCATGCTTCTGGGCTCTAACAGCTGCAGTCTCCTCCCAGAATCCTTCATTCTCCTCATCATACTCTGGAGCATACGATCGGTCCACAATAGAGTCTCCATAGAAATAGCCGAGTCCACCAAGCAAGTTCGAAAACATGCTTCCAGCGAATCTCTGAAGAGCTTCAACACCAAATGGCGGCTGAGGGTCAAAAGTAGCAACGAATCGATCCCAGAATCCTCTTGATCCACGAGACAAGAACTCTGAAACATCCTGGCTGGTATATTCTTTGCCAGAAGAGCCGCTGTTAAAAATGACATCAAATTCAAAGTTGCCCTCGAATACTTTCTGGATAATGTGCAAGTTTCCTGGAGCAGCTTTGTTCTCGAGAGTATACACTTGCCACGGAGGAGGTGGGTTCTCCTCCCCATATGTAGCAATGTACTTGTCGATTTGGTCTTTCAACCCCTTGAAAATAATAGGCTTAACTTGCCACAGAATCGTATCCGGAGCTTGAAGCGAATGAACAATCGTACGATCCAAAGGCTTCTCCTCATACGAAGGATGCGAACCAGCCGGATGAGTTCCCCGTCCGGCCGTAACGGTAACTTTATACTCCCCCAATCCAGCCGAGTCACCTTTCAGCGTAACATCACCCTCATATCCCAAGTCATTGGGCTCATTCTCAAGCTCCAGACTTCCAAGTCCTTCCAGGGAGTTGTACCACACGACTGTAGACTTGAGATCTGGTGGTGCACCTTCTCGCACTGTGCCTCTAACCCGGACAGCCCAGCCACCGCCGTTGCTTCCTCCAGGGATCTTCACAAAACTGGTGCGGATGTTTATGCCATTTCCCTCATCGTAAATTGTTTGCTGGCCTCCTGTCCGCGCGTCATATTCGTCCCAGCCGTAACCTTTCATGTTGTCGCCCTGCTCGCAGGTATGTCTGAAGTCTGCAGAAGGCACCAATTAGCACAATTCAACGTTCTCAATCCCAATGCACCAGAAGTTTTCCAGTAAAATGGAGAGTAGAGGGCTAAACATACTGTTCTGCACATCTTGATAATTGTCTACCCTCGACCACATCAATCCACCCATCAAACTCTTCGGAATCCTAGGCCTAACTCCAAAATACAAATTCGGTCTATACGGGCCCCAAAGCAGACTATCATTCGTCTTCCTCGCAAACTCATTGTACAAAATCGCAGGGTCTCCTTCAGCAACTACCTGTGTTGACAGGCAGGCTGCGAATAGAGCTGCCACAGGCAGAATGGGGAGAAGCATGGTGGTTTTGAAGCTTCAATTGGGAGGAGGATGGATAGCCAGAGCTCCGTGAGAGGGATTTGAGGAGCTCGAGGGCGTGGCGGAGTGAGGGGAGGTTTTTCTGTAGGGAAGGCTGGGGTGGATTTTGAGAACACCGTTGCGGGTTCGTTGATGTGCAGCTACGTATTCAGCCTGTGTCGCGAGGCTGCAGGGAAGGCTGACTAGTGATGCTTTCGGACGGAAAAAGGTCACGGAACGAAGAATGGGAGATCTGGTCTGTATGTGCATCTTTCATTGGGGGAACTTCTATTTATTTGGCACAAAATTCTTGTCTAGTGTGCCTTGGATATAGCTAATTTATCTTGTTTTGCAGCAATCATTTGAGTTTGGTGGTAAAGCCACGACTCACTTCTAAGAAGCGGATATTGACAAGGGCCCGTCTGAAATATACTACATCCCAGAATCCACTGACACTTCCCATGGAATATAATAAAGGCAGAGGAATAGCGATATCAGCATACGTTATCCATCATCAACCCATCATTCATCATTCTCTGCTTGGACTGAGAGGCCTGTTGAAACCTCCAACCCGATTCATGTACTGTCTGTACTCGGTCTTCTTCTCCTTCCTGACAGCATAGATATCGTTCCCTGCAACTTTCTGCTGGTGCGTCGTGCCGAATCCGCCGAAACCCATCATAGCCTGCATAGCAGCCATGCCGTCATCCTCCACGATCAGATCATCGTCCTCCTCAATTGGCTTAGCAGCCTTCTTGCCCTTCTTTCCTTTCTTGCCGGGTTGAGCTTCTGCATCGACTTCCATTCGCTCGTGATCCTGTCCATTTCCAGCAGAATTGACCTTGAACGAGACAGGTGGAGTTGCTGTTCGCGCTTTGGTGAACTCCTCCTCGGCGTGGTAGGGTTTGGGTATCTCCTTCTCGGCCTCAGCCTCTCTCCTAGAATCTCTATCTCTCTCCCGTCGCGGACTCCTACTCCTCGTACCTCTCTTCGTATCCCTTGCCCTGTCTCTCGATCGCTCTCTCGGTCGGTCTCGGCTTTCTCTCCCACCATCTTGAAAAACATTGTCAGGCTTGGCTCTGAAACAAGACGCCACCTCGTCGGTGACAGCACTGGTACTGGCAGACAAACACATACCTCTCTCCTTGTAATCCCTATCCCTCATATCCCTCTCTCTACCACCATCCCTATCCCTCGCACTTCCACCATCTTTCGAAAACGCATTAGACTTCCCTCTATGACAAAGCGCGACAGCTTCAGTAGGATACATACCTCTATCCCTCTCCCTATAATCCCTCCTACCACCCCTCTCACCCTCACCATCCCGATCTCTCCCTCCCCTACCATACCCATCCCGCGTATCTCTCTCGCGCTCATCTCTGCGTCCTCCTCGCTCACGATCTCGACCACCTCCACCTCCAGCGCCTCTCGAATCGCGCGGCGACCGACTGCGATATCTGCGATCTCGATTCCGGTCTTCTCTCCTGTCATTGCCGCGATCTGGGCGCTCGCGCTCGTCTCGTTCTCGGGAGGGGAGGGGTGCTTGAGGTGCGCGTCGGTCGGCTTCGTCCCACATTTGCTTACTGTCTGGGCGGCGCGCGCGTTTGTATGGTGGTTCTGCCATCGTATGTGAGTGTCCTGGGGTTGAAGGCTGTGTATTTGGTGGTGCGGACGTGGTTCTAGGTCTTAGACAGAGGAGGTTGCGAGACAATGATGAGGACCTCAAATGTTGATGAGGCTGCGAGCTTCAAGTTTTTGACAAGGATAAGGTGGTCCGTGCGAATCACCTGCTTTCCCATTCCTTTGTTTACTGTACAGTTATGTCTCTTCGGCTAATACTGCAAATCTAGCGTCACTCTGAACTTTAGAGTAGTCGATCCTAATCTTCTTCTTGGCTTCAATCTGGTGTATCTGGTGAAACTATTCCAAAAGTATGCTCCTTTGCTTGAGAAAAGCAAAATACACAAGTCTGCCTACTCAGCCCGCGCAGCATAGCCACAGTAGGCGTTTTTATATGCGTGCTCCTTTTTTATCAACTTCTTCCTGGAACTTTTTTTCTTAAAAAATAAAATTTCTTCTGTAACTCGAATACTTATGTGCTCCTTCGCAAGCTACAGTATGGCCCAGCAAGTGCCTTCCGTGCCGCAATCATCAGCTCCAGCTCGCAGGAGCGGGGATACAATTCAGTCTCTGGCACGTGAGTCCTCAGGCGCACGCCCACGAACCCGTCCATATCTTTCGTATAAGGATTACCTGGACACGAATGTTGAAGACTGGCCTGAGTTCCGCTGGATGCAAGTTTTCTTTATGCATCCCGGCGGAGATCCGAATAATACCAATTTGACTATCATCGACTCCGCGAATGGGAGTCTTCATCCACAATCCATCACAACTCTGGATCCTCACAGCCTGACAACGGCTCTAGAAAATCGCCAGCCCGAGGTGAAAACGAGAATAATTGTTGTCCACTATGGACAGAGCTTTTCTATTGATCGACGTGTTGTGGATATTCTTGGCAGTGTTTATGACCTAGATCCTCTTGTGCTGCAGCGTCATTTTGAACATGATGCTATGTGGCTAGAAGATGGGCTCAAAACTTCGAAACATATTGAAGAGCTTCTTCCCGAGGCCCGCCTTGCATTACTACCATCTGAAGAAACCTGTGAAGGGCGATTCGTTCATTTTGGCTTGTCGAATTTTCGCTATATAACCGCAATGTACTTCAATCAGAAGGACAAAAATGATCAGACCACTGGTAAGGAAGTCCTGAGCATAAGCACAAGCCAATATCTTCTAAATACCAGATAGTGCTCATTTGGCTGCGATTTAATCTTTCTATCAAGGACCGGCTTACATCTCTTGGAAGAGGTGTTTATCCTTCATTTTCCTTCGCTCCCAAACGCCTGCTAGGCCCAGGCAACAAGATTAGCGCGGCGTATATTTCAATGTTATTGACTTGGACCCCCGATCTGGTGAGGAGAGGAGACGACGATTCGCATCAATATCTTGCGCCGCTGTTACAACTTTTCCTCAAAATTGAACTTTACGAATTCCGGAACGTTATGGACCCCAATCTTGACCGTTATGTGGATCACGACATAGATGGAACCCTTACTGGCGTGCGAATGAATCTTGCTTCCCTGAAAAGAACAAAGAAAGCATTTCGGGAGTTCAATAAAACTGAAATAGGCCGCCAGCATCAGATGTCTCCAAATTTGCTAGACACTGCTCTTTCCGAACTAGAGTCGCTAATATCAGACTACGAGGAGGCTGAAGCCGCGTGGAACAGCGAGAGACGGGATGAACTTCTCGATGCTCAGCTGAAAGAGGCTAGAAAGTCAACCGAAACGGCCTTACGCGTAGCAAGCTTAACGAGACTCGCAGTCGTATTCATTCCTCTCAGTTTTGTCGCTTCCGTCTTTGGCATGAATATCCAACAGTTCAACGACGGGAAAGTTAGTTTGTCAGCCTTCTTTGGAACCGCTGCAATCATGAGCTTCCTGACTTTCTTACCAATCCTGGGACTGATAGATAAGGAGATCACCGTCGCTAATATCAAACTTTTCGGAAGATCGCCCTTGCATGGATTTTGGCTTTTGGCCTTCACACTGTCACACTTCCGGAAAAGCAACCGGGCCCTCTGTGAAGAACGTCTACTGTATTTCCTCAGTTCGGGAAGGAGACCAAATTTTAATAGGGACCCTAATCTCGAAGACGAAAACTTCTGGATGAAGAAATTTGGCTGGGTTACTCCAGGGCGTTGGCAACGATTCTGGATAGGCAGAGTGCTAATGATAACAAAATTTATTGAGAGAGAGATAGATCGCGAAGGTTGGAGAACCAAGAAAGGGTTTCTAGATAAGATATTAGGAGATTTTGGATGGTGGCAACTCGAACGATGAGACCGGTGGCTCGTCTTGAGTACTAGATATGGCGGTTCTCTTGGGCCTTCGGTTAGTTCCCACCGGTCCGCTTCAGCGGCGTTTCTGCCACCAACCGATGGCGGATACTGACACGGAAGACTATCGAAGGGATAAATTTCATTCATATTAGTTGTTCAAGGTCAGAAATTCATAACAGATACTTAACAACACTCTTTTTGTTCGGCTTGTAGTGTATTGGCCTTGGGCTTTCGCCTCTATCGACGGGTATCCCGGCGAGCGTGATAACGTATTGCAGAATGAGGGTGATTTTCAAGAGCACGGCATGATCTAGGTGAGCCAGCAGATACGCCTCGGTCTATTCTTTTACTGGGCCTGCTAATGTCATCCTGCCGTTGCGATGGTGATGTCCTTTCGTACGAAATATACCCAAGTACTTGGAGAAGGAGACGAGGGATGGCGCTCCAGCGCCCAAGTCCCAGCGTGCTAGCTACCCAAGAGAAAGGTAATTAAGTTATGATACATTCACTGTACAATACACTTGTCATATTATATTTATCACCCTCTGTCAGCCACGAATGGTGACAACGATCTATGTTGCTCCCTCAGTTCCGGCGCAAACCCTATAAATCGCGACCCAGACACACCGATGCTTCTTGAAAATTATCACGACAGGATATTTTTTTGAAGGCGACTAACCGAGCTCGAGATGTATCATTTGCGGAGCCAAGTCTCATCCCAATGTTATTACCTACCGCAGTCAAGTCGGCAGATACCGCGAAATACTTCTAACCAGCAATCCAACCAACCAAACCCCCTCTAGGCACGTCTCGACACAAAATCCAGTCCTCACAAGTCTTACAGAATTCAAACTTTGTTGCACATCGCAACTTGAACGTTTCACACGTCACGAATAACTCCACGCACCCCTCCAACCCAAACCCCCCTAGGTCAAGCCTGGACTCTAGATCCGGCGAGTCTAGATCAAGGGAAAGTTTAGTTTGTTGCACGTCGGAGTGGGAATCATTCGCATTTACTATTTTTAAGAAGTGTAAGCGTATGTTTGTATAAAGAGAAAGTTTGGTTTGTTGCACGTCGGAGTGGGAATGTTCGCATTTACTATTTTTAAGAAGTGTAAGCGTGTGTTTGTTTACAGAGAAAGTTTGGTTTGTTGCACGTCGGAGTGGGAATGTTCGCATTTACTGTTTTTAGGAAGTATAAGCGTGTGTTTGTTGGTGGTAATGGATCCACTTGGGGTTGGTAGCTGGTTTATTGTTATATGGTGCTAGAACAATATGGGCTTCGCTTACCGTGAAAATATATGTCTGGTTGAGCTTGACGTCGTGCAAACTAAACGACCAAAATATAGCCCACCCTCGACTTAGAAGCTCTAGTTTGCGGACTCTCGACTTCTGGTCTATAAGATGGCAGTACTACCCAAGCACTAGCCTCGGATCACACCATAAAAGCCCCGGTGGACCTGGAATTGGTCCAGTATCCAATAACAAGAGCTACAGGAGGCTTTTGTTGCATTTCGCAGATAAGCTTATGCAGGTCCCTCTTATCGGTACCAGCTCTTGAGTTCACGGGTCATTGTTTTACAAGTCTAAACTTCTCACCTGTGTGGGTTTCTTGTTGCTTATCAGAAATACGCTAATGCAGGGTATGTCTTGTCAATACCACGGTTATGACTCTGGATAGTGTAGTAGCACGTCTGTAGTGATTGTAATGTAAGGCATTTCCAATTGCACTATACAAAGGAGAACCTGGTTCTGAAAGGAATACCGCCAGCAAGTTTTGTCTTGCTATTGAAGATCCTAGTATTCTTATCCACTTGCCTGGGAATATCCTCAATTCTTCATTAGGCAACTCAAAGGATGCGTTGAACTTGCGCTCGAAGATGTATTATTCCTTGATTTGTTTTCGTTGTCGTCATTGCTACCAAAACCCGAGTCCTCTTCTGCGGTCGTCAATGATGTACTTTGAGATGGGACACTTTCTGCTCCGACTGCCCATATCAGTCTCTCTACTTCATAGCTGCGTATCGGTCTTTCTACAACGTCTGACAACTGCCTTTCTTCCTCTCTAGTCGCGAACTTCCTTACTAAATCGGTCATCTCCACTGTTCGCCTTTCAAGTGTGTTCTTCTTGTCTTTGACCTTCTTGTATTTGACCTTTAGCTCTTCCGCCTTCTTTTCAAGAAGATTGCTTCTCTCCTCCTCTTTCAATAGCGCTCCATTTAGTTGCTCAATCGATTCGCGGAGGGCTTTGTTTTCTTTCGTGACTTTCGTCTGCAGATTCCGTCGAGTCTCCAAGACCTTTATCTACTCTAAAACCTTCGCCTTGTCGTTCAAGATTGACTCGACATTATTGCAACCTTCATCCTCGAATATTGCAAAAAGTAACCCAAGAGGTTCTCTCCTTTGACGACACAAGAACTCAATCATGGCCTTGATTATCCCACATTCATTCTTTTCCCACTCACCCAGGGCTGTGTCCGTCGTATTTGCTCTCAGAGTTTGTTCCCCGCTAAGTATTATCCGCAGCTTCTTATTCTGATCGTGTAGTGTTGCTGTGATTATCCTTAATTGCTCTGGGCGACGCGGGTAATCCCCTATTACATTCTTTATTTCTTCCATCATGATCTTATCAGATAATTCAGAGTTCTGTGCATAAGCATACATCCACTCTCACTCTGCTGTGATCTGATCAATATCGGCTTCGTTGTTGAAAGTCGCTGATACTAGCTGATCTGGCATAACAACGCAGTTGGCTGGTTGACTCGATCCTTCGCTGGTGATACTCTGGCCTTCCAGCCTCATCTTCTTCTACTAGTTCTTTCGAGGCGAGAGCATGTTCTCCTTCCTTTTTCCTCGACGACACAAGAACTTGATCATGGACTTGATTGTCTCTCTTTCAATGTCTGCTGGCGAAGAGGAAAATCTGGATTTGAAGCTCGACGGGGAGGAGGGGGAAGACGAGGAACGTCTCGTGTAAGCCTGGGGGGTAGTTCTTTTGTAGGTCTTGTTTCGTGCAGAACGCGTGTACAGAGACAGCAAGGGCAGTTTGCAGCAACGCGGAGATTGAAACTTCAGGTATACTCGTCCTAGATCAGTCAGTAAGATTATCATTCACAGATAGAGGTGGAAATACCATTCTGCATGCTCTCTGAAGTTGGTGTTGTAGACTGATAACATTTTAACGCCTCAGCCTCTGCACTACGCATGTTTGTTAGAAGGGAATATGGTGTAAAGCAGGATAGACTTACGTGATATTAAGACAGTGGTGGTCTCTGCTGGCGAGTGTAAACATCTTGACTAGAAGTTCGAGAGGGAGCAGAGGAGGTGCTATGAAGGTTCCTTAGAGGCCTTGAGGAAATTTTGGTGGAAGGTGAATGTGTCAGAAAGGGCTCTCTAGAAGTGTTGGGAACGTGATATGTTACAACATTCAAAGACACATGGATAGCATAAAAACTCAAATCCCATTCAGATTAACCTTTAACTAAAAACACAATCTCGCCTTCCCTTTCCATAACCCCACCCCCCTACGCACCTTCCTCATCCTGACTATACTCCTCCCCACCTTCCTCAGCCCACGTCTCCTCAAACTGAGCCTCCAACACACCCTCGAATTCGCCCTCGGCACGGCGCTTAGAAGCAGCAAGAGCCTCCTCGAGGAAATCAGGGTCGTTCTGTCCCGCGCGACCGATCTCGACGAATGCGGCAAGAGCGTCCTTGAATCCTGGGTTGGCGAGCAAGTCGGTGATGGCGGTGGGGTCGATGTCGGGTGCGGATGAGAGGACGGCAATGGCTTCGGGGTGTTGCAAGATTGCCTGGTGGCATGTGAGCTTATGTGGATGGTAGGATTGGATGAGAGGATTGGGTGGAGGGAACTTACGGCGATGTTTGTGCTGTAGATTGGTGACTCTCCATGAGCGACAGCTAGAGTGGTATCATCCAGCATCTTATCCTTAGCAGAACCCTTACGCTTAGCCTTTCCATTGGTGAGCTTGCCGTTCGCGAGTTTACCCTTCTGCTTCTTCTTGGGACCGCCACCACGCTGACGGGTTGGGTTGAGAGGTGTACCGAAGATGCCGGGACCGAGGCGACGGGGTGCGCGGGTTGTATCGTCTCGACCGTCGGAGGAGGTTGTAGATCGCTGTGGGGAGACTGATGGAGCGACCGGATTACTGTTTAGGGCTTGGAGACCGGCAATTGGGTTGGTGGTTTCTGGAATCGGGCTGGGAGGAGACTGACGACGAGGGTGCTCACCGTGTCTCCTTCCAGGGTACGGTGAATCGGTGTGGCCAGTGGGGGTTCGACGCGCTCCTGAAGGTGGAGGTGGAGTAACTGGATTCGCACGAGAGGCTCGACGAATAGACTCTCTTCCTGGAGTGATAGGAGAGGTGCGGGGAGTAGCAGCTGGGGTGTTGTGTGGAGTGGGGATCAACATATTGTCAGTGCAAGACGAGATTTGTAGACCTTCAAGGGTGGTAGTGATGGTGCCATTCTGTCCGGGAACCGTGAGGTATCGACTAGACTGAGCCTTGAGGGAAATTAGCATATGAAACTCGAGAAATGAATGAGATTGTCATGTGGAAAGGAGGATTTTGGACACAGTGCAAGTGACACCGCATTGCAGAGAGTGTAAGATGGAACAGAGATCATTGAAAACGAGTAGATTGAACATGTAACATAATATGAAGCCTTGGATGAAAAAGTCTTGGCTCGCGACAGGGTGGCAATGGCTCTGCCTGGGTCTTCGAAAAGGGACAGGAATTCGAAGAGGAAAAGAAGATGGAGAAAGACCAAAGAAGATTATACTCGAAGCTTCAAAGGGATTATAAGTTGTGGATACGCGCGTCGAGCTAAACAAGAAAAGTGTAGAAGGTGAAGGGACGCGACAGCGACAGACAACCGTACACAAAGAAGCGATTTGTGAAATCGAAAGCAAGAAATGAATTCGAGGGTATAAGGATGGCAGTGAGACGCGTGAAGAACAGGAGGTATGAAAGAACAAGATCGATGTCTGACTTACGAGTGGAGTGCTTGGAGCAGTACCGTTTGTAGCATGACCGTTGACGCCATTCGAGTCTCTTCCTCGGAGACTGCCGCGAGCAGGGAGGGGAGTGTGAGTATAAGCAGCGATTCCTCCGAAGAAAGGTGGCTGAGCCGTGGGAACAGAGCTCAGAAGTTCATGGCGGGAGGGAGCCTCAGCGACCATGGGACCAAGCAGAACGCGAGGGGTGGTGCCAAACTCTGGAGAGGATGGACGAGTTGGAGGGACAACGTTGTTGATACCAACGTCATTACCAACGTGGCCATTCATTGATATACCGGAGAAACCATTAGTGAGATTATTAGAGCCATTGTTGAGGCCATTGAAGCCATTTCGGAGACCCCCTTGGGGACCGCCGTTTGTTGACATTTCCATCACGAAGCGACTGACCAGATTGACGTAGAGAGTGTGGTGTAGTACAGAAGCGAGTCTGAGCCCGGTTGAGAATATATAAGAACAAGAATTGGTGATAGATTCTTGTTGTGAAAAGATCGCGTTGCGAAAAGAAAGGTTGATGAAGGAAAAAGCTGGTGAAGTTGAAGTCGAAAGGAAACAATTGTCCTCATGTTCCTGAGCAAACAGCTCTAGAGAACTTCGAGTTAGTGCCGGTCTTAGGCGACTCTCAAGCCTTGGTGTTCAGGTGTCCACTTCGAAGCGGCCGGAGCTGGCAGAATTCCACAAGCCACAGCCTTGTCTTGTCCGGGCCAGCTTATGACCACATTGAAGATTTGGACTGGACAGAACTCCCCAATATCTAGCAAGTTTTCAACCTCCACGAACAACATTGTCCAACAAACAATATTCCTTTGTGAGAAGGTTCCTTGTACAAACAATCGATATCTCGAGCCACTTTCAACCGAACCCCTTTTCACAAGACTTCAAGTTTGTGGCCAAGGATAGCTGCAGCCAGGAGGAAGCTCCCCAAAGCAGGACAACAAAGGCGAAGGAGCGAGAGAATAGCGACAACAAGATGATATACTCCACGCAGATAGCCAGGCTGGATGGTAAGTCAGGGAATATAATGTATGGAGGGTAATGACTTGCTGATTGCTTGCAGGCCTCATGCTCTGCGCCGACGAAGGAGTAAGCCAAATCGCCCCTCATCCAAGGATTCTGGCTAACGCAAAGGTTCCAGAATGACCAGTCACTCGACGAAATCAAATCTCAGATCAAGCAAGTCCTGCGAAGACTGAATCGCAATTCCGAATCTCAAGCCACCGTCGAGGCCGGACAATATACTTTCCAGTATGTTTGCGATTTCCTACAACAATAATTAGATCTGGCTTGATGTGGAGCGCATATTCTTTGGGGCAAGAATTTCCGAGGGTCATTTAATTTCTCCTCCAAAGTGTATACCAGGACAACCAAGTGGCTGGAGAGCAGAAGCTGAGGGGCTTACCTGGTCGCAGGCAATAGTCTCTCCAGGGCTTAGCGTATTTGCAAAAGCACAAGTGCTTCTGTTTCCAGCGATCCCGGAGACTTTCATGGCTAGCAGCAAGTGTTGCCAATCGGCCCCCGGGCAACTTTCGGAGAAGTCATCCCATGCAGACCCTCGAGAGAATCTTCCATACTTGAAATAGAGGGAGTACATTCCCTTCAACACTGCCTAGCTAGGTCAGTGAAGACGGTGACTTAGTAGAGGAGGGAATGCCTCACGCTTAGTGTCTGTGTCGTCCTACTTTCAGCAGCCTCAAGTATTACTTCAACAATTCTCATCAGTATTTATTCTATGAAACGCGCGGGGTGAATCCTATGCCCATCTCTCCGTTAGTACTAGTAACTTTCCAAACCAGCCAACTGTATCTGCATCATGATAGATCAGCAAGTGTTGAAAACGGAAAGTGTATAAGAGGGTGTTATTGGGGAGGAGTATAGAGACCCAGACAAACTTTTATACCCTTAGACCCCTCTCAAACACCCAGCTTCTTCCTTCCATCTAACTTATTCCGTACTCTTTCTTTCCTCAAGCGCTGCAACACCTGCTTTTGCAAGTCCGAGCACAACCATAACCACAGCCGAAAGCAAAATAAAACACTAACACTGCACCAGCTACCTCATCCACCAAGAAATCATCTACCTCTGCATAACCGCACACTCCTACCCCCGAAAACTAGCATTCACCTACCTCTCCGACCTCTCCACCGAATTCAGCACCACCTACCCCTCGCACACCCTCCTCTCACCCACACTCCGTCCCTACGCCTTCATGGAATTCGACACCTTCATCAACCGCACCAAAGGCACGTATTCCGACACCCGCGCTACTCAGAACCTCGATAAGCTGAACGACGAGCTCCGAGACGTCACGAAGGTCATGACTAAGAATATCGAGGATTTGCTGTATCGTGGTGATAGTCTGGAGCGGATGGGAGAGGTTAGTTCGAGGCTGAGAGAAGATAGTAAGAAGTATCGGAAGGCGGCGGTTAGGATTAATTGGGAGTTGCTGCTTAAGCAGTATGGACCGATTGGGGGGTTGGGATTGTTTGTTGTGATCTTTATGTGGTGGAGATTCTTCTCATGAGTAGGATAAGAGATGTGCTGTTTTCTTCATCTGACCTCTCAGGGAATCCGGCCTGTGGGGACGAAGAAAAGAACCTTGTTACTCCGGGTTGGGAATGGGGGAACTGTAAAAATATCGAATGCTGTACAGGAAACGAACGGGAAGAACAGTTGACGGAAGCGTGGGTGTATCGCCTGACTTTCAGCTTGTCAGCCATAAGCAGTGTGTTCGGTGCATAGAGTTACTTGCTCTGGTATCAAAGGGATATTTGGGTCGGCAATCAGAGGGAGAGATGATCCAGGTATCTGAACTTGCAAAACACACCCAATCTTCTTCTAGCCCCCTTTCGAGGGTTGTTGTCTTTTCTCGGCACCTGACTCCATGTCTTGATACTTCCATGCTAAGCAGATTGTGTGAGTGCGCTGCGGGTACTTTCCCGCGGATCTTACTTCTTTGTTTTCTCTGCTCTGAAGAGCAGTATCTCAGATTCCTTTCTCAGTTCAAAGTGCTCAGTTCAAGTTGCCTATCATCTCTCATCCATCTCATCTCTCTCAGCTGTCTCTCCAAGGGTTGCCCATCTCGCGGCCATCGTTCGCTCAGTCAATGTTCGCTTGTCAGTACCAGTTGATATATAAACAAGTTCTCTTTTCTTCTTCTGTTTCATATCAAGTTCAAGAGTAGTCCGGCAATCCTTCTTTCAAATCACTCGATCCTGGGCAGGCCAGGACAGAGAGACCAGTCTTCACATACAATCAACCACATTCTGAGTTCAAGTCTGACTAGATCCGGCACTCGATACATCAAGCAACTGCACCATTTTCCTCTAGTTCAATTTAGCTAAGGGAAAAAAGACTCAGTACATCATTTGGAACGTACCATCTCCAACTTGGTACCACAGCACAACTAGCTCTACGAGAGCGAGCTGGATATGGAACTGGAACTGGAAATCAGAACTGACACTGGAACTGGTCGTGGAACCAGAGGAGCACTAGCTCAGGATGATTCAACTGCGGCTTGAGCTTGCATGTCGCAAGTCACTCACGCACTTACCTCGCAGGCCTCACTGCCCGGCTCAAAGCTTACCTGATCAAGAAGCAAAGGAACGGGACTATCTCGCAAGCTTCAACTTGGACACAAAATCTCGTACATACATCACCAAACATACACACCACAAAACAACCTATCAATCGCACCACCATCGACGATAGTCCTGCAGACTCGGAGAGTTGTCTTCCGAGATTTGCCTCCGACACCTTCCTTCCCAAACGACGACTCGTCCATCAATAGTCGCCACGACCATATCCTTCTTAGCGACGTCCTTGTGGTTGAATTGTACGCGACACTCCCCATCACCATCACCACAAGACCATGAATTCTCGTTACATACTCCGAGTCATCAAACTCTGGGGAAGATGGGCGAGTAGATGGGACGACGTGGTTGATACCATTGTTATCGCCAACGCTGCCATCCATTGACAAGCCAAACCGTTCGTTAGTGCAGGGAAAGCATTGGGGAGACCGCCGCTCTGCAACAACGTTGGCAATTCGTGTATGCTTGGACACGACACTGCACATCAGTCAAAAGTCAGAAGCTGCAACACCTGCTCCATCTTTTTGATCACCAGTTTAACCTTGGGAGGCCATCGCGCCGCCAGTGATCTGACAGTTGTAGGTACGGGGAGCAGGAGCAGGTGCTGAAGGTCGGGGTTATCTGTTAAGTTTCCGTCTGGCATCCCACTCAGTGGAATGCCCTCTATACCTGCTGGACCATCCAGCACTCGTACAGCCTGCCATTCCACCGAGTACGATGCCAGACAGAAAGTCAAACAGATACCCCCAACCACCAGCACGTACTTCCCGTACCTCTTCAATCTGTACTTTCCCAATCTTGGGTGTCTTTCAAGATTCCATTCAGTGAAAGACACCTCGACTTTTTCTCGGCGGCTCCTATCCTCACCAGCTCCGCCTTCCTCGCCCTCCTTCACCGCCACCACCGCTTCGATCTTTAAACTCAAATAGCAGTTGTCGTTCTGCCCTTTGGGAGCTCGGGATCATATCAACGCTTCGTGGACCGTCTAATCTTTCTCGTCGTTTTCGTTATCAGTTGTCAGACTCGAGGACATCCGCCATGCTAGTTGTGAGTGTCGTAGGATCGGCTTTCGACATTGGCAGGATTTAAAGGGGGAGAATACCCCGGAACCGTACGAAAGGTATAGAAAGTGCCACGTGACTCGTGGATTGGGCCTTCAATGTCATCAGAACTTTTCAGCGACCTTTGGGCTCGTCCCCCCTTACCGAGGAACAAATGGAATGTTGCTTTGCACATTGCCCGAAAGTTCTGAAGTGGTAATATGGTGGTAGGATCCCAGACAAGGGGGTAAGTTGTCAGTACGACGGTACCAGCTGGGGATTCCGTGATCAAGACGTAGAGCCAACTGTGTTGGATCGAAGTTGCTTTCGATCCTTCTTCTTTCTGTCAAGAATACTCACTAGTCATTATCAATCAAGAATTCGAAACACTTATCTGTTGATCGCTATCGAACTCCCTGTTGAGCAACTACTCGATTCATAACTTTTACTCGTCGTCCATGTTCAAGACTGTTCGTTACTTGCGCAATGCACAAGGGAAAAAATAATCTTGAATATGGACGATAACTAAACCTATTAATCGAGTGATTGCTTAACAGAGTGCTCAGTAACGAACAAGAGATGAGCGTAAATGCCAATGGTAGCCATGAAAACTCTCTCTAGACGGGCGGCAGTGGTACCGACATTGCGTCTCGGGAGATGAGAGTGCATTTCAGTTTTGAAAAGATTGCCGAGACGAATCACCTCCTCAACCTCAGCCACAGATTCAAAGCCAGACCGAGGACCTAGCGAACTGGGTGTCTGCATCATAAAGGACGGCACATTCACAAAACCAGTCCGAGCCGGCGATGGGGAGTATGTCTGAATGTCTGAACCCTTCCTCATCTCATGGCAGGTAGTCCTTGTAGGCGAAGAAGTCACCCAGAGCGGAAAGAGAGCAAGTCGGCTGATCGACTCGTAGACTGCCTTGCAAAAGGATCTACATCAGCACTATTCCATTCAATAGCTGAGCAGATTCACTTACCCTTCTTTGCCTTTGCCGCAGCGAGTTCTCAAATTCTTCCCCGTCTGCAGCATCGAAGATGAGGGCTTCTTGGCCACAGCTCCCATGCGAATGAGATTTTTCTTCATTCCGCTCTACATTATCTTCGTGAACTTGGGCGGAGTCGCTGTTGGTTGCTTCAATCAATTCTGTTGTTTGGAGACTGCCACTTGCAGAAAGTCGTCGGACGAGAAGCATTAGTATGTGCTGGACATCCTCCAAAGAATGGTGGGCTGAGCAGTGGGAACAGTGATTTGCCCCATAGGGTAGATTCTTTCTTCATTCATTCCTACATCTCTTCTCCGAAGACCAAAGAGCAGCTCGGATCAGCTTGATACCAAGGCAAGAAGACGTGATCTCGTGGGGGCAATTGGAGTCCACTACTATATCAGTTCCTGCTGGGGGGTGGGAAGGACCAAGAGTCAACTGTGATGGACTTCGTCACTGGCGGAGCGGACCACACAGCTCATGGGCAGTGTGTAGATACTTCAAGTCCGATTGAATACTCTGGGGAGCTGTGTCTACACTTTGAGTATCCGAATGTCTTGGGAGTTTGTTGTGTTGTCGCTGGCAATGCCCAAGGGTACTTCATGGTCGATGTGACGATGAATAGCTCAGTGATCGTGTCTGAATTCACGCAGCGGATCACAGATTGTGAATGTGTTATCTGGCTCAGAAAAGATAAGCTTGGTGTGCAAGTAGAGAGACGGAGAAGGTATATTACCTTGAGATTAGGATGGAAGGATGGCTGCTGGAGCATCACTGCAGAGATGCGCCAGTGAACTTCGTTATTTGACGGCTTGGCTTGGTAAGGGTCAGTCCCTGCTTGTTAAAGATTAGTTGCCAAGATCAATTCCACCTTGGACCAAGTTACTTACAGCTATAAATCGTCGGTATCAGAGGTTGCTGGAGAACGACAAGTCGGCTGCGAGCTATTACTTATTGAAACAGTATGTCCACTTGTCTTCAACTGCCAGCCTTGACAATTGGCGTTCACAAATAGCAGCATTGGTGAAAAATAAACTCACTATCTAGAGTGAAGTAGCCTTTGGGAGCGTGATTATTGCAGATCGCTCGATCAAGAAGGCTTGGAGCTGTTTCTGCAGCATGTTTCCCAAAGGCGAACCTCGACTTGGAAGGCCAAAACGACGACCTAGACTGCGAAAAGCGGTCAGCAGATCCATCATTGCGCTTTTATGGCACGGATATGATGCAGAAGAGGGGCGATTCACTTACTGAAGTGATTGGCAGGGTGTTGTCCGGTTCGAGGTAGGTTACCAAGGTTGCCGACCGGGGGGCCGTCGTCGATCAGAGCAACGACGAGTCCAAGAACGGATTCAAATTCTGCTAATTGCTTCCATACAATTTTACAGCTATGTATCACCATTAGCAAGCTCTCGAGATAGCTCTCGATGGATTGGACCCAAATGGTTGATGTTTGGGAAGCTTGAAAGCTACCTCGCGATGACCTCTCAACACCCCCGCCAAGTGGCGGAAGCTTTCAGGGTCAGAAAACACGAAGAGAAAGAAGGAGAGACTTAATCTACTCTCTGAATTAGCTTTGTAGCTGTGCAGAGCATTGTGTTGTGATCTAAATGATGTTGGCGATCTGATGATGAGGTGTTGAAGTGGAAAAGTTGGAGGGAAATGCGGATGAGAATTTGTTCTGACTGGGAGGAAAGGCAGAGAAGCCTCAAGTGAGTGGGCTCTAACCGCAAGTGGCTCTATGGAGGAGGCTGTCCTATGTCGGGACTGGTGTGCTCCTACCCCCGAGCGTATGGGGTGGTATCTTGGTCAGTGGCGGGGAGTCTTCGAAGAGAATGGAGATGCTGGAAGTAAAGTTGGTAAGTTCTTGTGCCTTGGAAGACTTAAAAACAGTTCGTTGGTGAAGGTCTATATTAAAGTGTGTTTCAAAGTCGTTGTGATCTTTGTTTACCGATGAAGAGTGACTCTCTTCCTTTGGCAGTATACAGTTCTGCACTTCACCGTGTTCCTCTAGACTTGCTCCAGCTCCCGTCTTCAGGCAATGATATCTGAGACATAAAAGATAGGTCAGGTTGGTCTTGAGCCGTTAAAACCCCCCCTGGCGTGCATCTGATCGACTTCACCACGATGACAGCGTTGTCCTGGAGCATGAGGATTCACTTCGAAGAAGTCCCCACACTAAGCTGCCTTTGTTGTACTTGATATCTCAGTGCATCTATGAAATGTTTCATCGTCGGTTTTTGTTTTCACTTAAATACGTGGAGGGTCATCTCCTGATAGCCCAGATCTTGCTTGTCATTCATATTGTTCAACAGCGAGTCTTAGTCACATAAAGATGGTAGAGCCAGGAGTCCTGAAAACAACAATGTTTGACAGAAGAAGGACTGGTTGGTCTGGCCTTTGGTATAATTTATTCATTCTGGGAGAAAATGATATCAGTGGTATTAAAGATACTCGGCACCCCAAATCCTTTGGCTAACATTCAGATGTAAGACGGAATGTGGGTGAGAACATCATCCATCCCGTCTAGGCAGCGGAAAAAGTGCTTCTCTCTCAAATTCACATTGAAACACCGGCATGCACATTGGCAGATGAGTGCCTGAGTTCACGAACCTTCAATACTACACAAAGCTAGATTGTCTATGGGTGGAAGTCCGACGGACACGTCTGGGCCGCGAAGCAAGCCTCAATGCGATTCCAAGAACAACTATAACCGTGTTTCCAAAGTGATCTTGGTGTGCCTAATAGCACTATGTTCTGTTCGCACAACACTACTTTTTTCTTTTGCAACCAACTTATCTAGAAATCGACTTGAGAATAGATCCGAAGCAAGGAAAACAACCGAAAGGGCGAATTGGAGTCTTCTTGAATCAGCCGAGACCAGCAAAACAAGGCACCAAATCATCCAAAGGCATCAAAATCACCGGCGGCTGAAATTTAAGAATTAAGAGTTGCGGCTACAGTCCAGTACTTGGTTCAGTAATCAAGAGCGAGGACGATTTGGCTGTTCAAAGTATTCTCCGGTGGGTTTGCCGTTGGTTTCCCGCTGGTTTTCCGGGTAGCTTCAAGCCACACAGAGTACCAAACCTCTTAGGCTGTGTCTTGGTTTCCCGCACAGTCTAGTACTTCACATATTCTTGGCTCTCCAGACTGTATACTCCGCATTCTATACTCCACGTTCTCCAGGTTTTCATTTCATTAGACTGATCAGGTCAGGTCTCGCCAACGCCCGCAGAACCTCATGGGATGAACAGAATGTCTCAAAACAGCATATAAGGACTTGCAAATGCCACTTTCCAAAAAGCTCATCACTTCAATATTCGAATTTGATTTCTTCAGTACTCAGGAGCTTCCCTACTCAGACATACAACTCCACCAAGATGTCTTTCAAAGATCCCGAAAATCCACAACATGTAGAGACTCAAATCCACAGCATCATCACAGAGAAAGGCCAACCCGCGGCCAAAGCCAATGCCGCAGCCCGCGAACTCGCCACTGATGAGAAGTCCATGACAACCATGCAAGCTGTTCGCGCAAACCCAGCAGCTATCTGTTGGTCCCTCGTCATCTCCACCTGTGTGATCATGGAGGGCTTCGACACCGCTCTTCTCGGCAACTTCTGGGCCTATCCCTCCTTCCAACGCAAGTTTGGGAACTTCGTTGGAGTCACAGCTACAACGAAAAGTGGATACCAGGTTCCAGCCTCCTGGCAGACTGGTCTCGGTCAGGCATCTGGAGTCGGAGCTTTCTTTGGTGCCATCTTCAACGGCTGGCTTGTCAACAGATTTGGACCTCGAATGGTCTTGATCGGCTCACTCTTCTCCCTATATGCATTCCTATTCATCACTTTCTTTGCACCAGATAGCCCGACTCTCTTGGTTGGACAACTTCTCTGCGGTCTACCTTGGGGCGTCTTTGCAACCACGGCTCCAGCTTATGCTTCTGAGGTCTTGCCACTGCATCTCAGAGTCTATATGACTTCCTACACAAATATGTGCTGGATTATTGGGCAGCTCATTGCTGGAGGCGTCCTTCGTGGGCTTGTATCTCGTGAGGACAGCTGGGGCTACCGCATTCCATTCGCTCTCCAATGGCTCTGGCCCATTTTTCTTATTCCTGCTATTTACATTGCCCCGGAATCACCATGGTTTCTCGTCCGTCAAGATCGCCTTGATGAGGCAGAGAAATCCATTAGACGGCTCCAGAGCTCCTCCTCTCGACAAGATCCCCAAAACACGCTTGCTGCCATTATTTACACCAACAACCTTGAGCAACAGCTTTCAGTCGGTACAACATATTGGGATTGCTTCAAGGGGTTCGAACTTCGAAGAACAGAGATCGCCTGTATGGTGTTTGCTGGACAGCTCGTCTGTGGATCTGTATTTGCATATGCGTCGACGTACTTCTTCGAACAAGTCGGCCTCACTTCGAAGCAGGCGTACTCCCTTGGAGTCAGCGCAAACGGACTTGCACTATTCGCTTGCTTGTGCAACTGGTTCCTCCTCATGCCATACGTTGGCCGCCGAACCATCTACGTTTGGGGGATGGGAGCGATGACTATTGAACTTTTCCCCATTGGCATTCTGAATGTCTGGACGCACAAACCATCGGTCGCTTGGGCTCAAGCAATCTTGACAATGGTGTGGACCGTCACTTTTCAGCTGTCTGCGGGTCAGCTTGGCTGGGCACTTCCTGCAGAGATCGGATCCTCTCGCCTTCGGACAAAGACTATCGTTCTTGGGAGAAACTCTTACTACATCTGCGCTGTTATCGGTGGTACTCTGCAGAACTACATGATGAATCCGACAGCTTGGAACATAAAGGGCTACACGGGATTCTTCTGGGGCAGTTTTGCGTTGATGACATTCATCTGAGCATATTTCAGGCTACCTGAGACCAAGGACCGAACTTTCCACGAGGTAAGTATATGGAATCCGAAATTTTCATTACCGTCAGCATTCTCCGTTCCAGAGCGAAAGCTAACTTGTTCTCCTATTACAGCTTGATCTCCTCTTCGCCAAGAAAGTGCCGGCAAGGCAGTTCGCATCAACCAACCTCGAGACCGTCAGCGACACCGAGGTTGAGGATCTTACTGAGAAATACGCAGATACTGGGAGCCGTCGGGTGTCTGTTTTTGGCTCCAGCCGCCCCTAAGGCTGCCTACAGACTGCAGCATTGATCTTGATTTGTTAGAAGAAGCTTTTCAGGTACTCACGTATGTTCTATCTGCTGGGTTTCTAGGTCTTCCGCTTGTTACGTACAGTTGACCTTGTTTCCTGGCTGTGATGATTGCCTGTTGAAATCACTCGCTTATTTTCAAATTTTCGGCTGGAAAGCAAACAGTGAGCAACGATATTTTGTACTTATCGCTGAGATTCAATGCAAAGATATCATATCAAATTCCAAGCATATTTTGTCGCACAGATGGGAGGGCAGCTTTGTGACAAGTTGTCCCAATGTATATCCAGCATAATAACACGCATCATAAAGGTGAAGAAGTCCAATCCAACGCCCATTTTGAGAAATCTTGAAGATGAATGTCCAAAATTGTAGATGGTATTTGTTGAACTCTGGAAGATCAAAATTCCTTGCTTAGTCGCTGGGAATGTCAACATCTAAAATGTATTTATGGCTACTAGCCGAATCCGACGAAGCACTTAGCTCAAATTTGTGCGGGGAACTTCCTCATCAACTTCAACCTGAACATACCTCTGATCGTTATCTTGCCCAACACCAAATACTACCCACCGACAATATTCATCTCCATATGGACCCAGATGTGGTGTAGGACGTCGCATGATCACAGACTTTCCACAGTCCAATGCGGCCTCGGACAGCGTGCTCAACATGCCGGTAAGCTCCTTTGGACCTCCCGCCACATCGTCAATACTAGAGTTCCGATCATTGATACCTCATAAGACAGCGCCAGCGGCGCTGTGTCGTACCAGGTAATGCTCATAACACAGCCTGCGGATTCTGCACCCGCAATAAACATGAATGTTCTCTGGCAACAAGTGCATCTTCACAGACCTCACCATCTGTCGCGCGCACAAGCGAGCAGCAGCACGAGACCAATACAAGTATCGCATCCTTGCCATCGTCCAGTCAATTATCAAGCCCAGACCACCATCCATCAGTCTCCGCTCAAGAACAGATACTTGCCCTACCCAGATCTTCCGGTTTGAGAATGCCACCAAAAGAAGCGTATCCGGAAATCGCTTCAAATTATTTCACTTACATTCATGATCCCTCGCATAATATCTTTCATCGGCCGAGCTTCATGGCCGATTTATCTGATGAGACTATTCCGCGACCTATCCTTCTTTGCGTTATAGCTTTGGCAGCAAGGTAAACCATCACTTTATATCATATCAGTATGATTCAAAACCAGCACTGAACGTGGAATAGGTTTTCCAACCATTCATTCTTCAGTCACAGCTCTCCACGGTCTCGAGGTAGAGTTTATGCTAGAGAAGCAGAGAGGCAATTAGAGCTGCATAATTTCTCCCTCGTGACGCTCCAGATAACATTACTACTTGGCGCATTTTACGGCACTGAGGGTGATTCCAAGCACGAGAGTCTTTACTACTCTATAGCCTGTCGGATAGGTAGTCTGTTGAATCTACCCAACTCCGCCTTTGACTCTCCACTATCTCGAGAGCTTGGGATTCGCAGTGAGTTAAAAACACCTCTGAGTTCAAAGTATGAAGAGTTGACAATATAACAGTCTGGTGGACCCTTGACATCGTCGATGTCTGGTCATCCAACAGTCTCCAACTGCCTCGCCTTCTCAGCCCCAGAACAGATATTCCCTATCCAACCAGCGAGCGAGCCTTCTTCCAAATGCGTCGCTCCCACACCTACCTCCAATACTCGCATCCCGAGTCGCCAGACGAAAGCTCAACCTCGGTCCTCGTTCAGAAAATCAGACTCAATCCAATCCTCTCTCAAATCGCACAGCTGAACAGACATCTAGCCGAGAACACATTATCCCTCCACGAAACTCACGCTGCTACCGAAGCTCTTGCTTTGAGACTGGAAGAGTGGCGTCAACAACTTCCGGAATCATTGACTAACACGCTGGAGAATCTGTTTGCTCAAAGTGCGTCTGGTTCTGGAGGAGTTTTTGTAGCGCTTCATATAGGCTACTACCACTTCTCACAGCTGTTGTATTTTTACTATCTCCATCAATCTGTGTCCAGCTATCCGGTTACCGAGTCAAATGAATTTGCTGGGCGGTGTCGTGAGAGCTCGACGGCCTTTTGTGAGCTACTTTTTGCGGCTCAAGCCCTTCCAGGTGCGGAAGTATACGTACGTGGGTTGTGTTTCAATCCTTTTCGATCTGCGCCTGGAAAAAATCTTCTCGTCAGTCAGTTTCATCTCTAACAAGTCAATTATACAGTACTCAATGGTCGGTCACGCCCTCGTAATATCCTCCACCGTCCAACTCCACATCCTACTCTTCACCGACGACCCCTCAGAATCCTACTCCGCGCGTCAACGCCTCGAAAAGAACTTCGTCATCCTCAGCAAACTCCAAAGACTCTGGCGCACCATCGATCACTCTTTCGCGCGTCTGCGCGAGTTCCATGACGCATGCATGCGGACTAAAGCCGACTCTGAGGATCCAAGTACCACGTTTCGCATGGATAAGTGGATGATTCAGTTCTTGATGGAGTATTCGAAACCGTTGGAGCAGAGGGCAGACCTGGAGTATCGATCGCCAGATAGTTCGGGGAGTCAGTTTTATGAGTCGGATACGGTGGTGAGGGGGTATGAGTCTGAATTTAGGCAGTGGACGTCGACGGAGCTGGGGATTGATTTTGATGGCGCTTGGGATTAATGTGGTGACTTAGGGGAGGTATTTTACGGTAACGATTGGGTATCAGTCTCTGGTTCTGTGGCAAACCCGCACAAAGAGCTGGATAACTTGAGAAAAGTGTGGAGGAGAATATTCCCCAGGATAGGTTTTAGTCTCGTAGTAATGTACTCGAGCAGAGTCTACAAAGAAAACATAAACAATCAAGGTCCAGATGTAATATTCTCACTATAATTCTGGGCCTGAGCTTTCAATGACAAGCACAATTCCCCACGACAGCCATATTACCAGATACTGCATAATATTACACTGTTGAGTTTCCCTGCCCGCATGCTTTCATTTTCCGCTGCTATCACATAGTCAAATCCAGCCTGACGGAACCCGCACCGCCACCAATGCGGGGTGTGACAGGAGGATATCCGTCAGTGAGAGCACCACTTCAGGTCAACTAATCCACTAACGATGCATTCCCCTCTCAGCCCCAATCCCCTGAGCCTAATTCACAACCGCCAAGTTCCTAAACCGAAGCCACATCCGTTAAAGCGGGGTATTGTAAGTAGAGACACCCGGGAAACTAAAAGCTGTTTTCCTGCCTGTTTTCCGCTTCTAAACGATTAGTGATCAACAGAAGTGTTCTTCCCACCAACGAAATCTTGAGGGGAGGAGTCTAACGATCTCAATGAAGAAAATCTCGCCGTATGAGGTTGAGGTAAGGTTCTTACACCCGCGAAACTAAATAGCCAGTTTCTTCCTTTTCCCGTCTTCTCTACTTCCCTAAGCACTAGCTTCCCCTCTCATATTCGCAGGGCACTTTATCTTCCTTTCATTTCCGTTATTTCATCTACTGCTCCTGTTCTCAAAAATCCTACATTTCTTTCTTACAAGATACTTAGAGTCAACATGTGGAAATTCATTCGAGACTCGTTTCTGCTATTTGCTTTCACAGCTGGCACGTCAAGAGCAGTCAATAATGGACTGGCGAGAACACCACCACTTGGTTGGAATAACTGGAACAGTCTAGGCTGTGATGTTTCTGAGGATCTATTACTCGAAACAGCGTCTCAGCTGGTCAGTCTGGGACTCATGGTAAGTGAAAAGACTTTTCCTATCTCTTCTTCGCTGTACATCTTAAGATATTCTCAAAACGCTTCTCAATTCTCCCAAAACATTCTTACAGGAAGCAACTACTAACTCTCCTATCCCACCCAGGACGTCGGCTACAAATACACCGTCCTCGACGACTGCTGGTCCGACGGGCGCGACTCCAACGGCCGGCTCAAAGTCGACCTCTCCCGCTTCCCCAACGGCATGTCCTCCGTCTCATCAAGAATCCACTCCCACGGCCTCCTCTTCGGTATGTACTCCAGCGCCGGACACATGACCTGCGCGCGAGGCGAAGGCTCCCTTGACCACGAAACCGAAGACGCCCAATCCTTCGCCGACTTTTCAATAGACTACCTGAAAAACGACAACTGCTACTCCCAAGGCCGAGCCGGCTCTGCGCAGGCCTCGTTCACGAGGTACGACGCTATGGCGAAGGCGCTAAATAGGACTGGTAGACCCATTGTGTATAGTCTTTGTAATTGGGGAGAGGATTTCGTTATGAGTTGGGGTGTGTCGATTGCCAACTCGTGGCGGATTAGTGGTGATATTTATGACTCCTTTTCTCGGCCCGACGATCGCTGTTCTTGTACTGAGAACGACCCTTCCAGTCCATGGTGTGTCTCGCCTGGTGCGCACTGCTCCGTCTTAACCATCCTGAAAAAAATTGCACCGTACGCAGACCGTGGTCAGCCTGGAGGCTGGCAGGATTTGGATGCGCTGGAGGTTGGACTGGGAGGTATGACTGATGAGGAGTATAAAGCGCACTTCTCGTTGTGGGCAGCTCTCAAATCGCCATTGCTCATTGGTGCTGATCTACGGATCTTATCTCCTGAAGCGCTGACGATCCTCAATAATCCCGCGATTCTGGCGATCAGTCAGGATCCCCTTGGTGTACCAGCTACTCGAGTTGAGCGCAACGTCAATGTACCGAAAGACCGTTATGGGATCGGAGAGACGCATGTTTGGTCCGGGCCACTGGCGGGTGGTGACCAAGTTCTCATCTTTCTCAATGCAGCGGATGAAGACCTGGAAATGGTCGCTTACCTCGAAGACGTCTTTGTAGGTCAAGGACCTTCATGCTCAGCGCCGCAATGTAACCAGGACTGGGTCGTTCATGACTTGTGGGGGTCGCGGATGGACAATAGTGTGGCGAGTGAGTTGCTGGAGAAATCTAAGTCTGGTGAAGACGCTGCTCGGATTCTTCAGAATGCAGATCACTATAATGCTAGCTCACTGTCATACAAGGAGGGCTTAGAGCAGCAAGATAAACGCTTATTGGGAACCAAAGTCGATGAGATTCCTGCACGGGGTTCTCTGAAGGTCAAGGTAAAGCGGCATTCTGCGAAGGTTTACCGCTTGAGACCAAAATCAGGTATATCTGGGAAGCGATACAGTCACTTTAAGGACGAACTGTAAATAATGAGATCGAGTCTGTACGAACCGGAAAGTGTACAGTCTTTGAGCTTGAAACATAGAGCTGATTATTCGGAAACTTGGGTCAGGATCTCCAGGTCAACATTCATGAGTCGATAGAAATGAAAAACATGTATACGAAGAATTAACTACATGGACCAGAAGCGCAACAGTGAACTAACCGACTTCTTCCTATGTCTTTTTGACCCCGGGAAAAAGTCCAGCTAAGCGAGCTCTCTCATACTTGTAAAACCCCCACAAAACCACCCGTATCATCTTCCCACCCTTCTAGATCAACACAAATCCAGCAAAACCACCAAAACCTTAAGAAAGCTCCACAAACAGGCTTATATCCCCACAAGACATCAGCCGGAGAAAGGAGTCACCTCTCCCAAAGTCCGAGCGTAGAGACATCACGTGCGACAGTAAACAAAGCCCGTCCTTCTCCTCGTCATCCTCAAGCGAAGTCTCGAAGATCAGAAAGAGCACCATTTGCTTTTACCCCTACCATTTCAGACTACACTTACGCTAAGGCAAGGCTCACATGTCAAAAGTTGAAAGTTGAAATGTAAAAGGATGCGCTGAGTTTTATAGATCTCATGTGTGGATTTGGAGTAAGTAATCAGTTTGTTTAGAATAGCCAGATGCCTTTTTAGAGGTCTTGAGGTGATTCTAAGGAGACTTTAACGCGATTGCGGCGAGTATTCAGGTTTATATATGTATAGGAAAAACTCCAGGTTCGTTTCAATTTCCCCTTATATATCATATCCTATCCTATCATACAAATCCCCTATCTCAGCCTCACTTCCCTATTCTTCCCTCACTTCCTCTTACTCGCCTTTCCCCCCTTCGCACTACTCCCCGAAACCTTCGCCGCAACCTCACTAACAGCCTCATCCGCCTTCCTCGCCCCCTCCTTACCAACATCGACACTAGCATCCGCCCCAGCAGGCGCACTCAACGGCTTAGCCGCCATCTTAGCCGCCATCTTAGCCTCCAACTCCTCCTCATCACCACCCTGCCCAAACTCATTGACACGCGTATAATCAACCTTATACTTATAACTCTGATAAAGATAAACAAAGAAAATGACGTCGTCTCTAAGGGTGGCGAGTCGATGCAGGGTTGGCATCTTGATGGTAAATGCGAAAAGATCGTCGATGAATGTGTTGAGGAATTTATACGTCATTGCCTTGGCGGGCATGTGCGCGACGGATTTGAGGCGGTAGTTGATGTACAGGGATGGGACCATCATGAGGAATCCGTAGGCGTAGACGGACCCGACGAGGGTGGTGATGACAAATGAGTACCAGGATTTGTGGCTGTCGTATTTGAGCGAGTAGGCAGCGTAAGCGAGGAGCAAGGGGACGGCGATCATGTAGAGGTATTTGAAGGCAACTGCGTCATATTCTTTAGTTTTCTCTTCGGTCTCGGAGAGCTCGTGTTTATCTTCGAAGGCGATGCGGTAGGGGATGATGGAGTCTGGAGCGGGGCGGACGCGGACATTGACGACGGTGGTGATTTTCCAGAATTCGAGGACGATGCCCATTCCTTGGGAGAAGAGAATCATCCAGCCTAGAGATATTAGTGGAGGTTTTCAAGAAGGGGTAGGAAGAGCTTACTGGTATTGTCGTTGTTGTCTAATAAGTAGAGGAAGATGACGGCTTGCATGAAGACATTTCCGAGAATCGATCGGACAGAAATACCGACATTGTTTTTCTTGTTTCGGTAATGAGAGATATCGGATTTGAAAGCCAACATTTCGAAGATCATGTGGAAGACACTGACAATGACGGTTGTAGCAAGCAGATAGATGTTGGTATCCAGGAGGACTTCTTTGATCATCTCAAACTCACTTCCGTCACCGCCCATGGTTTGGCCTGGTATGGTTAGCGAGAAACATGTCTAAGACTGAATGAACATACCGGCTGCAGCATTTCTAGCAGTCTGCTTGACACCTTCATCAACACCAGCAATAAGACTGAACTTCCAATTGGATTGATGGTTGAGATCTATATGGATTGGAAGTCTCTTGACGGTCGAGTTGACTGGCATCATGTGTGTTCTGAGCTGCCAGAATGTATTGACAAAGAGTACAGGGTAGTACCAGCCATTTTGTCCAGACCCATCTCTAGCCCCGGAAGCTTCAAGTTGAACGTATTGGCGGACAGCTGGGTTCATAGTAGGGTAATGCATGACTCCGGAATCTGGAATGAAGGAGAGTGTGAAGTTGGGGTGGTAATGCGAGTTGATGATTGGACCAGTTGGAAGCTCTTCCTCCTCCTAGTCCTGTCAGCAATCGTCCTCCTAAAGTAACATATGAAACATACCTCTTCTGTCTCCTCAGCAGCCAAAAGATTCTTGACCTTCTTCACCTTCTTCTGTGGAATATACTGGGTCAAAGGTCGAGTGAAATGGTACGCCTTAGTGGGGTCATATCCTTGAACAACAGGGTCCAGATTTGCTCCCTCCAATGCAACATAGAAGTGTGCCCACAGAGTCCCATTATTCTGCACCTCATGCGGTACCGCAAAGCTCGTATCGATAACGCGATTCTCCTCAAAGCTTCCCAGCACAAATCCCTTCTCGTTAACCACGATCCGTTCCAGCGGAGCTTTCGAAATTGGCTCTGCGACAAATGTTGGAGAGATGACAACGGTAATATCGAGAGGGCTGTTGAGAGGCCACATGGGAGCTATACGCTGCGCAATAGGATTGTAGATGGCACCTTCATCGAGAGTATTGGGACGGTCGTTGAAGGGTGGGATTGCAGCCGTGTTGGCTGGAACAGTGATGGTTGCGCCGGAGGCATCGGTTGTTGTTACTGCTGCTGGAGCCTTTGGTCCCATTACTTTGCCCATCACGAATTGCATGCCGAAGAAGATGGCGAGCCCTTGCACGGCGGATTTGACCATGGGCTGGGATTGTCAGCCTTCATTCTTGTATCTGGATATTCTGACTTGGGGATTCGACGGCAAAGGACAACTAGAATTAAAACTTACACCCATTCCACCTTCTTGTGCTTGCGCACGCGCAGCTGGAGGAGCTGCTCCTGACATGGTGAGGTTGTCCGGAAGTATATCCTCGTAAAGTGTTTGTGGAGTAATGGTCGGAAGGCCAGGCTTTAAGTCCCTCCACGAAGTCGCAATATTTCGAGAACGGCGCTAGAATGGCGTGGACTGGACCCTCCATGTCTTGCACCAGCCAATCATTGGACACGTGTCGGCACGGCTGCGCGCGGCTGAGGGAAGCGAGAACTGGAGCAAGTGGAGGGCAAGGCGGATATCCCTTGTCAGCCAACAATACAACGCCTTCATCTTTCACTTACGTCTTATTTGATAGTGAAAATTGGATAGTCGAGAGCCTATCGTACAAGCTATCTTGAAATCCACAATTGAAGCATTTAATACTCATTAATCTTCGAAAGCTTCACTCTCAGCAGTGTCTCACCGAGTTCGGGCACTCAAGTTCGGGTATTGACCCCTCTTGGCTTTCACAACTTCTTGAGTCACACACACAAAAGTCCGTAATTTGAATTGGATCTGTAAGAAATAAATACCTGTTCGTGGCTTGTCTTCTTATCGAAACCTTCTTTTCATTCTTCAAGTTCAATAGAAAGAATAGACTCATTTCTCTTTTAGGAAACTTCAAGTCAATTGTTGGATTGTCACCGCTTTCCGCTTCCGGCATTGAATCCCAACATCTACATCACAACATAAGCTATTTAATACCAAGTCAAACATCAAATCCAACACGCAACCCTTTGAGCCGCAACCAGTCCAAAGTATCAGACTCACCACCATCATGGCTTCAGGCGGCGGCTCTCCCGCCCTCTCAGGCACCGGAACTCCCATACCACCATCAACCTCAGGAACCGACTCACCAAACCCACATAACCTATTCAAGATCAACCCAGCCAACATCCTGTCAACCACAAATAATGAGACTGTAGCTCCAACTTCCGATGGTGTTCCAAAGACGAAGATCTGCGTATTCTGTGGTGCTTCACCGGGAAAGTCGCCGGCGCATATGGTATGTACTTTCTTCAAATATTCCAATTATGTCTATCCCTAAGCTTAAAACCCTCATTTGTATTTTCACATCCCAATGCCGAGAACTGAGAGACCAAAATTTCAAAAAGATACAGCTTCAGCCTTCTCATCATATAACACCACTTCCAAAGCCATCTTACACCCCAACTTACTTTGTGGCAATAAGCTAACCACCCAACCAACAGGAAGCTGCCCGTTCCCTAGCTCGCGTCTTCCATGAGAACAACATCTCTCTAGTCTACGGTGGCGGAACAGTTGGTCTTATGGGCGAAGTAGCACGCACGCTCGTTTCCCTCTCAGGTCCAGCTTCAGTCCACGGTATCATTCCCGCTCCTCTGATTAAGGTATGCCTTCACCCACTTTCCCTATCATCTTTACCTTCTACAAATCGAACCCACATTCCCTTCCTCCTTTTAAATCATGTTCCATTCAAGAGAGCAGATATTCTCTCTGTGCTATAATCAAAAACATACATTGACGCTCCACCCACTCACAGTACGAACGCGGCCCCAACAGCACCCCCCAAGAAACCACCAACGGCAGCATCCCCTCCCCGACCCTCTACGGCCACACCACCGTCGTCAAAGACATGCACACACGCAAACAACTCATGGCCCTGGAAGTTCTCTCCGGCGGGCCCGGCAGCGGCTTCATCGCCCTCTCCGGCGGGTACGGCACCCTCGAGGAGCTCATGGAAGTCGTAACCTGGAACCAGCTCGGGATCCACGACCGGGGCGTTGTAGCGCTCAATATCGAGAAGTATTGGGATGGCTTGCTGGCTTGGGTGAGGAATAGTGTTGAGGCTGGGTTTGTGGGCCAGTCGAATGTGGGGATTATTAGGGAGGCGGGGACGCCGGAGGAGGCGGTTAGGTGTTTGAGGGAGTATAGGAATTCGGAGGGGAGGTTTAGGTTGAGGTGGGGTGAGGAGTAGGGGACTGCGGGGTGGACAGGAAGAGTAGATTGTTCTCATTGTCTAGCTCTGTTCGGTGACTTTGAAATATCGGGTTCAGATATAGAACTACAAACCCCGGAAATGGAATGGAAGACGGGCGGGAGAAATATGGAGTAGACGAAAACCGCGGCGTTGGCAGACGGGGACATAACATTTCCACATTTTGCTGCCTTGATTAGCTTTTTTTTTTTGCACCCTTGCTATATAGCTAGCTATCTATTCGCTTCAGCCGACTTTGTCTTACTTTACATGGACACATAAGATAGACCGCCAGTACACGGACAGCGTTGGACAGAAAATGTACGGACAAACAGGTAGTGGGCATTGCAATTATGACAGACTAAACCAAAAAATATATCACATATTTACTACAGTACTTGTCTTCGCCTGCTTCGTGTCTATGAATGAGATAGGGTGCTGATTCGAGACACATAAAGTCACGAAATGAGCCTGGTCCTTGGTTTTCAAAATAAGATATCAAATGTTGAGATCCGCAAAGTCCCGAAGCGAGCATGGTACTTGTGTTTTCAAAATAATATATCAAATATTAAGATCTACAAAGTCACAAAATATGCCTAGTACTTGAGTTTTTTTAAAAAAAGAAATCGAATATTAAGATCCGCAAAGATAAGCCTCACAACTCAAAGTCACGGAATGATCATAGTACATATTTTTTTCAATGTATTTAATTTCTATTTTTACACAAGGCAGCTAGCTATTTCTCTTCATAATAGCAAGCCCAAACTCCATTCAAAGTCCTCAAAGCAATTTAGACAATCTACGAATCAACCTCCATCCCTTCCTCAGCCTCCGCACCTTCCGCACCATCAGCCACAAGATCGACCCACTGCTTGACCTCCTGCCCATCAAAAAGCTTAAACCCCTCAATGCTCTTCTCGCCCTCCTTCCTAATCCCAACCACACCCACACTCGTATTCTCAACCGTCAGCTCCTTATCCTGCGCCAGACTCTCCTTCAAGGCCCTCAGTCCATGCTTGACCAACTCCTCCCTCCCACAGTCAGCAAAGCTCTCCAAATTTCTCTCCAGATATGTCCTCGCCATCTGGGATCTCGCACCAATCGCACAAGCTACCATCTCCTGCGTCATGCCGCTCGGCTGGAACTCAAAGAGATGCGGGCCCGTCTCGTCGACGCCAGCGATGAGAAGTCCGACGCCGTAGGGCCGCTTGCCGTAGTGTTGGGTGTTTGTTTGGGCGCGCTCGCCGATCGAGGAGACGATGCGTTCGAGGGGGATGGCGCGGCCGTAGGTGAGGCGCGAGGAGAGGGATTGCTGCTTCATGAAGTTGGAGAGGACGCGGGCGTCGGAGGCGAGGCCGGCGAGGGAGACGCCGAGGTGTTCGTCAACGGCGATGATCTTCTTTTGGTAGGAGGAGAGTTCTTCGGCGTTGCGCTGGGGAGGGAGTAGTGTTAGCACCTCATTCCAATCATAGAGCAAGAATCAAGATACGCAGCCCAACCAGGTCTGCTGCTAGATTGAAGCGCAGAGTAGATAATAGCAGATCTGCGAAGGGAAGGGAGTTCAAAAGGGCGAAGACATACCTTCAGAGCCACAAGTACAGCGTGTGTCTTGCTAACGAGACCAACGACCACACTTCCCTGCTTCACAGCCTCTGACGCATATTCGACCTGGAAGATACGACCTTGCGGCGAGCTGTCGCATGTTAATTAGCATACTTCTTCTCTTCTCCAGCTCTGCAGGCAGCGCGTTCGCACGGAGCTCGAATCGGACTTACAAGGTGACTGAATCGTTGTCGTAGTTATTTCTGAACATGGTTGCGTGTGCAGCAGATGCTGTAGCTTCTGTTCAATTTTGATTTGTGTAGATTTAAGTGTAGCTTTAAAGTGAGCAGAACAAAAGACCAGATATGTGGTTGTGGAAGTTGGTGTTGTAGTCGATTAATTGATGAACAGACGCAGACGAGGCAGGCGCGATGATGAAGCTCAGGGCAGATTGCAATAAGGCTGCCGTAAACACGCAGGGGTAGCTGTGCTAAATACCGTAAACTTAGCGTGTGGGCTGGAATTATCGTTAGCGTGGATTTAGGCCCGGGCCCAGAGCCGCATGGGAGGTCGGCGCAACGTCAGCTCTTGATCATACAGGCTAGAACAGCTGCTTAACACAACTCACTCTCGACGACATACTCAACAGCAACAGCTAGTGAACTTCACGGTCTCAACGAAACGGATCGAGTCTGGAATGCAACTATAAGGGAATTTCAGTTTACTTACAGAAAGGGAAGCGGAACGAGCCGGGCGCGAATACTGGATATCTATCGCAAGCAGTACAGCCTCATAAGAAACACCACATAAAAACCAACGCAAACTCCCGGCAAAGTGCCTCTATCAACCGCCAAAATGGCCGCAGGCCTCAAAACCATCATTTCCCTCTCCTTCGTACGTTCCCACCCTCCTCTTTCTCCATCACTCACTTCCAACCCACTTCCAACACTCCCCATTCCCCAATACCCCTCTGTCCGCACACCACTGACACACCACTCCACAACAGGTCCTAGCAATCGGCTTCCTCCTCGTAATCCTCTCCTGCGCCCTCTTCCACCAATACCTACCCCTCCTCGTCGTCGCAACATACGTGCTGGCTCCACTGCCAAACTGGATCTGTGGACGATGTGCCAACCCAGATGATTTCGTGGAGAGCTCGGGTAGTGCGATTGTGGATTTTGGACGGTTCTGTACGGGGTTTCTGGTGCTTATGGGGATTGGTAGGTTTTTCTCTTTTCGTTACTTTGAGGAGTGCTGCATTATTAGATATTGAGGGATGGCAGAGTGGGAACGGTGGAGATTCTTCTTGGGTTGGAAGACAACAATACGTGGAGAGATGGAATGGGGCTACGGCTGCGGAATCTACAAGAATTGATGCTAACACTACCATCTTAAACAGCCCTTCCAGTCCTCCTCGCCCACTCGGGAATCATCCTTTGGTACGCAGCCGTGATGTCTATTATCGGGGGTGTATTGATCTACGGAACCATCATCGCATTCGGGATGTTCTTTGAAGAGGAGCATGAGTTCTAGACTTGTCGTCGATTGGGGATGTAAGAACGCTTTGGGGGCTGGAAGAGGACGGGTACAAGTTTAGTATGTGGACATTGGTAGAATTTGGGTATATCAAGTTGCAATGCGGCAAGTCGATACTGAACGAGATGACAATGGGTGTAGAGGAGACGATTCGACAGGGGAGGAGAACAGGGCATGAGGGAGACCGTGTAAAGTGTAGCATATATTTCCAGCGAGTACATGGATTTACCAGGTTTCTGTTATCTCATTTCCGGTACGCATTTAATTTTGGGGATGGTTCGCGAAAGCATCTCATACACACCTAGCAATTTGTGAACGCTCTCTAGTCCTTATGCGCCAAGTCCTTTGTAGGATATCCAGACGAAGCATTCTATATGAGTGTCTCACCCAGGACCGAGCACATAGAAAGGATATGTAAGACGGTTAAATTTCATAAGAAGATAGAGGCGAAGAATAATAACCATCCAGCGAGAGAATGCAGACCCATATTGGTGGCTGTTGACACACATGGAAGAGAGGCAATGTCCAGCATCGGTTAGGTCACATGATGTCTGCTCACGTCAAGTCACCAGCCAAGATCTTCAACCTCTCGTCATTTACGACTCATAGAATAGCGCCTCATACAGTCGAAATTCTTGGAAATACCTTCACCTTTCTGAACTACTGAATTGAATATTTGCCCTTAAGTAAAACTCAAAAACTCCAACTTCCGTCTTCTTAAAGATTCGTAGCCTTGATTTGGAAGTCCATCGCGACGGGAAACGGAACGCCTCAGAAGGTTCTGAAACGAAACATATCAGACATTACAAGAATAGAGTCGAGTCCGAGCATCATGTCTCAGCAACCTGTCTCGCCACATCCTCTTTCGGCTCCTTCGGGCAACATGTTCACCCTGTTCCCAAATCTCCCGCCGGAGCTTCGGGCTCCTATTTGGAAGCATGCCCTGACAAGGAGAATCGTCAAATGGACACGGAACAACAACCAGAATATCTTCACAGCTCCAATGAAATCCATCACGATCTTTAACGTCTGTAAGGAATCACGTGAGATGGCGATGCTGTATGGAGAATATATCGATATTTCCACCTCAGACGAGCCTGTCTTCTTCAGTCCACTAGAGGACTACCTACTTTTTGAGCCAATATGGGCAGATCTCATTCCCAAGCCAGGTGCCAAGGTCGCCCCAGACCCTCTGGATTTCCTGCCTCCAAGTCTCCTATCTCTACGCTACATCATGGTTCATCCCCATTACACCGACGAACGAAAACGACCCACCGCACTCTTTGAGAAACTCCCCAACCTGGAACAGGTTCTCGTAGCAGCAGACGAGAAATCCATTGGCTTCCAAAGCAAATTCATCCTCGGCTCGGCATACGACCTCAAACTGTACTACGCAGCTGATGTCCGGAAGCGCCTTCCAGATTTCAAGGTTCCGTACATAGCTGTTGGCTGTCTAGGATGGACCGGAACGGAAAGGCGCAAGATGAATCATGGGGCTCAGGATACTAGGGAGCTGGTTAGGGTATGCGAAAACGAAGCGCAAATGAAGGAGCATTTGAGGGACGTTCGAGAGGAGGAGTGGAAGTTTACGCAGGAGATGCAAAAGGGGAGGGCCGGTTTGAAGATGAAGCTGAATTTTAAGGTTAAGGGTGGAGCTGGGATGGATTTTGGAAAGGAACGGGGAGATGGGGAGAAAGGGTCTGGTGGTTCTAAGACGAAAGCTGGTCCACCAGGTTACTCGAGAGGATCGGAAAATGCGCCGGAGAATCCACCACCATATGCGGAGATTTAAGATGGGCGAGACATGCCAGATGATTATTTCTCAATGCGTGGAATAGTCACCACCGTTCTGAACCCTTTGGATGAAGGCCGTGGCCCAGTGGTCTGTGTCGACAAGAGAGACTGCTCTGTGGCATGAATCTAGATCTCTTGAACGCAAATTAATAGCCTTTGCTCCATATAATCTCTCCAACGACGCAGATGCACTACAGCAGAACCTCTAAAGTGAATTCTGATCGTCTCCTGTAAGAGAAAAATTGGCAGCAAAGTGATCATTTATATTCATCCAATCGCCAAAGGCAAGCTCGCTTAATTCACTCAAAGAGAGGCTGCAAGCTTGACACTAGCTTGACATCGACTCGTCAAGAATATTCAATCTCGTCGTCTCAGCCTCTTCACCTTCGCCAACTCTTAACACAATCACTTCGCAGCCAAGGAAATAATTCCTGCAAACCAAAGCACGCCAGCCCAGCGCTACTTACCTTTCATCCAGCTCGCCGTCAGCAAAAAGAACATGAAATCTTGCGATACAGAACCCCCTCTTGGAGTAGATTGCCATTACCCTGCTACCACAGCGTCTGGGTATGTATACTTTTCTTCCACCCACGAAGCAGGACATGGTGGTGTATTTGAAGATGATTACGATGTCTCGGAGCCTCGCAGGAACTTGAAAGAACATACGCTAATACTTGCAAGTAGTTTCTCAGCCAGCGCCATGATTTCCCGCCGTCCTAGTGCTCTCAGCCAAGTAGACAAATCTGAGCCAATGTCTGCCTCCGACATGGTCAATACAGGCAACATCAATTCAACAGCGATGACAATACCTACTGTCTCACCCCATCTCTCTGGCATTGCGACGTCGACCAACGAGTCGTTCAGCTTCACCCTACTCAAAAGTGAACTCCCCGACCCCAAGCTCGAGCTCTACTACCAATGGACTCCTACAACCACTTTCCATCTCTTCAGCAATCTCCCAGCCGAGCTCCGTCTGCATATTTGGAGACTCAGCCAGCGCGGTCGTAAGATCTTTGCTTGGATAGATGATGATCTGATGCTGCAATGCCGTACAGCCGTGCCACCAGTCCTGCAGGTCAATCATGAGGCTCGTACCGAGATGTTGAAACACTACACTGCTCCAGGTCACATTCCCGGCTTTCCATCTCGGCGGCCTGCACTGTCCCGATTTTATTTCGACCCTGCTAATGATACTGTCATCTTCGAGGAACATAGCTCTCCCATGAAATTTCAAGGAGCCACAGAAACCGGAGAAAACGCCTACGTTAGAGAGGTCCTTGACACTATTCAGTCTGTTATCATTGGACCCGCATGGTGGTATACAAGATGGGAAGTTTTCGATCCAGCTGTCGCACATCAAGTGCCGTTCGGTTCAAGAGGAGAGAGAAGACTACAGTATTTCAAGCTGTTCTCTTCTCTACAGCGATTGGTACTTGTTGGTGGTTGCCATGGGCTACAGTACGACCACCAAAGAATCCTCTGTATAAAGAGTCTGAGTGCCATGTTCAAGAGATTCCGGGACGAGGGTGCAGGTCGAGGTGCCGTGGAAATTACAGTTCTGATGAAATGCCATCAGGAGGGTGCGGTGGAATGCGACACATGCTGGATCGGCCTCAATAAGGAAGAAGTTCGGGCTCAAAATGTACTTGCCAAGAGGACAGCTCGGAATTAATCACGTTATGGCGACGGTGGTGAGCCTGGCAGTGTCGGGGGAAGGTGGAGGAGCTGCCCAGGGGACACGTCTCGGGGACATTTCTTTGATGATTCGGCATGCAGAGTACCTGCGATTAGGCTCTCAGTCTCACCTGGAGAAAAAAGTAACTTATTTTGATTTTTCATAGCTTATCTTTACAGCATGACATCAATACCTGCGTTTGGAGAGCAGATTTCAGCCATGTGATGTCTAAACAACCACTCGCTTAAATCACCAAAGCCGATTTTCTCCTGCTCTTGTATTGTAAACGCTGGTAGAGTAATTAATATTTTCACGACTTTTTGATATAACAAGAAGCTTTAAATAACTGTTCTAGTAGAACGAAGTGTACCTCTAGAAGCTTTCTACTGCGAAGCTTTACCGGCCTCATCATGATCTAGGTACACAAGATTGATCATTAGCGCTTGCCGATGCAACTGTGTACGAAGTCGACTAAGCTAGCTGCATGTGGAGCAGATATTCACAGTCACTTGATACACAAAATCGCTGAATATATGAAACTTTGTTTTTAGTGCTGAACATTTAGGGAAAGCTCCTTTGTGACCGCACAAATCCTTTTTCTGGACCGACACATACATCACGCTAACTGCCCACCTAGTGTACGTTAAATCTAGCCCAAAGAATCTTTGATCGCCAATAATAAATTCCATCCATTATTAAAGCATACAACTCTATGTATTTGGTTCGATAGCTGCAAGTTGGAACCTAGGATAACTCATGATATTTTGAAATTTGAAATTCTACCTTAGCCTCTTCACAGAAATACATCATGGAAGTCAGCAAAGACCTTGTCTCCAGATCGAATGCGACCAAATCTTTCCACAAATTCAATCAGCTACCTGTGGAACTCCGAATCCAGGTTTGGAACCACTGCCTGCCTGCAGGGAAGACCATTCCGCTGTTCCTTTGCAAAATCATCTTTCGATCTCATGGATCGGCTCCCATAGGCAGAGTGGCCGATCAGCCAATCAGTCAGCCATCAGCTGAGCAACTTGCTGAGCTGACTAGCTTACGTATAAATCACAGCTTAATAGCTTTAACTGAAGAGCTTAAAAGCTACTTAAAAGCTAATTCTAAAAATAGACGTATACTAAAAATCCCTCTTAAGATCAACTGTATTAAATGCTATTATAAGCTCTACTATCCCCCTTCTTTACTAGTTTTTTAAGCACTCTTAATACTATAGCAATTAACTTAATAACCTCGAACTATATAGTGTAGTTTATATAGAACAAGACGAGAAAACACGCTTATACTTAGAGCTTATAGTAGGTATATATAAAAAATTAAAGGCTATCTTAGTAAGCTATAGCCACTAGACCTGCTTTAAACGCTAATACTCTAAAAGAAGCTGATTTATTAGAGGCTCTTTAAGATATAAGGCTAATTAGTCTTTCCGGCTTAAAGGTCGTGGAGTTCTTACTATAAAGGTTATACTAGTAAGAGGAGGTGCTAGCTTCTCTAATTAACTAGTTTTATATAGCTTTAGAAGCTCTAGCTCTAGAGTTCTTTTCTCTACTTATATAATAGCTTCTCCTTTATATTCTATCTCCTAAAGCTTCTATAAAGACACCTTCCTTTTCCTTATATATTATATATTATCTCTAGTCTATTATTAGTTGAAATACTACTATTTCTAGCGAGAGTGAAGAACTAAAGCTGCTATCTATATAAGAAAGATATTAGTTTTACTATAGAACTCTTTTATCTTATTCTAAGTAAGTATAATTAACTCTTATATACCTCGGTAGCTATTAAATCGACCTGCTTTCGCGCTAGCCTCTAGAACCTTAAAGTGAGAGAGTAGAGCTTTAAAAAGAGGTAATAACTCCTAGAGAGCTTTATAAGATAATAACATAGGGTCGAATTAATCAGGGTTACCTTCGAGGTCTTTAGTAAGACGGAAAAGAGGTTCTAAGTGCTTTACTATTAGCTAAAGAGTCTCTTATTTATTATTATTAAGATAATCTTCTTAAAACACCTCTTAATCAAGAGTATCTTTAGAAACCCTTAATTTAATAGTGTAAGTATTAAGAGCCTCGCGGAGAGCTAGAGCGCGTATAATTATCGAATATAAGGAATTCTAGCGTATACTACTATCTAAAACAACTTTCTATCTCTTTCCAGCGGCCTTACTTTAATTAAACTTATCTTATAAGCTATTAAAGGCTATACTACGCTTTCTAGAGGCTATAATATATGCTACTAAGTTATAAAGCTTTCTAAGCTCTTCGCGAGACCTCTAAAGTTATCTCCTTCCTTTAAGACTAGCCCTCTTAAATTTAGCTTTAAAAGATAATATATCTTAACTAAATAGGTATTATTTAGTAATAAGATTAAGTATATAGCTTATATAATAAAGCTAGCGTTATTTCGGGTTGAAATTAAGTGATTTTAAAAGCTCTAAGAGTGTAGTATCGTTATTTAACTGTTACGGACCCCTTGGCGCTACGGTTCAGTTGGTACCTATATAATAATAAAACTATCAGTAGTACTATAGGGGCATTAGTATTAATAAGGGAGCAGTACTACTAATAAGGTAGTACTAGCTAGGGAATAATAACAGGATAAGCGAGTAGTACTACTATATACTCACGCTTTAGTAGTAATAGTTACCTAGATTATAGTAGATAATAGGTCACGTGATAGATCCCTAGATCCCTAGATCCCTTTATAAGAAAACAGATCTAAGGATCTAAGGATCTAGTATCCTAAGGGATCTAAGGTAAATAAAGGTTCTATATAAAACTAGTATATCTGCTATTAAATAAGAGCTTCGTGCTTAACTTTAAATAGTATTCTAATACTTAGTAACTATCTTCCTATCTACGTGATATACTTACCTCTTAATTATTAGAGATTAACTATAGCCTTCTATATTTATAGCAAGTAAATACCGGACTATTACACTTTAAGCACCTTCTTATTAGAGGTACTAACTTATAAAGATAATATATCCTCTGTTAAAGGATTATTAAATAACTACTTAGCTCTTACTAAGGTCTTCGACCTAAAGAATATACTTAAGATCGCTGCCCCGGATCTTTATAATAGAGACCGATCTAAGCTTAAAGTATATCTTACGTAGGTTAAGCTTTATATAAGCTTTAATAGTTATTAGTTTACTACGGAGACTAATAAAGTCCTTTAAGCTTTATCCTTTCTCTAGGGATCTACTTTTAATTAGATTAAGACCTTTCTCTCGGACTATATTTAGAACTAAACTAAGGATAAGAGAGTCTCTATAGTAATAACTAAGGAATCTTAGAAGATCTTTATAACTTTCGAAGGTTTCGAGTATAGGATTAACTATATCTTCAGTGATATTAATCAGAACTATACTACCGAACGGAATATCTAGAACTTAAAGTAAGTTAAGTTAGCGATTATATATACTACTACCTTCTAGTAATTCGTGAATCAGACTAGCTAGAATAATAATACCCTTCGGGTATAGTACTATAAAGAGTTAAAGGACGGAGTAAAAGATAAGATAATAAGATCGGACGCGCCTACTAACTTATAAGAACTTATTAAAATAGCTATTAAGATTAATAACTAAAACTATAAAAGAGTACTTAAGAAGAAAGGCTAATACTACTCCGGAATATATATATACTAAGGAAAAGGAGGTAATAATAAGAAACTATTCTACTCTTAGGAAATAGAACTTAATATAATATTCCGGAAGCTAAGTTATTAAGGAAAGCTACGTAGTAGCGGGCTATCTAAGAAAGTTATAAGTAAGTAATAAGAGAAGAAGCTATACTTCGAGTATAGCCTCCTTAGTTATATAGCTAGCTCTTATTAATAAAAGAAGTTGTAAATAGATAAGAAATATATTAACGTAATAGGACGTGGCTCTTATAATAAATTAACTTAATAACTCGCTATAATATATTAATATATAACTATAGATAAGCTCGAGGAGAATTATATCTATACTTAGTTAGGCGATTCTAATAATAGTAAGTGAGATTCCGCGAGTGTTATAAATCAGCTTAAGTAAACTATCGTTAGCACGCCTCCTAAAGACTATATATATTAAGATAATAATAGCTCTAGGCTAGATAATAATATAGAGCTAATACTAAGTAATAGCGAGAAGGAGGCCTAGGAACTTAAGTAGACTCCGGAACTAAGGCTACCTTAACCTGAACTCTTAGGACTAAGAGTAGGTGAAACTTAGGAAGTTACCTAAAGAGAAGAGAGCTTATATTAAGTTAGCTATAATACTTACTACTAAACTAATATAGCTACCGGGGTTACTTATTAAGAACTAGGCCTTATTAGCTTAAGGGGTCTACTATAAGGGGCAAGGTACGAAGTAGTCTACTAGGACTATAAGCGTATCGGATAGAGAATAGCCGGTAGCTAAGAAGGACTAACGACTTTTATATAATACTTACTACTTTAGAATACCGCTATCCTTAATATTAGCGCGCTACTAGAGGTAGGCGAGGAATAGGAAATTATAGCTAAGAACTAATATAATAGGATATAGGTCTATATTAATAATAACAGCTAGTACTATTATAAGATATATAACTTAGTAATATACACTGAACTCGGAATAGGGCTTGTATATAAGGTTAACCTAAGCTATAGTAATCGAAGAGTATAGGAAAGTATCCTCGACTATAGTGTATATTAGGAATATTTCTATATATAGTAACTTGCTGCTATTAGAGATAAATATCTTATATTAGAGGTTAATATTAAGGGAGTTAAGCTTTAGGTGATAGTAGACTCTAGAGTATAAGGGAACTTTATATCTCCTACTATTATACTTAAGCACTACTTATTAACTGAAGTAAAGGATAAGAGATACTATCTAGTACTAGTAGATAGTAAGGTCGCCTCTAATAGACTAATCGAGGTCTAGATTACTCTAATTTATATAAGTATCGCCGGATATTTTGAAATAATCTAATTCGATATTATTAGAATTAGAAGGT